TATTTATGGAACGATTACTGGCGAAACGTCGTACTCGGGTTGTAAACGTTGTGGCTTTGCTCTCCCAACGCACAACCGGTGATGCTGTACTCGTAACGAATTGGCCACTTTCTGATTAAGTGACAAAGCTTTACTAATTGGCTGTGTCGGGGTTCAAAAAAATCCACACAACCCCTGCATTCTGGAGTCTATGAGAAGTAGAATTTTTCCAAGCGTGCCACATCGAATACCAGCAATGGAAGACCGAAGATCAAAACAGGACTCGCATTTGTGTTTCCTTGTTGAACAGCGGCCGAGATTTGGGCGACGCGCGTCGCCTCGTGGCTCACGGACGCCACTCTGCCTCCAGGAGCGTTCACCTGAGCCCATCTCCCCATCATCCCGCACCCAAAACCCGCTCCACCTAAGCCCGCACCACCAACCCCGCACCACCAAACCTACACCACCAAACCCGCACCACCAAACCCGCTCCACCTAAGCCTGCACCACCAAACCTACACCACCAAAGCCCCCACCACCAAACCCCGCACCACCTAAGCCCGCACCACCAACCCCGCACCACCAAACCTACACCACCAAAGCCCGCACCACCAAACCTGCACCACCAACCTCGCACCACCAAACCCGCACCACCAAACCCGCACCACCAAACCCGCACCACCAAAGCCCCCACCACCAAACCCGCACCACCAAACCCGCACCACCAAACCCGCACCACCAAAGCCCGCACCACCAAACCCGCACCACCAAACCCGCACCACCAAAACCCCCACCACCAAACCCGCACCACCAAACCCGCACCACCAAAACCCCACCACCAAACCCGCACCACCAAAACCCGCACCACCAAAACCCGCACCACCAAAACCCGCACCACCAAACCCGCACCACCAAACCCGCACCACCAAAACCCGCACCACCAAACCCGCACCACCAAAACCCCCACCACCAAACCCGCACCACCAAAACCCGCACCACCAAAACCCCCACCACCAAAACCCGCACCACCAAACCCGCACCACCAAAACCCCCACCACCAAAGCCCCCACCACCACCAAACCCGCACCACCAAACCCGCACCACCAAAGCCCCCACCACCACCAAACCCCCACCACCAAAGCCCCCACCACCACCAAAACCCGCACCACCAAACCCGCACCACCAAAGCCCCCACCACCACCAAACCCGCACCACCAAAACCCGCACCACCAAACCCACACCACCAAAGCCCGCACCACCAAACCTGCACCACCAAACCCCGCACCACCAAACCTGCACCACCAAACCCGCACCACCAAAACCCCCACCACCAAACCCGCACCACCAAAACCCGCACCACCAAACCCGCACCACCAAAACCCGCACCACCAAACCCGCACCACCAAAACCCGCACCACCAAACCCGCACCACCAAAACCCGCACCACCAAACCCGCACCACCAAACCCGCACCACCAAAACCCGCACCACCAAACCCGCACCACCAAAGCCCCCACCACCAAACCCGCACCACCAAACCCGCACCACCAAACCCGCACCACCAAACCCGCACCACCAAAACCCGCACCACCAAACCCGCACCACCAAAGCCCCCACCACCAAACCCGCACCACCAAACCCGCACCACCAAAACCCGCACCACCAAACCTGCACCACCAAAGCCCGCACCACCAAAACCCGCACCACCAAACCCGCACCACCAAACCTGCACCACCAAAGCCCCCACCACCAAACCCGCACCACCAACCCCACACCACCAAAGCCTGCACCACCAAACTCGCACCACCAAAGCCCCCACCACCAAACCCGCACCACCAAACCCGCACCACCAAACCCGCACCACCAAACTCGCACCACCAAAGCCCCCACCACCAACCCCGCACCACCAAACCCGCACCACCAAAGCTGCACCACCAAAACCCGCACCACCAAACCCGCACCACCAAACCCGCACCACCAAAACCCGCACCACCAAACCCGCACCACCAAAGCCCCCACCACCAAGCCTGCACCACCAACCCCGCACCACCAAACCTACACCACCAAAGCCCCCACCACCAAACCCGCACCACCAAACCTGCACCACCAACCCCCGCACCACCTAAACCTGCACCACCAAGCCGAGAACATTTGATGACGCGCCACATGAGATCGAGAGGCGACGCACACCAGACTGATGAGACTCGGGAGAAGTTGAAATCGGTCCGGTGTGTTTGTTTGTTGTCTCTCTCCCATTTTTAAATGACGCTTCTGGTGCGAAAATTACCTACTTTAAAAGTGTGTGTCAGGCTTGGCTTATAATACCAAATTAATGACATCAGGCCTTTCAGTTCAACTAAGGAAATTTAATTAGGGACCCTATTATTGAAGCACCTCTTTGATCCATACCTTTTGTCACGACGGTTCTTCAGACAGCAGTGCCCTTGTCCTGTGATCCATCGAACCAAAACTCTTCTCGAATTGTACACGACCTGTTTTTACACCATATTTGTAAAATAATACTCTCAAAGTGCTTTCCCTCGTCTAATGCTTCGTGCACAAAGGCCGCTGCGTCATGTTTACAGAAAAAAATAAAACACGCGTTTGAAACGTAGAACCAAATGCCTGACCAAATTGTGTTTAAATAACAATGGGCCAGTTGAAATATTTACATTTTTAACATTTGTAATTACCAGTAGCGGTTGCATAGGATTACGAATTAAAATACCTTAAATAGGATTTTTTTAAATCAACTTTACCTTCTAAAGAGATGCACATTTCAACAATTTAAAAACTTGTAAAATAAATATGTATAATGTTACGTGTAATTGTGTGCGTGATCCGAGACATATATGGCTCATTTAGTTGGCTGCTATGACGAGGAAGTGCACGTGGGAGAGTAAATTCCTGCACTCAACATCGATTCATTTCGCGGTCTCCCTCGTGCCGTCTCGGTTCACTTTGCTTTCAGTAAGAGTCGCGTGCTCACTGTGCCCCCCCCCCGTCCCCCCCAGGGAGAGTCTCTTTAATAATTCATTAGGCACGAAATGTCACCGCACATTAGTTTCCCCAACTTTTAGCAATAATCGCAGCACGGCACAGAAGCGAGCGAATGTTCGGGGCGCTGCGCGTTTCCTGCTAACGTGGCCAGAAATACGATTTAATTTTTTTTATAATTTATTTTATTTACCAGGCAAAGGCCACTGAGCTATTAGCATTTCGCCATGGTGGCGAGATGTTAACTACCTCGCCCGGTATGCAGGAGGTCGTCGTGGGTTCGATCCCGACCCTGGCGCCTGCTGTATATTTGAAGTTTCCACGTCTCTCTCTCTCTCGCTGTGGTCCTCCAGTTTTTCCTGCCACATTTAGAATCAACATGCGTTCAGAGCATTTGGCTGCTATAAATTTCCACGCGATAAGCCAGTTCGTTGAGCTATCATTTGTGGCCATGTCGCTTCTGAAATTGAGCTATATAGCTCAGTGGGCCTTACCTGGTAAAATAAAAATTGTTAGTTTATAGTTTATTAGCTCTTTTTCAGAGGTGACCCGATAATGCATGACAGCTCATTGAAGTGTCTTATTATGTGGGAATGTATAGGAATAGCCGAATAATCTAAACGCACGTTTCTAAATGTGGAGGGCAAAAAAAACCAGAGGACCTCGAGAAAAATCCACGCAACCATGGGGAGAACACGCAACCTCCAGATATACAGGCGGCGTCAGGGTTGGCATCTAACCCTCGGCCTCCTGCACAGCAGGCAAACAAGACGTTCAACCAAGTGATACGGTCATCCCAGTCAACCCATGGCACTTGGGTCTGTCCCATCAACTCCTGCCAGCGGCGAGCCTTCCACACTTCACGTGGCCTCAAAAGCGCACCTAGCCTGGCACAAGCGCCGTGGTGAAATCGCCGCCACTTAGTGGCTCGGCCCTCGAATGAGTTCTCGGTGCAAGTGGTGTAAGCATCAGGACTTGGGAGACAACATTGCGACCGAGCGTGGTGATGGCCACACCACCGCCTCATGCGCCGTGCTGCCCCTGATAAACGCCCTCACGACCCCAACAGCCGATGATGTAGGCTATGGGGGGTGGGGTGGGCATCTTTGTGTGCTTCACTGGAGCCAGAAACAATTCGACTCCCAAATGCTTTTCGGTTTTATAATGCACGACAATTGCATTCCCTTGAATTTGGTTGTAGGATTTTTTTTTTTACCGAAATTATTTCGCCGCACAACGGCCTGCAGCGTTCTTCATCTCCTTCACGTCTTGTCTGGATGTATTGTACATCATTAATGTGCCCACTTCTGTAATATTCTGCACCTTCTTGTACGTCAACTTGACAGTATTGTTGTTTGTCTTTGTTGCGCTGTCTTGTGCACGTAGGCACGTGTGTACCGTCTCCTGTACTATTGTCTGCATTGTACGGTCATGCGCCCAAGTCACCTCTGTTGTACCGTCTTGGTCTTGCTTTGTACCATTTTAGTGAGGGCATATGCAGCAAAGGCTTCTACTAATAAGCCTGGAGCACGTGCTGCCTTTACATGATTTTAGCCCGGATACTGTACCTCTAATATCCAGTGAGGTGAACCTTTGATTAAATAAAATAGAGGGACAAAATAAATGTAATGATAGATGCAGGGAAATGTTTAACCAACAGAATGTATTGATCCTGCTGTGTCTCCTGACTGATTCTATTTCACTCTCTGCTATATATTTCGTGCAACCTTTTCTCTGCTGTATATTTTCTTGAAACCTTTTCTTGTACCACACCTCGCTCGTGTTGCGTCTGGCCTCTTATCTCTCCACACGTCTCCATGCCAGCTTATTTATTTTCCTCTCCACGCGTCTCTTGTTACTCCCACTCCGTAACATCCCCATACTATGTCCCCAAGCTAGATATGTATGGACAGTACATCCTGGGGGAACAGAAATTGTTGCAACAACACGTGTGGAAATACAAGGGGGGGGGGCACTTGTAGTGGGCAAAGGTAACATTTAATGAGTGGGAATTTTTTTGGGGATCTAAAAATTAGGATGCTAGGAAAAATTTGGTCTCTCCATTTCTCTCTTTCTTTGACTCCGTGTCTCTGTCCATGTCTGTGACTCAAAGTAGGGTAATGTCTTGCTCCTCCACCTCTCTCATGCTGCACCACTTTGGGGTGCCAGTGCACAAACACCAATTTTGCGTCTCGTTTTTTTTCATCGTTTCTCACTCGGGTATCGTTTAAAAGTTGTAATGTTTGCTTCATTACCATACAAGTAACAGATTAGCCTACATTTTTACACACATTTGTACAAAGCATATTTGTCATGCAATATGAGATGCGTAACATGATATAAATAACAAGATTTTTTATCGATTACATTCGAAATACTTTGTTTACAACCCTTTGTCAATCCATTACCAGATGTAGATCTGTGGTTGTCCCTGCCTGATGACGAATGCGTGTTGCGCCCGAAACGTCGTTCTTTGTTTTATTTTATTTTCTCTACCTACGTGACTTTACCGAAAGAACCAAGAGTATGGATCCTTGCAGTCACGAAAACTTCCAAGTCTAGAATGGACGTAGATCTCTCGACGGTGCGTCATATCGTCGACCAGTCCAAATATTTAGAATGGTTTTCGCTTTGTTTGAAGAGCAGATTGGATTGGGGAAAGCTGGACTTGATAATGAAAGGCAACATTAATGTTCCAACAGAAGAACTTTTTAATTAATCCATGTCACCTGCTGTAACAAGGATCCGAAACAAGGACATTTTTACAAATTATAAAAAAAAGTGTGAAAATAGAAAGACGCGTGCTTGGAATTGCACCGAGTGACGTCAAGAACGACGGGTGAGAGACCATACACCAGTTAAACACGTCAGTCTGTTAGCACAGTTGGCTACATAAGGTGTAAAAGAAGTTCAACATACGTACAGAAAAAGTGGGTTTGGGCACAACACATCGCAAAAAGGGATCGTGACCGATGGTGACGAATGACAGTGGCAGTAGGGGGGTTGCAACGCATTTAAGAGGGCGTCCACTATCCACCGGGGAAATGGAAATCAGGTCTTGTGCAGGTGCTCGCTGGATTGTTGCGTCACAGGAATTGTGAGAGATGGAAACGGCTCTGGGACAGTAGATAGATTACATCTGATAATGACTTAGCCAATTATGTTTCAAACGTGTTGGCATTTAGGCACGGAGAAAAGCGCTCCAATTTTAGATCCCCCCCGCCCCCTCCCCTGTCGTAGGAGAGCACCCATAATGGAGGTGAAGGAAGGATCTTGCACCTCTCCAGCCTGTAATCTCTGGCTGTGCCAAATAAGACGTGAAAATGTGGACTCCACGAAATTGTGAAAGTAAATTTAAATGAAGGTGTTGCTTCTGCAGTAACTGGCAACCAGGTGATGACCATTGAGCTTGTTACTTCTGTGATACAGGTTACATCTTGAAAGGCAGCCCGGGTTTCAAACCGCGGATCTTTGTGGGGCCGACTCATTAGTTTACAGCCAAGCACAACAAGCTATTGAAGAAGAATCTTAGCTGTAAAAGTTCCTGCTCGCCTTGCTCTCCCCACGCAAGAGCTAGCTCTGCTTCTCATTTTTAGCCTCTGCGGCCACGCTCAGCCGACTCAAATCCGCAGCCAGTTGGTCGCCCGCACCCGCCACGGATTCCGAGGGTGCGGTGGTCGGCTCAGTTGGTGAGGGCGGCCCATAGGGGGGCTCCAGATAGACGCCACCGGCACAGCGCTTGCCCGAGACGGGGTCGACGATCGCGCCCAGCTTGAAGACGATCTCGGCGACCTCGTGGCACACGTGTTTCCCACGTCGCTCAGACAGAGCCTTGAGCAGCACCACGTCACCCACCATGCAGCGCTCCTCGGGGTCGTGCGCAAAGTACGTCTTGCGGCGGTTGAAGAACTGGCCAAAGGGGGTGAGAGAGAGAGAGAGATCGGCACGGTTGGCTACATACGGGGCGAAGGAACTTCCAGATACATAAATACAAGAAAAGCGGGCTTAGGCACAACACGTCGTTGTGACCGATGGTCAAGAATAACAGTGACAGCCGAGGGATGCAACACATTTAAGGGGACATCCACAATCAGCCGTGCGGTCGGTGTCACCACACATCTGTTAATTCCTCACAGATGGCAACGCATGGTACGGTTGAGATCACAGCCGGCTTTGTAAACATCTGTGCGTGGTGTTTTCCACAGCAATAGAGCCACCACTACGGCATGTCTAGCTGGAGATGGCTTGCTAAAAAAAAAAATTACATGCTTAAAAGTAAATTCGTTAAAAGCCCAACTTTAACGAACATATGGTAACAATGATACAATTTCAGTTACAAGGAAAGCATTGCAAACCCCAAGTAACACAATACTATACAGACAATGGATTAGTAAGGTTCTTAACACATTTGTTTTATGTTGCTATTGGAATAAAGAGAATGAAATGTTTCATCTGACCTGCGCGTTTATTTTCCAGGATCTGTATAGCTATAAGCGTGCAATAGTTAGCACAACTATTGCTCTTACCAGTTTATTGTGTCTTAAGATGAAATAAAGTTTCCCTGGATAAATCCATGACATGATTACTTTATCTTCCATGGCTCGTTAGTGTCGTATGCAGCAGACTGAGTCTAAGAAACTTAACTGGTTAACAACATTGGCCCGTTTCACAAAACAGCTGACGTTATTATATTGAACATGTTCTGCTTTAAACGACAAACGTGGAAAATGATACTCAAGGTGCTTTATGGAAACAGGAAAGAACCACGAGCCCTGTTCATGTGGGTTGATATGAACATGTTTAACGCAACTGTTGGGACCACAACTTTTGCAAACAATAGATTAGCTCCTTGAGGTGGGTTAACATTTGCAATAGAGTATTTTGAAAACAGATTTTTGCGTAAATAATTTTAAGGCACCATAGTGTCAAGAGCAATTTCCAGGTAAGTTAATATGCACGAATTTTTTTTGAAGATTGCATTTTATGATGTTTCATTTTTATTATTTTATAATTTCCCTTCTATGTGACTTTACCGAAAGAACCACGAAGAAGATTAATATGCACGGTTTCAGCTTAGAAGAGGCATCGTTACTGGTGCAGTATGCTGAAGTAGGCATGTAACGATGCATCGATTAAAACTGAATGTCACGCTAATAAATGCATTTGCTTGTGCACGTGAGAATCGATTATTTACTATTTATGCGAAGTATTAAATGACACGCTAATCTAAACATTTCTACATATTGAAGACAACAACACTATATAACTATAAACAAGACAGCGTTATTACCAATGTAACCATAAAAAAACAACGAAAACTAATTGATTCTTGGAACAAACCGCATATAACCCGGGTATACAAATGTGTAGATGAACAAGGTGAGATGCCAAGGGTCTCCCCGCGTGTGGCGTTCGACTGCGAAAAGAGCTTTATAGCTCATCGGATTCCTCCAAGTATAATTATTCTGATCGAGCCCCACTCACCTTGGTCAGGTACTTGTCCAGCACCATTCTCGTGACCCGCACCTTGGCCGTTTTGCACATCTTGGTGCCGATCACCTTGCCGATGATCAACTTGGCGTGCACGTTCAGCGCTTTCCTCACCACAGTCGACATCTGGCAAAGAGGAGTGATCAGACGAAGCTTAAGTGCTGATGGAGGGTCTCTTGAAACAACAAAGTTCCCTCCTTAACGGAATGTTGGGGCAAGTGCTGTTAGCGAGTAGCAACCTATGAAGGCCGGCACGGCACACAAGGGGGTGGGGGGGTGACCAGCACCACGCCCGGCCGCCTTTATCTCCCCAGTGGCGATGTTTTACACATCGCACCAGCTACTTATATGAGGCTGAGTCAACCTTGGGGAGGCCCAGGACCGGTTACAGATAATCGTCACCGATGTTGGCCGTGAGCGGGAATCGAACTCGGATCATGCTTTGTTTAAAATAAAACCACACACGGCCGTATGGCACAAGTGGCGTGCGAAATAAATGCATGGGGTCTGTCTACTGGCTCAGCCGGCCTTTAAAGTATCCCATTTAATCACGTGGAGGTGAACCCAGATTCAAAAGGTCTCCGCTCAATGATGGGCCCGACATCCGAGCCTCCCCGAGCCTCCCCTGTGAGTGTGTCACACTGTGAATGTGTCACACTGTGTAAGTGTGACTCACACACTGTGAGTGTCACACACTGTGTGAGTGAGTGTGACACCGTAAGTGAGTGTCACACACTCCGTGAGTGAGTGTGTCACTCTGTGAGTGTCACACTGTGTCACACTGTGAGTGTGTGTCACACTGTGAGTGTGTGTCACACTACGTGGGTGAGTGTGTCACTCTGTGAGTGTGTTTCACACACTTTGTGTCACTCTGTGAGTGTGTGTCACTCTGTGAGTGTGTGTCACACTGTGAGTGTGACACTCTGTGAGTGTGTCATACTCTGTGTCACACTCCGTGAGTGAGTGTGTCACACTGTGAGTGTCACACTGTGAGTGTGTCACACTCTCTGTGTCACACTCCGTGAGTGAGTGTGTCACTCTGTGAGTGTGTCACACTGTGAGTGTGACACTCTGTGAGTGTGTCACACTCTCTGTGTCACACTCCGTGAGTGTGTCACACTGTGAGTGTCACACTGTGAGTGTGTCACACTCTCTGTGTCACACTCCGTGAGTGAGTGTGTCACTCTGTGAGTGAGTGTGTCACACTGTGAGTGTGACACTCTGTGTGTCACACTCTCTGTGTCACACTCCGTGAGTGTGTCACACTGTGAGTGTGTCACACTCTCTGTGTCACACTCCGTGAGTGAGTGTGTCACTCTGTGAGTGAGTGTGTCACACAGTGAGCGTGTCACACACTCTGTGTGTCACACTGTGAGTGAGTGTGTCACAGTCTGTGTCACACTGTGAGTGAGTGTCACTCTTTGTGTCACACTGTGAGTGAGTGAGTGTCACACACTCTGTGAGTGTCACACACTCTGTGTCACACTCCGTGTCACACACTCTGTGGCACACTCTGTGAGTGAGTGTGTCACACACTCTGTGTGTCACACTGTGAGTGAGTCACACACTCTGTGTGTCACACTGTGAGTGAGTGTGTCACAGTCTGTGTCACACTGTGAGTGAGTGTCACTCTTTGTGTCACACTGTGAGTGAGTGTCACACACTCTGTGAGTGTCACACACTCTGTGTCACACTCCGTGTCACACACTCTGTGACACACTCTGTGAGTGAGTGTGTCACACACTCTGTGTGTCACACTGTGAGTGAGTCACACACTCTGTGTGTCACACTGTGAGTGAGTGTGTCACACTCTGTGTCACACTGTGAGTGTCACTCTTTGTGTCACACTGTGAGTGTCACACATTGTGTCACACTGTGTCACTCTTTGTGTCACACTGTGAGTGAGTGTCACACACTCTGTGAGTGTCACACACTCTGTGACACACTCTGTGAGTGAGTGTGTCACACACTCTGTGTCACACACTGTGAGTGTGTCACACACTCTGTGTGTCACACTGTGAGTGTCACACACTGTGAGTGTCACACACTCTGTGTCACACTGTGAGTGAGTGTGTCACACACTCTGTGTGTCACAGTGAGTGAGTGTGTCACACACTCTGTGTGTCACACTGTGAGTGAGTGAGTGTCACACTCTGTGTCACACTGTGAGTGAGTGTGTCACACACTCTGTGTGTCACACTGTGAGTGAATGTGTCACACACTCTGTGTGTCACACTGTGAGTGAGTGTGTCACACACTCTGTGTGTCACACTGTGAGTGAGTGTCACACTCTGTGTCACACTGTGAGTGTGTCACACACTCTGTGTGTCACACTGTGAGTGAGTGTGTCACACACTCTGTGTGTCACACTGTGAGTGAGTGAGTGTCACACACTCTGTGTGTCACACTGTGAGTGAGTGTGTCACACACTCTGTGTGTCACACTGTGAGTGAGTGTCACACTCTGTGTCACACTGTGAGTGAGTGTGTCACACACTCTGTGTGTCACACTGTGAGTGAGTGTGTCACACACTCTGTGTGTCACACTGTGAGTGAGTGAGTGTCACACTCTGTGTCACACTGTGAGTGTGTCACACACTCTGTGTGTCACACTGTGAGTGAGTGAGTGTCACACTCTGTGTGTCACACTGTGAGTGAGTGTCACACTCTGTGTGTGCGCGTTGTCTCTCACGCTGCTGCTGCTGTTGCCGTGGTCGGAGCACGCGCGAGGCAGCCACCAAGGTCGTCGCGGCGCGATGACGTTCAAGCGCCGCGACGGAAACCCCGCGGGGTCAAACCCTCGAGTTTACAAACGCGAAAGGGGTTTACAGAAATAAACTCAACGTGATAATAGGGGTTTCATCATAGTAATAGGTTTTTACCCTTTCAACTGGTACAGAAACTGACACCTTTATACAAGGCATCATCTTTGCAATAACCACAACACAAGCAGTCAAAATGCAAACATGATGCCTTGTATAAAGGTGTCAGTTTAGTACCAGTTGAAAGGGTAAAAACCTATTACTATATTTTGCCACTGGTAAAGGAGGTCTCATAGTGTAATAGGGGTTTCCCCCTTTTTTCTGGCAACAAAACAGCTGTTAAGATGTTAAAACACCAAAATTTTACAAGGAATCATGTCTGCACGAACCACAATGCTTGTGGTCAGAATGTAAACCAAAAACATACTTTGATAAAAATAATATAAATAAAATAAAATAAAATTCTCACGACGTTTCAGCCACAACACAAGCAACCGTGTTGTGGCCGAAACGTCGTGAGAATTGTATATTATTGTTTTATTTTTTATTATTTTTTAATTATTTCCCTTCTACGTGGCTTTACCGAAAGAACCAAGAAGATGAATCCCTGCAGTCACGAAAGCTTTAAATCGAAATTTATACTCTGATATTTGCATTGTTCTTGAAACTGGTTGGTCCACAATAGAGACAACTTTCTTTTGAGCCTCGTCTCAAACGGTGTTAGACCAGAGGACGCCAAAAAGCGTACAGCCTTAAACTAAACGTCTTAAATGTTAAATAAAGACTCGCAATTACAGCGCTGTGGTTGTTGTCAATCATAACAACGCACGTTTACATACGAAGGATGCTTGATTAATAAAAATAACTATCACCATATTCACTATCAGTATTGACATGAATCCTTGTAAAATGTTTCAGTTTTTTGCCATAAAAAAGGTAAAAACCCCTGCTATTATTATATTTTGGTATTGGCAAAGGAGGTATAATGATGTTATGATATATTAAATCTTTAAAACTGTTTGGCCTACACAAGAGACAGGCTTCTTTAGGGCCTAGTCTCACCACCAGTCAGACAAGAGAACAACAAGGCGAACAGTACATGAACAATGCACGTATAAGGGCATTTATAGATCGGGTGAGCAGCTATATAATAGGATTACCCATTTGCCAGTATGATAAAAACAATAGGGTTTACCCTTTATGTAAATGCAACAGGTGTTAAAGATATTCGAACGCCAAATATAAACTTTTGAGCAAAGGGAATTGCCAGAAAAGGGTAAAACCTATGCTTATTTTTTTAGTTACTCGTTGGTTCTTTCGGTAAAGCGACGTAGGTATAAAATAAAACTTTGATATTGGCAACATGATACTGTATACGTCCAGCGCTGTACTCGCGCTCTGCCGTAGAGGCAAAGGCCTCGTAACTTGTTTTTATTGTAACTTCACTCTTCGTCGCGTGGTGGTTAAAGCCCAAAGCAAACGAATTCAGGTTCGACTTTAAACCCCGGGTAAAGTCACGGTAGGGCGCTGTAAAGAAAACCCCGCCGCGTTCCCTTCGCGATTCCCCTCAGGGTTTAAAATAAACAAAAAGCGCGGGAAGCGCCATTGACGGTTTCACGGCGCCCCCTCCCCCCCCCGCGGCGCCCCTCCCCCTCGCGCCTCCTACACGGAGAGTTTCGCGGCGCCCCTCCCCCCCCGCGGTGCCCCTCCCCCTCCCGCCTCCCCCCCCCGTGGCGCCCCGCCCCCTCGCGCCTCCCCCCCCCGCGGCGCCCCTCCCCCTCGCGCCTCCTCCCCCCTCGTGGAGCCCCTTTCCCCCCGTGGCGCCCCTCCCCCCCCCGCGGTGCCCCTCCCCCCGCGGTGCCCCTCCCCCTTCCGCCTCCTCCGCCCCGTAGCGCCCCCCCCGCGGCGCCCCTCCCCCCCGCGGCGCCCCTCCCCCCCCCCCGCGGCGCCCCTCCCCCTCGCGCCTCCTACACGGAGAGTTTCGCGGCGCCCCTCCCCCCCCGCGGTGCCCCTCCCCCTCCCGCCTCCCCCCCCGTGGCGCCCCGCCCCCTCGCGCCTCCCCCCCCCGCGGCGCCCCTCCCCCTCGCGCCTCCTCCCCCCTCGTGGAGCCCCTTTCCCCCCGTGGCGCCCCTCCCCCCCCCGCGGTGCCCCTCCCCCCGCGGTGCCCCTCCCCCTTCCGCCTCCTCCGCCCCGTGGCGCCCCCCCCGCGGCGCCCCTCCCCCCCCGCGGCGCCCCTCCCCCCCCCCCGCGGCGCCCCTCCCCCTCGCGCCTCCTACACGGAGAGTTTCGCGGCGCCCCTCCCTCCCACGCGGTGCCCCTCCCCCTGCCGCCTCCCCCCCCTCGTGGCGCCCCGCCCCCTCGCGCCTCCCCCCCCTCGTGGAGCCCCTTTCCCCCCGTGGCGCCCCTCCCCCCCCCGCGGCGCCCCTCCCCCCCCGCGGCGCCCCTCCCCCCCTCCGTGGCGCCCCTCCCCCTCGCGCCTCCTCCACGGAAATTTTTCGGTAAAGTCACGTAGGTAAAAATAAATAAATATAAGAAAATAAAAATAATTATTATTTCTTATTTTTTACCTACGTGACTTTACCGAAAAAACCTAAGAAAAGGTATCCTTGCAGTCACGAAAGCTTCAAATCTAGAATCCTCCACGGATAGTTTCGCGGCGCCCTCTCCAGCCCCACCCCCACTATGTTCTGCAATATTTTGCTGTCTTTTCTTGGATTTTCTGTTTGCACATAGTCACTTTAAGAAGTTTTTTGTTCATGTTTTTTGTTTGTTGCGGTTGCACCCGATTCAAGAGCCAAATGGCTCACAGGGCTATACCTAATAAATAAACTTGAAACTTGAATGTTGGAATTCTCCGGTCCCATTCGCGTTCGGATTATAAGACGCTGCAGAAAGTGAAACGCAATCCCCCCCCACCACCACCACCGTCCCACCCACCTGAGAACGTACGCTCATCGTGTCTAATACACTTACACAAAATCGCCGCACTCTGCACCGACTGCCGGATTATAAGGCGCATCTCCCAACTCTTTGATGATAAAACAAGGCAACATTTGTATGGTGATCCGTTGAATGCGTTGTTACCTGGGGGGCGGTGGTGAGTGGTGGGTGGGAGTGGTTGGTGGGGGGTGGGAGGGGTGGTGGGGGGGGCGGTGGTGGTGGGAGGGGGGGGGGATGGTGGGTGGGGGGGGGGCGGTGGTGAGTGGTGGGTGGGGGGGGCGGTGGTGAGTGGTGGGGGTGGTGGTGGGTGGGAGGGTGGGACGGGGGCGGTGGTGGTGGGTGGGGGTGGTGGGTGGGAGGGGTGGTGGTGGGTGGGGGCGGTGGATGGGGGGGGGGCGGCGGGTGGGGGTGGTGGTGGGAGGGGGTGGTGGTGGGTGGGATGGTGGGTGGGGGGGGCGGTGGTGAGTGGTGGGTGGGGGGGGCGGTGGTGAGTGGTGGGGGTGGTGGTGGATGGGAGGGTGGGAGGGGGGCGGTGGTGAGCGGTGGGTGGGGGGGGCGGTGGGTGGGGGGGGCGGTGGGTGGGGGGGGCGGTGGGTGGGGGGGGCGGTGGGTGGGGGGGCGGTGGGTGGGGGCGGTGGGTGGGGGGCGGGGCTACGCGTTAGGCTCCTCCCCCTTCTGCAGTGGCCCCGCCCCTCGTCGGCCTTGCCGCTCGCAGTTGAATCGATTCTCTAAAAAGCAACAACGAGGCGAGGAACTCGGAGACCAACAACAACAACGACGACTACGACTAAAACAACAACACGGGGAGACGCATTACTGCCGTAGAGAGTGACTGCCGACATTAACGTGGCGAGTGGGGTAGTCGGGGGGGGGGGGGCTCAGGTATCGTGAGGAGGATAGAAGACGATGTTATAGGAAGCGCCCAGGCGCGTACGGATTAAACGCAACCATGGGCCGTCATCATCATCACCATCCTCATGCCCAGGCGCCGAGACGCGGCGGCGTTTAAAGTTATCCCGTGGTTCTCGATATTTTGTTGTTGTTGCTGCTACTACTACCTACTACTACTATCCGCTGTTGCGTTATTGTCGGAGGCGGCGGCGGCGGCGGAGGAAGATGTCCCTCATGTCGTTGAAGAAGAAGCAGCCCAAGACGTTCAACGTTCGCGTCAACACCATGGACGCCGACCTGGAGTTCGGTTGCGAGGTGGGGTAACCCGGTTACTATGGGGGGGTAACCTGGTGTTTACTATTGGGGGGGTAACCCGGTTACTATGGGGGGTAACCTGGTGTTTACTATGGGGGGGGTAACCCGGTTACTATGGGGGGTAACCTGGTGTTTACTATGGGGGGGGGTAACCTGGTGTTTACTATGGGGGGGGGGGGGGGTAACCCGGTTACTATGGGGGTAACCTGGTGTTTAATATGGGGGGGTAACCCGGTTACTATGGGGGGTAACTTGGTGTTTACTATGGGGGGGTAACTTGGTGTTTACTATGGGGGGTAACCCGGTTACAATGGGGGGTAACCTGGTTACTATGGGGGGTAACCTGGTTACTATGGGAGGTGACCTGGTTACTATGGGGGGTGACCTGGTTACTATGGGGGGTAACCTGGTGTTTACTATGGGGGGTAACCCGGTTACTATAGGGGGTAACCTGGTGTTTACTATGGGGGGGGGGGGTAACCCGGTTACTATGGGGGGTAACCTGGTGTTTACTATGGGGGGGTAACCTGGTGTTTACTATGGGGGGAGTAACCCGGTTACTATGGGGGTAACCTTGTGTTTACTATGAGCGGTAACTCGGTGTTTACTATGGGGGGGGTAACCTGGTGTTTACTATGGGGGGGGGGTAACCCGGTTACTATGGGGGGTAACCTGGTGTTTACTATGGGGGGGTAACCTGGTGTTTACTATGGGGGGGTAACCCGGTTACTATGGGGGTAACCTTGTGTTTACTATGAGGGGTAACTCGGTGTTTACTATGGGGGGGGGTAACCCAGTGTTTACTATGGGGGGGTAACCTGGTGTTTACTATGGGGGGGTAACCCGGTTACTATGGGGGTAACCTTGTGTTTACTATGAGGGGTAACTCGGTGTTTACTATGGGGGGGGTAACCCAGTGTTTACTATGGGGGGGTAACCTGGTGTTTACTATGGGGGGGTAACCTGGTGTTTACTATGGGGGGGGTAACCCGGTTACTATGGGGGGTAACCTGGTGTTTACTATGGGGGGGTAACCCGGTTACTATGGGGGGTAACCTGGTGTTTACTATGGGGGGGTAACCTGGTGTTTACTGGGGGGTAACCCGGTTACTATGGGGGGTAACCTGGTGTTTACTATGGGGGGTAACCTGGTGTTTACTATGGGGGGGTAACCTGGTGTTTACTATGGGGGGTAACCTGGTGTTTACTATGGGGGGGTAACCTGGTGTTTACTATGGGGGGTAACCCGGTGTTTACTATGGGGGGGTAACCTGGTGTTTACTATGGGGGGTGGGGGGGTAACCCGGTGTTTACTATGGGGGGGTAACCTGGTGTTTACTATGGGGGGTGGGGGGGTAACCCGGTGTTTACTATGGGGGGGTAACCTGGTGTTTACTATGGGGGGTGGGGGGGTAACCCGGTGTTTACTATGGGGGGTAACCTGGTGTTTACTATGGGGGGGGGGTAACCCGGTGTTTACTATGGGGGGGGTAACCTGGTGTTTACTATGGGGGGTGGGGGGGGGGTAACCTGGTGTTTACTATGGGGGGTGGGGGGGTAACCCGGTGTTTACTATGGGGGGTAACCTGGTGTTTACTATGGGGGGGGGGGTAACCCGGTGTTTACTATGGGGGGGGTAACCTGGTGTTTACTATGGGGGGTGGGGGGGGGGGGGTAACCTGGTGTTTACTATGGGGGGGTTGACATTGCCTACAACGGGCCTAACGCGGGATTTAACTTCGCCTTAACGCATGGTTTAGAACACACACGAGGTTATCTTAGCCTCACGGCAGCGTTAACACACACACGAGGTTATCTTAGCCTTACGGCAGCGTTAACACACACACGAGGTTAACTTAACCTCACGGCAGGGTTAACACTCACGAGGTTATCTTAGCCTTACGGCAGGGTTAACACACACGAGGTTATCTTAGCCTCACGTCGGGTTAACACACACGAGGTTAACTTAGCATAACGGCAGGGTTAACACACACGAGGTTAACTTAGCATAACGGCAGGGTTAACACACACACACACGAGGTTATCTTAGCCTCACGTAGAGTTAACACACACGAGGTTAACTTAACCTTACGGCAGGGTTAACACACACGAGGTTAACTTAGCATAACGGCGGGGTTAACACACGAGGTTATCTTAGCCTCACGGCAGGGTTCACACACATGAGGTTATCTTAGCCTCACGTCAGGGTTAACACACACACACGAGGTTATCTTAGCCTCACGGCAGGGTTAACACACACGAGGGTAACTTAGCATAACGGCAGGGTTAACACACACGAGGTTAACTTAGCATAACGGCAGGGTTAACACACTTGTGCGCACACGTGTCTTTGTCTGCACAGGGCAGCTCGCTGTGTTAAAGACCACGTAGGAAGTTTAACAGGGTCTGTCTTTCTCTCTCACGTTGTTTTTTCCCATCAGCCCGAATTAGTTATTGTACTAACGCAGAGATGATTGGAATTGTCTGGATGTCCACAGTACTTATGCCACGTGGAGGGCACACGTTAAAACATGGCTTAGTTTTAAAACACATTCTTAGTTTTACATACTTTGATACTGCCAAAGAAAAGGGTCTCGAATTTCGATTTAAAGCTTTCGTGACTGCAGGGATTCATCTTCTTGGTTCTTTCGGTAAAGTCACGTAGAATGGAAATAATAAAATAATAAAAATAAAACAATAAAATAATTCTCACGACGTTTCGGCCACAACTCAAGCAGCCGTCCTCAGGTGAAGAATAGGTCTGTCGAGAAGACACGTCGTGAGAATTATTTAATGTTTTATTTTTATTATTTTATTATTTCCATTCTACGTGACTTTACCGAAAGAACCAAGAAGAAAAAGTGTCTTGTTTTTGATGGCTTTAGTTTGGGTGTCACCCTCGCTGCTAATGCGACCCTTACACTGATTGAAGCCCTTAAATTGCTTTGAACGGGAACTGCTGGCTGGAAGGGGCCTCTCTTCACTTGGGGTACTTGGTCTACTCTTCCACTGCACAGGGGGGAGGGTCTCTGTCATTGTACGAATGCGTTACTGTATTCGAGTTGGAGTTAGAAGCGGAATGACAAACCATTGCAGGAACGGAATAGTGGATATGATGATGACCGACATCTTTCAACACATCAGTAGTAACATCATTTGAGTGTATGGTATTTAAAATACGTATTGTAATTCTGCAAGCGCCTCATCCAGCTGTCAATCACAACAAACCGGTTATTCGTAACGGTTTGGTTCCTCTTCCAAAAAGCATAAAGTACTTACATTTATTGTGCGTCCAGTGTTAGTTTTCGCCAAAGTGGAATAACAGAATGTATTTGTTTAATGAATCAACGAGAACGCAAATGTATGTAATCATGACATTTGGAGTAATCCGTCTTTAAGCAGTTACATAACACTCAACTTGGTTATTTCACTCATTTAATTAATTCACTTTTCTCCAAAGTGTTTTTTTATTGTCGTGGGCCAAGCCAGTTGGTGGTATTTTCTTGCCTAGACCCCCCCCCCTGTCACCACCACCACCACCACTGGGGGGTTCAGGTTCGTGCCCCTAGGCTGTATCGTTCAGGCAACACGGGAGGGTGGGGGGGGGTTTAAAAAAACGACACGGTCCGCGGTTAATTTTAATGGCTTAACAAAAAACGCGTTGCAAACAAGAAGCAGTGAAGAAGAATAAGTTTTGACTGCTGTGGCGTTACATTTGAAGAAGGCGGCAACCCAGGGTACAGATGTAACCCCAATTTAACTGTCAACCCATACGGTTTTTACCCCGTATTCTTGTACAGGTAAATTGAGTTTCCAGGTTCTATATATACGGTGTTACAGCCGTTTCAATACGGGGTTTGTAGGATGAACGTTGAGATTTATAAGGCCACGGGGTGATCAATAACATGTGAATTGGTCTGTAATAAAGTAGGCACTGATTAGGGGTTGACATTTATGTCTTAACAAGCGGTGGATCATTTCAAACAGACCACTTGGCGCTGTTAGTCGTTGATGAAGGTTTTTGTTGGCAGGAATTTTTGGCGGGGTATTGTAAGCTTTGGGTAGTTTTACATATTTGAGTACTGCCAATGAGGCCTTTGATGCAAGCGTTTCAAAAATGAAGTTGATGGCAGTGGTTAGGTTAGGAATGGGGCCCCGTTTACCCTTAATCACGGGTGTCAATATGGTGTAGCAATGTGAACTTTCCTTGGGCAGTGATTTTTTAGCCGGTTACACAAAGATTAAGACATTATATTTGCAGAGCGGTTTTTCATGGACTATTTTAGAAGAACAGAGGTCGAATTTGGTGTTCAAAGATGGGCGTTTGAGGCAGTAGTAATGTTTGTTACTATTAAAACCAGAGGGCCTAACTCTAACGACAATGTTCTTTCTTTAACAATACTTGCAGAGCATGAATTTAATATGAAGAATGTTGTAAGAAACTTGAAATTTGGTTAGAGTATCGCAAAGTTGTTGATCAGGAAAAGTAACAGTTGCAACGGGATGTGTGCAGAATGGAGGCCACGTTACTGAGACTGGCATTGGATTTGACACACACAAGTTGTTGACCAAGGATAACTTTAACCACATCTTGGGATAATGTAAGAGCAGACCTTGTTGGCCAGGTGTTGATATTGAAACAACTACAATATCTGAAGGAAATAAAAGGGAAAGTATAGTGACAACAGTAGGATTGGTAATGATGACCCCTTGAATACTCAAAAGGGTTTGTCTTACAACACTTGAATTTAAGAGGTTTTTTTCAACTTCACTGCAACAAAACAACAATTCATGCATTTTATCCATGTCCATTTGTTATTATTAACATAATGGAGAGAGCCCAGGGACAGAACATACCGTTTGGTATACTCGGCATTGTTAAACTTTTTGAAGAAGTCTCCATCCTGTGTGACCAGGTTATGGAATGATGTGCGTTCCAAGGGATTTCAAATCCTCCGAAACATCGCCGTCTCTTGTAAAACGACGGAGCTCAGGTTGTAAGTAGCATGAGCATAAAACATTTTGGAAATCCACATCTGCTTGCTTAGATTGGCTCGTTTCAAGGTAGGATGAGTGGTGATCTAATGATCTGACGTACGGTTATGGAGACAGATCCGGTGTGGGGAGTGAGTTGGGTATGCACGCCCTTGGTTTTAAGTGTGCGTAGTTTACCTTGCCGTTACATTTTTGCATGTCTGGGCAGGACTAAAAACGTGTTCATACGTTGGATGAATATTCTGATGGCTATTGTTGAAGGTGAATACTTGCCACTGCTAATTAATTCAGAATCAGAATGTGTGTTTATATTGGAGGAATCCTATGAGCCATGAAGCTCTTTTTCACGGATGTCCAGTTAGGTACTTTGCACTCGTATTGTACAAAAACACGATAGGAGGGCAAAGTTACAAGAAAGGTAAACACATCTCTCAAACAGATACAAATGAAACTAAACCATCCCCACCCTACCAGGCAAAGCCCACTAAGGTATTAACTTATTTTTCAGAAGTGACCTGGCTACAAATGATAGCTCAACAAAGTGGCTCATAATTTGGACATTTATAGCACCAAAATGATCTAAATTATCTCAATGTATTTTTTTTTATAAATGTTTAATTAATGTACAGTCGTTTTTTTTTACGCTTTCCAAAAACCAACCAATCTTGCTCTCAAGTGGAGACTTTATTCCATTCCACGACGATAATGTTTGTTGTCTGCGTATTTGTTGAGTTCGAATGTTAATTGTAAACAATATAAACTATGATTGTTAACCAATTTTACTCGTCAAATGGTAAGAGTTAAATGTATAATATGTTACCCTAAATAACCTGTTAACCCTGTGCCGCTGAGCAACCGACACAGCAGACACCTCGTGCAAACAGATAGAAACATCTCAAGCCGCAGGAGGCAATATACAAAGTAGACTTTGTCAGCAGTTAAAAGTTGAGCACAAGGGGGGGACATGATGATGGCTGGTGAAATCCAAGTTAAAAACTAGGTTCATAAAAGCGTTGTCTTGAGCAATCGTGCATTAGTCCTTAAAAATAGTACGCCCCAAGAAATAACCACCAGTAGCTAGTGTATACTGCAGCTAGAATGACGGACCATGTGTATCATTAGAGTGATTTCCCCCTCTCCCGTTCCAATTGCTGCTATCTGCAGCTATTGTGGGAAATAAGCAGGTGTCGTGCTGAGGCTGTGAACAGCAGTCCCCGTAGCCAGCCGGGAGGAGGGGTGGTTACAATGAGCTTAAAGCAGTTGCAGATTTTTTTTCTTTCTGCCGAGGCGGCTGGATTATCTTGCAGCAACATGTGGTGGAGGGGCGATAGTTATATTACGCTGCCCATTGAGGTGCGCCTGAAGTGTACCTTGGATCGAGGAGGTGCTCAGGCCAGGAAACCTTCCTGTTTAAGAGATGTTTCGAAACGGGGGGGCAGGAAGGAGAGGGGCAGCTTGCCCCTTTACTAGTGTAATATTCGTGGCAAGGTACAACATTTGGCGATGATGAACATGGGGCCTTTAGAATTTAGAAGTGCCGGCTTGCATGTTGTCTCTAGGCATACGGCCGAGCCCAATCCGTCATCTTTTGCCGCCCGCTTGGTCAGTGGTGATGGAATGGATTATGGCGCTTGATGTTTTCCAAACGACTAATCCCCTCGGCAGAAGGTATACGACATTCGAACGAAAGGTGATTTTTTAAAAACTAAAGGAAAGTCCATCTCGACTCAGAGTTTCATTACATCGGTAGCCTGTCTCAATGGCTGTGGGAATACATTCACCTTGCAAGCCAGGTCCCACCGTCTCTGCCAGAGTAGGCCTAATTACACTGTTTGATTTTATAAACATTTTGAAGAAATGTCATGCATATTCCTCGGGCAGTACTTTTTTGTACAGGTGATATCGGAGAGGAACTCTTTCGTTTTTTAAAGGTGTTATCAACATTGTGCTTATTGGGAAGATTGAGAGACGATGCGGGTTTTGTTGTTGGGAGGCCTGAAAATAATAGCCACTCCCCAAGACGATGAACATTTTTGGCTGTCTGTTGAGAAACCACCAACAATCTCGTGAAATGTGACCAAGAGTCACCTTCAAATAATTTAAAACATTAAAAAGTTTGCATAACTCCATGGATTACACGGGATTATTTAAGCTGGATAACCCTACGCCTGGGAGGTTAGCTGTTCACAGCCCAATGATGTCACTTACAGCCCACATTTATTGCATAGCGTTTTAACACAAATGAGGTTAACAATATAACCATTTTGACGGGTAACTTAGAAGAACATGTTTGTTCGTTTTATATGCATTGCCAACTTTTTTTTATTAATCCCTTGTAAGCCTTATACCAAAGCATGTTCAGACATGTGGATTTTTTTTCTATTTAACTTACAAACTGCTTTTATGTAAATGGAATATAAAAAAATATTCTCTCCTGCCAGATCAGCACCGTACTTGGAATGCTTTTTTTTGGCATCAAATCAAGTAATTTACTGACCAGGTACTGTAAATAATTGGAAATAATGATGCCATATCATGCTCATTTGAAAATAACGGCTGGTTTGTACATAGTAGTGAAATATAAGTGTTAATATCGCGTATGTTTTACTATGAAAAATATGAAGCCTTCTCTCTTGACCTGCTTGTAACTCACTTTTTTTATATAACCGTGTTTTGTTACAGATTAAAATGAAGGGGAAGGATCTCTTTGACCTAGTGTGCCGCACTATTGGCCTGAGGGAAACGTGGTTCTTCGGTCTTTGCTTCATGGTTAAAGATACCCTCACGTGGCTGAAGATGGAAAAGAAGGTGAGGAATATGTGGGTTTGTCTCGGACCATTGGTAGTGTTGCCTCTAAAATATACAGGTATTCCTCTACTTACGATGGGGATGCGTTATGACGACCCCATCGTAAGTCAAAAATATCGTAAGTCGAAGATGGCCTAGCCTACCCAGGAGTCTTAAAGAATGGTGATAATTTAGCAAAACAGAGCAATTTACAGTAGCGTACTTTATAAACTGAATTTATTAATGACAATACTGTTTTGCACGGTAAAATGTAAAGTAAAAACAAGGTAAATTCTTAGCCTACCTATATGAACTGCAATTTAATAGAAAGTTTTTTTCAGCAAACAATCCTATCTGCATCACGCAAGGCGGGAGATGCGTACATCCCGGCAGCGTCCCAACGTACAGCATCGTACCTCGTACGCTACTGCGTATGCCTGCCACGCAAAATTTTAATATTTAACAATTTTGTCGTCTCGCTATCGCCATCGTAAGATCGAAATATCGTAAGTCGGACCATCCTAACTCGGGGGACGATCTGTACCTACAGCCAGCGATGTGCAGTTATATTTGCAGTCGGCACTTGGGTCTTCAAGTTGCCTAAGATGGTCCCATATATTTCTAGCCTTGCAAATCATTTGGGCTAGAACAATGCATTTATTCGCATCGGTGTTTATAAATTAATGTGTGTGTAATAATACTATGTTCACATCACCCCTGAAGTTACTAGACATGCTTACAATCCTCCACGATGTAAAAAAGGCAAAGATTTTTTTTTATTGAATTGTGACCCTGCTTCACAACTGTTCAGCTAATCATCGGGAGTGAATTTCTCCACCGCTACTAATCACACATTGCACAGTGGTCATAAAGAGTTACAGAGGTTTTTATTTTTCATGATGATGTGTCCATTAAGCTCGCATAATTGATTTCGATTACGGAGTAATTCTCGAGTGATCTTTTATTGGCTGATGAGAACGATGTGCTCAACATCCTTAGATTGGATAAAAGTGATTGGTCCGATTGTTTTTTGATTGGGGTGTAATGACTTCTGTGCATTAAACTGCACTGGACCATTACCAGAGAGTGGCACGTCACAATTATAATTCAGCTCGTTTCACGCATCACCACATCCTCCCCATTTCTGCTCACATTTTTCATTATGGTGCTTAATGTGGATTGTGCTGAAATAGTTTTCTGAGATGAGATGAGGGACTGGGGTGTGTTGCATTTGAAAACGCTTGAGAGTTGTTTCACAGAAACTAAGTGATACACAGACGTGTACAGATTGAGTCACTGATACATTGTGTTTGGTTGCCATTTGTTTTTTTGCCATCTCATTTGCTGGACATAGTTAAACAGGAATGCCCTAGGTGGTTTGCGTGTCTTGGGAGCCAGTGTTGGCCTGTTCAAAATGCAATCACGATCCTCCGTTACCTTTTGTGTGGCATCCATCACAGGTTGTACAGTCGTTTGGATGAACACCCCGATGATCCAAAAACCAAGGTTCACATTCATAATCAACGTTTTTGGGTTTAGATCGCCATTCTGGCGAATTGCCCGATGATGCTGGATGCAATTACCAGCGAAACGTCGTACTCAAATTGTAAATGTTGTGGTTTCACGCTTCAACACACCGGTGGGCTAAAGCAGTGAACTATTTGTCTTTTGTCAACGTGACACTTTTTTACTGATTGGCCGTGTCGGGTGGTGGAGGGTTACGACACATTTATAAATAACGCGATCTAAACCCAAAAACGTTGATTATGAATAATATTGGTCGCGAAAGCCTACGTGTTAAGGTTCACATTGTTTTCATTTGTGTAGCCAGTGTGGCTCGAGGTTGCCAGGTAGGATTTTTACTTATTTACTGTTTTACATATTGATGTATCAGCCCAATCGGAAAGATCATAGCGAATTTGTTTAGCAGTAGAATACCCTTAATGTTTGAAATCAATGCGATGCTGGCATAGAAGTTTTAGTACGGTGATCAAGTATGAACAATCAATGTATGTCCTCTGACGATGATGATGACTTGTATAGCCAATAGATCAGGGTTTTCCCCACATTTACCAGTTTATTCCCATTCAAATGTAAGTTAACTTGTTCCATGCTCCCTGATGATCGTCAAACATGCCCCACTTGATGCGCAAAGCAAATCACGTCGTCAGCGTTCATTGAGCTGATTCAAATTGAGATCTCACTTGGCCTATGTGTGCACGTGTGGGCCACATGCTGCAGACACGGCCGCGTGCACGAGTGGGAGTAAATTGGTAAACGCGGAAAGATGTATAGTGTGGTGGGTCGCGAGGACTAGAGTTTGGAAAACCCTGTTTTTGTTTTCTACTTTTCATGCATTGCGCATTGGGATCCTAGATGGAATGCTCATTATACATTTGAATGAAAAAAAAATACGGCTTTAATGAGATTCACTGCTGTCACCATGCAATGCTGCGGTGATTTTTAGACGGTGCATCCCTGCTGGCTTACTCTGCTGTGACGCATCTTGAAACACTCTTAAGAAAATGTAAACACAGGAGTGTGACCTCAGGAGTGTCAAATGTGAGACTTGGAACATTTTAATTCGCTATTAATCTGAAATAAAAGGATAGTATACTAACTGTGAATATTATAAAGCAGCGTTCTTGCACTATATTTTCCAGGGGGGGGGGGGGGGTGCACATTATAAAATTATCATGTGCCGGTGTCATCACATCATAACGACTGTCCATACAATGACTAATCTGTATCTCTTTTTCTCCACTTCTCTCATTACTTATTTATCTTATTAATAAATATATCGCTTGTCTACAGGTTTTCTACCCCTTACATCTCTTTCATCTTACTAATGTGTTTCCCTTTTTTCCCCCTTTCTCTGGGCCATAACTCGGCAGGCCGCTTTTGGTTCTTGGGCCTGCTAGTTGAAGAAGCCTGTCATAAAATATGATGTTCTGCCATGAAGTAACATGTCTGAAATTTGAGTCAAATTTAACCCTTGTTTTAGGTGCATGCTTTTTAATATCTATCCTTTGGACACATCAATGTATTAATTTATTATTTTGTGTCCAGCAGCAAACGATGCGGTGTTTTGTGACTGCCATTACCATGTACGGCACCTGCAGCAACAGTCGGTGGTGTGTGCGGCTGTGATTGTTGGTGGTGGCAGGTGCTGGAACAGGAGGTTCCCAAGGAGGATCCCATCTCCTTCCAGTTCCTGGCTAAATTCTACCCAGAGTCTGTGGATGAGGAGCTGGTGCAGGAGATCACACAGCACCTCTTCTTCCTCCAGGTGTGTACTGTGCACCACAAAGTGAAAGGGAGAGACGTGGTGTTTGAACTCCACGTCATTAATTCTAGATTTGAAGCTTTCGTGACTGCAAGGATTCATATTCTTAGGTTTTTTTCGGTAAAGTCACATAGGTAAAACATCAAAATTAATGAAAATAAAATAAAATAAAACAAAAATCACGACGTTTCGGAGGCAACACAAGTCTCCGTCATCAAGTGTTCGGTTTCTTGCACAGTCATTTAATTTTATTGTTTGTTTTGACTCGTTTGTTGTAGCCCTCCTTACAAAATAGACTTTGTTTTGAAGTGCTCTCACCTGCTTGTGAATAAATTATAATAACTTATTGTGCCCGTGACGCAGTGGTTAGTGAACTACTATGGACACTATAACCTGAGTTCATTTACCAGCCATGTCTAATATCTGAACAATGAGTTATATCTAAACCAGTTTTGGTCCAGCGTGGTGAAATATGGGTAAACAACCCCCAGATAACTGATATGGCTTAGGGATGCCTTCATCCAGCAGTTGATTGACAAAGGCATCTAAATTATTTAAATAATATTTTATTGTCCCATTTTATGCATCGAAGGCATAAAGTTTCCTTGAAGACAGATATTAGAGCCCTTTGTACAGTGTGAAACTATATGCTACATACCTCTGCCATACATGTTATTGGCTGCCGAATATTATTTTCACGTGTTAACATTTTCCTAGGAGTGCTTCAAGATGCATCACAGCAGAGTGAGCGAGCAGGGATGCATTGCGTCTAAAAATCACCACAGCATTGCATGGTGACAGCGGTGAATCTCATTAAAGCCGTAATTTTTTTTTGAAATGTATAATGCGAATTCCATTCGAAGATCCCAATGCGCAATGCATGAAAAGCAGGAAACAATAACAGAGCCAGGGCAACCGACCAAACTAAAGAGGGAAGGCCACTTTAAAGAGATGGGTTGTCAAAGCAGACTTAAATATATCTCCCAATTCTGATTGCCTGATCTCAAGTGGCAAGGCATTCCATAGCTTGGGTGTCACGCTAATAAAAGGCCGATAACCAAAAGAGCACCACCTAGACCTTGGGAGTGCTGAGAATTGTAGATCAGAAGATCTTAAGGACCTTGATGGAATATATACATGTATTAGTTCCTGCAAGTAATTTAGAAATATTAATTAGCCTTTTGGCATTTGCTAACTTCTACTAACTTAACCCATGTAAACTGAATTTCCTACATTTCCATTAAATTGATTGTTTCCCACAGTAGTTTTGGAATTAATTTATCCTTTACCAGCATCCACTCTTTTTGTGCATTGATACTGAGAGGCGTTGCACGCCTGAAAAGCTGTGATGTTCGTTGGGATGTCGTGAGAAATAATTCAGCATTTTGTATACAAACTTTTCTTTCACAGGTGAAGAAAAAGATCCTGGATGAAGAGATATTTTGTTCACCTGAGGCATCGGTCCTTTTAGCTTCATATGCTGTCCTGGCCAAGGTATTGTATGTTATGAAGTTCATATCCAAACTGCGTACCAATGAAAATAGCTCGTTTTTTCACTGTTGTCCAAGCAGAAACTGGCACAACTGCTTGAGTGTAGTGAGGCTGAAAGTACTGAGTGATGTCACTGATAGAAGAACCACTTTGGGAATGTTCGTTTGGCTCGACGCAGCATTATATTCAGCCACACTCTGGAGGTTATAGATAGTGGCAGCTGACGCACACGCAACATAATTGTTTTTTTTCTCTCATACAGTAAAACTATCTGCACAGCAGTTGAGTAGGTAATTTAACCGGGCTATGGGGAGAAATCTCTCTTAGTGGTTTATAAACAGGGTCGTTCGGTGGGGGGCAACAAAAATGTGATTGGCACCGGTTGCACATTGAGTCTGGTTGCACGTAAGCCTTCATGAAATAGAATTTGTTTGAAAGTGTTCTCCATATCATCTGTTTTCTTTTTGTTTGCTGTCGTTGCAGTATGGCGAATATGATCGGAGCCTGCACACTCCGGGTTTTTTGGCTCAAGATGAGCTACTGCCAAAAAAGGTGAGCGTGCATCGTGTACAAAATAAATATAATATATTCCATTAGGTGTTTCATCCTTATTCGATTTTGCCTGAATGTATTCATGTGTATACGTAAGCTTGTCTCATGTGAGCAGTATTAAAGTTCAGCTCATAGAAATACATCCATCGAAAATAATATTTTTCTAAACCAAGAAAAAAAATATATAAAAATATATAATCCGCTGTCACCTCATTGCCACTGATGTTGAGTTGGTAGTATTTGCTTATTGCACATTTGTCATTTTTATCTGTGAAGAAGCAATGTGCACCGTGCTCATTCTTCTAGAACGTTCTGTTGAGTGTTTTTTCAGTGTTTAAGTCGATCCATATCACATGAATAAGTGACAATTTTCAGGCAATGGTATTTTTTCACATGTAGAAACATTTTTTTTACGATTTGGAGAGGAACGGTCTCCTGTGCGTATTGCGTTGGTTTTGCGTAGATGGCACGGGGTTGATTTTAACCAACAAAGTTTCATGCGGGTAGATGGATAGTCTACAGTTACATTATAGTGGTAATTTATCTTGAATTCTGCCTTGAGAGCGAAAATAATGCATTCCAGTTTGTGAATCGACTTCCACGCTTTTCTGTTGCATCTTGAGTGCCTTTTTATTTCTATCAGGTCATCAACCAGTACCAGTTGACACAGCCAATGTGGGAAGAAAGAATTACAAACTGGTACAAAGGACACCAGGGCATGACCAGGTACATTGATATGCAATATATATTAGCAACCCCATATTAATCTCTGAATAAAAATCGTTAATGTTGGCGATTGATACTGTTAAAGCATCATGTGGATAGCTCCGCTTGATAAGGAAATTGCAATGCATTATCGGGCCTACTGAAATTCATGTGTTTGAGACACGTTTTAAATACAATATTTTATAATGTAACTGGTAACACAAACTGTAAGATATACATCATAACACATATGTAGTTTGCAAAGCGTAATGAAGTAGGGACTTGCGTAAAATGTGACTTACATATGCCAATATATTTGCACTATTTTCCTATTCTTGTATGGCCATTTGACATTAACAATATTGTTTAAATCTTACATTGCATTGGAAGCTTTTTTATATGTAGAAATAGATCTCAGCTCTTATAATGTGGGAAAAGTTATGGCAATATCTTATTAGTCGTGGGATTATGTTTGAGTAATATTTATACTCATGAATTTGTATGTGTGTGATGTATGAATCACACTCTTGTTATTTTGTTTCTTTAGAGATGAAGCTGAAATGGAGTATCTTAAAATTGCCCAAGATCTCGAAATGTATGGAGTGAATTATTTCCCTATAAAGGTAAATGCGTTTTCCATTAAAGTAATTTGACATGACATTACCAATTTATCTTGACAGTGATTGCATTTGTTCCCACATTTGTATTAATGACACTGTGCCTCGTGTGTTTCATTGACATAGGACAAAAAAGGAGTTGATTTCTTGCTTGGTGTCGATGCTCTGGGCCTAAAGATCTTTGAACCCAATGACAAGTTGCAGGCGAAGAAATCGTTTCCGTGGAGCGGAATCAAGAATGTGCAGTACAGTGACAAAGAGGTGGTAACACACGTGACCAGTGGGCACGTATTTGCTTGTGGGGAGAGCTTATCAGCACTTCTCACTGATATGTGTCTATAAAGTGTGTATATGAGGATGTTTGTCCACTGGATGTAAAGCTATAATAAGCTATTGTATTCAGAGACACTAACAGCATTACATTGTTATTTTAGCTCGCTTTTGGAATGGTCTTAGGGGGGTGGTGTGGTGCGGAGATCGCACTATGAAACGGCCGACCTGAGTTTGATTTCTAGACATGGCTATAACACTGGTCAACACACTTTTTCTGGCATAAGGTATTCCAACGGTTTTAAGGTAATTTTGGGGTGCTGATTCCAAATCTGGCATCAGTTTTTGTCTATCACATGTTTTTGAGATATCAAATATAGCATTTTCAATAAAAACTGCAGAAGAACTATATATTAAATAATTGTGGATATCTACATAAAATCATATTATAAACACACTATCCTAAAAATACAGCACCATATTTTAACACTAAAGCAGTCACTGACTCGCAACAACTTGCAATCATAAGTGACAGAGTTAATTTCAGGTAAAATCAATGAAAATGGGGTATGCCGATAGCATAAAAATGCGATGTGATGGAGCAAATCTGAGATCAGATTTGGAATCGGCACCCTGAAATTAGTCTAAAACAGCTGCAAAAGTCCAGGCCAGAAAAAAAGTTTTTTTTGTTGACCAGTGTAATCCGTGGCGAATGATGTCTGAGCAAGTCCTGGGCATCCCACATCACCAACCTGCAATGGGCAGCATGTCCTGGTCACCAATACGGCACGGGGGACGCCTTCAGCCAGAAATGGATTGTTTATTTATGTAATTGTCAAAGAAGATACATTTAAGAAGAAATGCCATTTGCCAGTTTTTTTTTCTGCACAGTTCTTGACCCAAAATGTTTTTCCGCTTCATGTTTTCCAGTTTACCATAAAGCCTCTTGACAAGACAACCGAGGTCTTCAAATTTTACTCTTCAAAGCAGAGAGTAAACAAACTGGTAGGGGCTTAATTCACAACTTGGTGGTTATCTTTGTTAACTCTGTTAACGTGGTTATTAGACATGTGATGTTTCTACCTTGTGATTTGATGAATTGTCACGAATCGTGGTAAATTCATGATATTTTTTACTGTCTTAATTTGCATTGTTTCTGATGTCTTCTATCTTGATTCAAATTGACTTATTTACTCCGTTTGCGTAAATGTAACCGCGTAGAATTTGGATCGTAATGACTTGATTTCTTAAATGCACAATTGATTCGGATGTCTTTCTGAGCGTACGAACTGATTTTCAGTCAATAAATTAATCAGTTATTAATTGTTTTAAGAGGTGTGAACTGATGTGCTAAGTTTTAATCAGAATTTCATTTTATTTGAAACTTTTAATGATCGTGAATTCAGTGAATTTGCTGATGTTAAATATAATGTTGTTCTTATAATAATTGAAAAACATTGAACATCCTCTTGCTATAATTTAAAGCTCAAAGCTTGCGTTGGAAATGGTTTAATATAATGTTGAAGGCATTTGGTTTTATCCATCTGCTTATTTAGTTTATTTCCATGATTATATCTGAAATGTGAATTCCAGATCCTGCAGCTGTGTATTGGAAACCACGACATGTTCATGCGACGGAGAAAAGTAGATTCTATGGAAGTACAACAAATGAAGGCTCATGCCAAAGAGGAGAAGGCACGGAAACAGGTATGGTTATAAGCCGGCTATGGATATTCATCACATACACATGCCTTCCAGAACAAATCCTTAGCAAACGGTAACTTTGTTCACAATAAGGTTTTAGCATTTGGCAGTACGCTGCATTGTATGGCGTGATATGTAGTTACGAAATAGATAAGGAGAATAAGCCTTATAGGTCAATAGCTCGTTTAATCCAGCTCATGAACAGCACAGACTGCCTTCGTGAATCTACCGCCATTTGGCCAGATAACGCTGTGGTTAGAATGCACAATTGAAAGGCTTTGAGTTCAAATCTCAGTTTGGGGTGGGCTCAATCCATAACCCCTTCGGGTCAATAAAACAAGTATAATTTGGTGGAAATGTCAGTGGTTGTCCTTTGGATAAATGAAACTGTATACCTATTGGGGTACATGATGGGAAGCAGAGGACAGTGCAGCAGAATTAATTGTTGTACTCTGCTCCCGCCTTCACCAGTCCACACTTACCAGTGTGGTAAAGTATGGTAAAATAACCCCCATACTTTGTGGCATCAAGAGGCTTTCATCAAGTGGTAGGTTGACAAAAGGGCTGTATATGTACACCGAGGAATATAGAATATCCACCGCTGAATCAAGGGCGACCAGTGGAAACGAGCACCTTCCCATGCTTGTTTGAGCAGGGAAACGCTCTCAGAGTAGCTTGTCGTTGAGTACGTTAAGAGTGGTCCCGAGTGTTAACCTGATGCACACAGTAAAGCATTTTACTTCTTGGTTCTGTCGGTAAAGTCACGTAGAAGGGAAATAAGGTGGGGGAAATGCGCCCAGCTTAAATAGACGCTCCAAGCGTGGTGGTGTTTCATTTAGACGCTGTCGCCTCGACAGACCTGGTCTTCACCTGAAGACGGCTGCTTGTGTTGTGGCCGAAACGTCGTGAGAATTATTTTATTATGTTTTATTTTTATTATTGTATTACTTCCCTTCTACGTGACTTTACCGAAAGAACCAAGAAGATGAATCCCTGCAGTCACGAAAGCTTTAAATCGAAATTTAAAGCATTTAAGTTGAGGATTCCATATTGAAAATTTCCTTTTTTGCCCTGGAGATTGTGAGTGACATTGTGGATGTGATTGACGTTGTGTTTGTATGCAGCTGGAGAGGCAGAAACTCGACAGGGAAAAGCAGCTGAGAGAGGACGCGGAGAGAGCCAAGGATGATCTAGAGAGGCGGCTGTTCCAGATGCAGGACGAGGCTCGGCTGGCCAATGAAGCCCTCGTGAGTGTCGGCGAATTACACGAGCATCGCTCTCTCCGGTCAATAAACAAGCATTTAACTTTCGATTTAAAGCTTTCGTGACTGCAGGGATTCATCTTCTTGGTTCTTTGGTTCTTTCGGTAAAATCACGTAGAAGGGAAGGACGGCTGCTTGCGTTGTGGCCGAAACGTCGTGAGAATTATTTTATTATGTTTTATTTTTTATTATTTTATTACTTCCCTTCTACGTGATGACTTTACCGAAAGAACCAAGAAGATGAAGCGTTTAACTCTTTCACGTGTGCCCTTGTTTCTCAGCTGCGCTCGGAAGACACAGCGGAGCTTTTGGCAGAGAAAGCTCAGATAGCGGAGGACGAGGCCAAACTGCTTGCTCAGAAGGCAGCCGAGGCTGAGCAAGAACTCGGACGCCTGCAGGTCTTTACGTTTGCATTCGTATTTAATTTTGTTTTGATGTGGATATGTTACCAAGTAATCTTTGGCTGCAGATGTTGTATGGCTTTGTTATTCGTCATGTCATAGTTGCTTTAAAAATATATCCGTACAGATTTGATTAGATTGTGCTTCGTGTATGCCCAAGCAAAGTCATTGGAGCTAGAAACATAATTTCTGTCCCTGGGATGTAGGTGACTGCACTAAAGACAGAGGAGGAGCGACGACTCACGGAGCAGAATGCTCGTGAAACTGAGCGCATTGCTCTACAACTTGCCAAGCAGTCTGAACGCCGGTGCGTTGCTGTTCGCTTGCTTGGGGGGGTGTGTGTGTGTGAGAGAGTGATGACATTAATTTATGGTATCCTCGTAAGCCATGATCAGTCCACTGCTGGATGAAGGCCTCCCAAAGCCGTCATCATCTCTCATGATTTAATTGTCCACCTGGCACCTGCACACGACCTGATTTCATCCCTACCGCTCCATGATGGACATCCTCTGGAGCGCATCCCTCCCTTCGCTGCTACTCGATCGTTATTACCGATTGGCCATCATCCCTTCTCGTGGTGTCTTACCCATGCACTTTAATCTTAACAGAATAATGCGTTTATACTGCCTATCTTTACCAATCCACGTATTTCTCACTCTGTTTTGGTGTAATTCCAGGCATGAGTCGACTCAATGCAGTTTTGTTCCATTGTTTTTGTAATGTCAATTTGTGATAAATATCTCATAGCAAGTAGTATCCATTACGTTTCTTCAGACACATTGTTATGCTGTGGTTAATTGTCAATTAAAAATGTCTAAAGCATTCCAACCCACTCTTATCTCATGTGTCCCTGCGTCAAATATTTCCAACCGTTTAGTGAATTTGTCATGCATAATCTTTGATTTTCTAACTTGTATCCCAACTCTAATGTTACGGTCTCTATTTTACTAAGTTCTGAACACGTTTCAACAGGCATACATGTTATCGCATGAATCTCCTTCATATGCCTACATTCGAACACTTTAATCGCAAAATTATACATTTGTAGTAATTTAGAAACATGAAAAGTGCAAATTTCAATTTAAAGCTTTCGTGACTGCAGGGATTCATATTCTTGGTTATTTCGGTAAAGTCACGTAGAAGGGAAATAATAAAATAATAATAAACGTCATGATAATTTTATTGTTTATTTTATTTCCCTTCTATGTGACTTTACCGAAAGAACCAAGAATATGAAAAGTGCAATTTGAAACCATTTCATGCTAGCATTGGTGGTTTTGTGAGACTTGCATGTGCTGGACGCGTTGATTTTCCTTGGTTGTACGTGTGATTAGGCTGAAAGAGGCGGAGCAGCTGAAACAGGATTTGGAGGAGGCAAGGGAGTCTGAAAGGAGAGCCAAGCACAGAATCCAGGAGCTATCTACACCCTCCTATCCAGTATGAATGTACACACATTTGAGAGCCGTGTTCACTGCCTCCGTAAATTAAATTAAGAGTTGTAATATGCTCAGACTGGACATTGACACTCACTATACACTCTGTTCACTGTATATTTTCATAATCAACGTTTTTGGGTTAGATCTCGTTATTTATAAATGTGTCGTAACTCTCCACCACCCGACACGGCCAATCAGCAAAAAAAGTGTCACGTTGACAAGAAGACAAATAGTTCACTACTTTAGCCCACCGGTGTGTTGTAGCGTGAAACCACAACATTTACAATTTTTTGAGTACGACGTTTCGCTGGTAATTGCATCCAGCATCATCGAGCAATTCGCCAGAATGGTGAGGCTCTGCTCTTGCTCCCGGTCTTAAATAGAGCAGCAGCAGGGTGATGTCATCATTTAACTTATCAGCTGCATCTTTCGCACCGTGAATTGCCATACCGTGCTAATCGGAGGTTACGGGGGGAAGGACAGCAAACTAAACACAAAAAAGCAGTTCTCAAAGAAATGCATTTTCAATCTGAATGATTTAAAAGTGCAGAACTCCAGTGGCTTCCTAATATTGTAAGGAAGAGCGTTCCAGACGACCGCAGAAGCGCATGTGAAAGCGCGCGATGCAGCAACCGTCTTTGTTCGATGGCCAGCCAGAAGCCGCTGTGGGGCACACACTCAATACTGAGCAGCGTCAAATAAAAATTATCCGTAATATTATCGGTAATTTTTTTTTAACACTTCTGAGAATTTGCAACAATACCACCAGAAATGTGCCTCTGGGCTCTGGAGACTACCTGGAGAAGATTCCAGGCATGTGACAATGATGGCGAACAAGTGGAGACTTTGATTTTTTGAAGCTATTAACATACATTTGTTATCATGTTACAGTGTATTATCCGTTCTTTGTCCATTAAAAACGATACTCCCATATAAGTATTCATATAAGTGTCAACATTTTTTTGAAGCACTCTATAAATAACACATTTTAAAACATTTCCCCCCTCCCTTTCAGCAGATGCAGGGTGTGTATCCTCACCTTGCCGGTGCGGCAGTGGTATTGGGACCAGGGATGCCTGCCGCAGGCCTGGACAGTGAAGGCAGGCGGCTGTCGGTGGCCAGCGACTACAAGGACTCGGACATGAAGCGCCTCTCTATGGAGATTGAGCGGGAGAGGTGAACATGACGTTATGTTTACTCGCCATCGGTCACATTTGTGTTGAGTTTGTTGTCCTTCCCCCGCACCTCCGATTAGCACGGTAGGCTACGTACGGTGCGAAAGAAGTTCACCTCGCATATGGAGACTAATCCGCCTCCTACAAAACTGGCTGCAGTGGGATATATAAAATGGGTTTAGGTATCAACGCATTCCCATCGAGGCCTATATCTGTTGGAAGAAAACTTCACAATTGAATACAGTTATGTCTCTAAGCTGCATTGCTAAATCACAACTGGGAATTATATTAAGACCAAAAGACATATATCAATGGATTATCGGAGTCAAGTTTCCTCTGTCACACTTGCTTCTAAATCTTCAAAGCCAAATTTTCTTCAGGAAATATCCACATTTGTTAATATGGTTTAATCTAGAAAATTCTAATATACAAATGCAACGCAAACTGGAGGTTGTGTTAAAGCAGCATGGGACTGCCATTCTCAGTGCTGTTTAGGCATATAAGAGGGCAGCTGCTCTCTTATAGTTTCCTGATTGTGTAGGATTTTAATAAAAGATTGTTTTTGTGTGTGGCCAGGTTTGAGTACCAGGAGCGAAGCAAGAACCTCCAGGAGCAGCTGAAGGAGCTGAAGACTGAGATCGAAGCATTGAAGCTGGAAGAGAGTGAAAGCTTAGAGAGGGGAGAGCACCGTTACAACACACTTACTCGGGTGTGTACCATTCAAGTTTTGTTTAGGTTGCCTTTCCTTGATAATTGTCAGATTTATGAATGGATCGTAAACAAGCTCCCCTTACGTCTCTCTGCTGTATGACATGTGTTCTGCTTTCTTTGCAGATGTCGTTCCAGAATGCTCACAGTGCCGGCTTCTACGAGAGCCACTGACAGCGGCACGAGTTGGTGTCGAGCCAGCGGATCTGGGTGTTGACATGCATTGCGCCCCATCAGCAGCTTACGGATTGATCAGAAGAAAAGGAGACTACTAAACTGGAGTGTGGGCCTAAAGGTCATTTAATATGACCGTTGTATTCGAAACTGTATGTGGTGTATGTTGGTCTTGCACTACCTGTTCTTATATAATCCAACAATTTCTGGTTCACGTGTTACGGACGTATGCCTTTTTAGCTCGGCACACATTGTTTGATGTTATGGTACAAACTAGTGTTAATTATTATTTTGATACACGTGCTCCTTGTTCCAGAAGGGGGTCATGATATTGTTGTTCTTGAAAATTCATGGCACGTAAGTATCTCGTGTTGAGATGTGGGTTGTGGTTTGGATATGAAGCTGTGATACAGTTGTCCTTGAAATACCAGGCTAATTAATTAGTGGGATGCCCTGGTAATTCCATGAAGAGCAAATTTAGCCCATCTACCGCTTGAAATGTTATTTATATTGCCTTTATATATATTATGAAAGCCATATCATTTCTATAAAATATCAGTCACATTTACCTTGAATTTATTTTAGTTTTGGCTGACCAAAAACCTGGTCACATTTAATGGAAAAAAGGTTGATTACACCACGGGAGCTTTGTCGTGGGACCTTTTTGCCAGTATCAAATTATGAAAAATAAGATTAGGTTTTTCCCTTTGTGGCAATAAAAGGTGTTAAGATGTTCAGACTGCAAATATCCGAGTTTGTGTTTGCATGTTCATCACAAGTACGTGTGGTAAATGCAGACTTGTATCCTCATCAGATGTTCGACTGGATGTTTGAACATCTTATCATCTGTTTTATTGCCAGAAAGGGTAAAATCTCTTGTTTTTTCACTATCACAACGCTGGCAAAACCGTTCTTTCACAATTGTAATGTTATTCTTAGCCATAGTATGATTGGCATAACAATCTCATCTTACCTGTGATGGAATGGCTTTTATCTGGCCAAGGAAGAAATCAAAAAAGTAAAATCTTCCTTTTGATGTCGCAACCTTTTTTACCTTTGAAAAAATGTATGACGATACAAAGCACCAAGTTGGAACGGCGTCATATTTGGGGTGGAGCAACCAGTTCCAACCTCACTAGTACTTGATTGATCGAATTCAACGTAGAACAGGTTGATCCAAGTCACTGATCAAGACTACCATGGTTACTGGTCCCATGAACTTGACTCATTGATTCCTCCACCCATGTTGAAGATTCGATCTACCTGGCTGTCTGGTCCACCTCATCCATGCTGTGTTCAACCATCATTTACTGCAGGTTAAAATATTTATTTCTGCTTTTTTTCTACACAAGTGGTTGATTCTAGATTTGAAGCTTTCGTGACTGCAAGGATTCATATTCTTAGGCTTTTTCGGTAAAGTCACGTAGGTAAAAAATTGAAATTAAAATTAATAAAAGTAAAATAAAAAAAATCACGACGTTTCGGAGGCAACACAAGCTTCCGTCTTCAGGTGGAACCGTCACAGCCACGACAGCTGTATCAAGTAAATGAGAGATTACAAGAGCTACCACTCCGTATATATAATGGTTGAGGGGGGAAGGGCCCGGAAAGGCACACTTTTTATTAATATGGTAAGGTAAGGCTTAAGACTAAGAATAGACTGCATAACTTTGGAATTCCCTCTCATAGTGTTTTTCCTCAAGTAATTTTAACCTTGCTCAATACAACAAATGTATTGGGCATATCCTCAAAGGTTATTTCAAGGACACACTGTTTTGGAATTAAAGTACAGAAACAACAAAATGGTAATATAAACTAATAGGCACTCGCGTGCCTTGAGATACAAAATGTATTTAGACAGTTTATACTTCCAAATTGTATAGTCTTCTGTTACAAATGTTTTTAGAGAAAAAGTGCATTTTAACTACAATATTATAACATTATCTACACAAATCTGTAGGGAGCATCTGTACAGCCACTAAATCAATTTTGGATTTTATTAATCATTAGTCTGGACATGTTTGTACATTATTTTCATATGTATATTAAAGAAAGTGTAGGGAACGTTAGATTGAATATATAGAAAAAATATTTTTGAAAGTAACATTTAAATTTGACAATTGATCTGATCCAATTTCACAAAATGCATATGTAGCATATGAACTTTGGTTCGGGTCGTGAATATGGTGGCCTTGATGTTATAAACGTTGAAAATGAAAATATATTCATCTGTTTTATAGAAGCTACCCTTGGATTTCTTTTGATCACAAGTTCATCAGTGCCTGATATGAAAGTCCTGTTATATTGTGCAACGGTTTACCAGCAGTATCCTGTAATGTGGTGTTATTGGAACTCATTGTTTTCTATCACGATTGCCATTGGCTACGAGGAAAAGGTATCCCCTTTTCAATGTCATGTCATTGGTTTTTCTTACTTATCACTGATTTTACATGCTCATCAATTGCATTTTAGCTCGCATGCATATCTGGCACTTGCTTGCATTTCTTAAGTAGCATTGCTTATTGTAACATAGGAGAGTGCCGTTGTTAAATGACACTACAATGGCAGGCGAGTAGCTCTACACGTTCACATCACCAAATGGATTCTTTTGCAAACAAAGACGACCATAAATGGGCTTTGTGAATCTGTGACAGCGTTGCATAAATACAACACAAAACGGCTACAGCTTTTCGATTGGTGTGGATTTTCAGCTGTATCTGATGTATCCTTTGGTGTTTCCCTTCTATGGAAGTGTTTCTGCAGAGGTTAGACCTCATTGCATTATAAAGTAAATAATAGCACATCTGTATTTGCTACATTATACATAGCATTTTATTCATGATAATAGTCCTGAAAAGTTTAAAGAACTTGCATTGTCTAAAACGCGACATCAAACTTTCATGGTTTCATTAATAGTAACAGCCGTCAAAATTTTGTGACCTAATTTTTTTTCGATCACTACTGTCAATCACATCCAGAGACTGTAGCTTTTACGTAAATGTAACACTAACTTCCCCTCATAAGACATTTACAACCTTGGGGGAAAATATGGTTACCTCTGATTCCTAAATAGATTAGCTGTTTCATGAATCAACTGAAAATATGCAGCATATCGAATGGAAGTCTACATTTTTACATTGTTCCTGCTTTTTTTTGCTTATTCTGACTAAGACAAAAGTTATCTACAGAAATATATCTTTAATCTCATTATTATAGGTGGTATACTGATAGATGTGCTTCAGTCTTGCTTGTTGTTTGCATTCAGAAACTACCAAAGGCTTTGGATGTTGCTGCTAGATTTCCCAAGGTGTCTAGTAAGCTTATTCCTTTGTTGCAGGGCAGTGCGGTTAAGGTGTTCAGCCATATGCCAGAGTTCTCGCCTGCTTGAGAAAAATGCGCCACCCCATTATACTTTTTAGAATAGATGCGTTTTTTTGGCATAACATAACAGTGTTACGTTATGGAACAGTCGTTTTAGTTTCCAGCGAGAGTTTCAAATCCGTAATTTTTCCGGGTGCACTAAACTCCCTCGTGAACCTGCTCCATTAACCTTGTCAAATGCATCCGGAACTAGAAACTATTACACCTGGTTTTTGCACATGAGATGCTGTTTCATATTGTAGTGTTGAATGTACATAAAGCTGAAGTTGGCACTACTTTGGAGAATGCGTATTTGAATTTTAAAGCTGAAAACATCACTTGTTAGGTCATGATGTTTAAAAAAAACTTGGCTAATCCTTTACATCGGAAGGAAAACTTTCAAGTAGAATTATGCTGAAAGGATTACGTTATTTAGTGAGGTAGCAGTGTACTGTAAAATTAAACTAAATTCATTGATTTATCAACCTATAGCAGTTTTGAAGTAAGTTATTAGTGGCAAGGTTTGTTTTGACATTTACAAATAATGCTCTGCCATGTTTTGCTGCTATATGATATGGAAACAATAGTATCTGCTGTGGTAAGATCTATAAATTTACCTTTACCTGGGTTTATTTCCAAATAACAGGTAGTGAATTGGCAAGGGAAACACTCGAATAGCCTTGTCCTGATGCTTTAGAATTAGTATTAATGTAGAATTGTGATAGTTTTAAATGTGTAAGCATTTATATATTACAGATACTCACATTTTAAACATGCCGTGCCATATAGAGTATATTGCATATTTGTCATTGTGCATTTAAAAAATTGTGGGTTTTTGTAATTTGCAGAAGCCTAATGCATCGTCACAAATTGAATAATTGGAAAACACTGTTTTTTTTTCTTATGTACAAATATTTACCTGTGAAAGACATGGTTGGTTAAACATGACGTTCCATCATGGATTTAAACAATATATGTCGAACGTGTGGATTTTTTTAGCCGTAAATCCGAATGAGATGTTTAGCTGTTAATTGCTTTCAAATTGTCTTGTATGCAAGAAACAGGTCGTTCTGAAAGTGGAATACAGCAAACGTCAGTCACTAATGATGGATGTTTATATGACTGCTTAATGATGCAGTTTGCAGCATATTCATCATTAAGAATTATGCTAAATTATATTCTTTGAAATCTTGATGGATAATAAAGTAAACATTTACATGCACTAAAATGGCTTTGGGTCTTTAAAAATGGTCAGTGTTTTAAACTCAATTATTAAAGACTGTAATTATGAGTAGTGGCATTCCTCCTGAATTACAATTGAATGCGCTGCAATTGCAAAATCACACAATCCGTTTTTTGTCATAAATATGAACTATTTCTCTAAATGTAAATGCTTAATAGACGTAATATGAATTGTTTACAGATATTGGCAGGACAATCAAGTGGGAAATACATTTGGCCTGATTTACAATAACAGTTTCTTACAGTTGTGAAAACACCATAAAACACCACCACAAAAATGTATTCATTAAAAACCTGAACTTTTAAGTTGTGCAAATACTTCGGGGTAGGACTTGTGGAATACATTTGGGTCATGGTTTACGGAGCTGTTGCTGTATTACAATTTTACCAGTAGTTGCATCAACTGCAAGGTATAGGTTGAGTATGTGGACGATGCTCTGCATTTCATTTGCGGAGAACCTCAAACGTGCTCTGATCAAGCCTCCAATACGTACTGCCATTTTTGTACTTTTTAAAATAAAAATAAAACATTGTATAGAATGCTTTTGTTTCTCTCGTGTGTATGTAGCACCAGTGTGTATTACAGACTGGACCCAGTGTTACCTCTGCCTAATGGAGGGTGCGCTTATCCACGCATCGGTGTCGATTTATTTCCAGCGCTCGCTACAGTAATACAGTAAAACCTTGGATTGCGAGTAACTTGGTCTGCGAGTGTTTTGCAAGACGAGCAATTTTTTTAAATAAATATTAATTTGATAAACGAGCGAGGTCTTGCAATACGAGCAGTACGTGCATACGCTTTGTCTGCCGAGCGTCACGTGATCACAACTGATATACGAGTGCTTTGATATACAAGTGCTTTGGATTACAAACACGTTTTCGGAACGAATTATGCTCGCAATCCAAGGTTTTACTGTATACAAATTATCTTGAGCCATGCTTACTCAGGCACCTTACATGTCACCGATTCATGTTTCTCAAGCTTCTCGTCCAGAGATTGCTCTTCCTACAGCAGGTGGAGGAACGCGCGCAGGATATCTAGAATAGAAACCACTGAATCATCCTCGCAGACGTTTTGACATCTGTGGGACTCGGGTGTCACACAGTCTTCTCCCTGAATTCTCAATGCAACACGTACCGGTGACAGAGGACTGTCATCCCAACTTAGCAAATGCCTTTTTGTAAGACGGCGCACACACTTGACTTTAGCTCAAAAAATTTGCGCGCAGCGGGAGGCCGATCGCAGAAAATTGACATTTAAAATTAATTAAAAGCACCATTATTTCATTGCATTGCACATTTGCAAGAATGCAATAACGATATCAAACCTCCGATAGGTGGTACCTTATCTTATAGCAGCTATGAAATTGTATACGCCATCTGAACAAACTTTTTGTTTATAAAAAATACAGCTGAATTTCGATTTAAATCTTTCGTGACTGCAGGGATTCATAGTCTTGGTTCTTTCGGTAAAGTCACGTAGAAGGGAAATAATAAAATACGAAAAATAAACATTTTATTTTTATTATGTTTCATAAAAATAAACATTTTATTAATATATTTTATTATGTTTTATATTTATTACGTTATTATTTCCCTTCTACGTGACTTTACCGAAAGAACCAAGAGTAAAAATACAGCTGCTTTATCTGTTCACTGCATTTAATGTATGAAGTCAAGAGTGGGTGGTTGGGGCACACATTTACAAAACGTTTAAGTGGCTTTACGGAACTGGTCTGTCTTGCGTTTGCAAGCATTGGTGCCTATTCTGAGATCACCGCAGCTTGCCACACCTCTCGTAGCAATTTCAGGCCCTCTTGATTTCTGCAGCCCCCGGATAGTTTCTGTCAGAGTGATGGACATAACGGGTCCTGTGAAAAGACGACTGACTTTTGAACGGGGTTTAATTTCTCGCCCGTGGTCGCTAGTAGATAGGCTGGAGTGAGTAAGGGGCCGTCCATAAATGACGTCACGCGATTTATGACAATTTTTTACCCCCCCCCCCCCCCCCTCGTCACACGGCGTTACAAAAAGGTCAGACCCCCCCCCCCCCTCAAATATGACGTCACAAAGCTCTGCCCCCTCCCCCCCCAAATATAACATGCTTCAAATCGCTTTAAACTATTGTCATTGTAGTGCGTATTTAATGTGGCGCTGCACTCTGATGTTGTAGGAGAAAACATGTATTAAAACGTCTATTTAATTAAGTAGAACGTGTTGTCTATATTTATTTAAAGTTGCGCATTTTGATGTGACGTCACATTTCTCACCCCCCCCCTCCCCCCCATCGCCACATCGTCACAAATGTCTGACCTCCCACCCCCCTAGGTGTGTGACGTCATTTATGGACGGGCCCTAAGCCTACAGGCAGGACTAAGAGTATTTTTAAATCCTTTATATTAAGTTCGCGTGCTTGCCTGCGTGCTTGCTTGCTTGCTTACGACCGTGCAAACCTTTCGGTCGTTTTTAAACCCACTTCCCGTGATCCAATCGAGCTGACATTTTGCACACAGACTCGTTGTGCGTGACAATTAATGTTCGTGAAATTTTTTTCCAAAATTTTACACTGTTTAGGGAAAACAAATTAAATATTTAATTACCAATTGTTTAATACTGCAGACAATCATCTGACCCATAGGTGGCAGCCATCTCAAGCCAGAAGACGAGAGGACTCTAGCCGCCACGCATATAAAGGATTTAGAGTGAAAAACTTTGTTTTTACGGGTTATACTTATTCGATTTAAAGCTTTCGTGACTGCAGGGATTCATCTTCTTGGTTCCATCGGTAAAGTCATCACGTAGAAGGGAAATAATAAAATAATAAAAATAAAACATTAAATAATTCTCACGACGTTTCGGCCACAACGCAAGCAGCCGTCCTCAGGTGAAGAACATGTCTGTCGATAAGACAGAGTCTGAATGACATGTCCTCGGACTAAGAGTAGCCACAGCCAGAGATGGTGACAGGATATTGATGAATAAATAGGCGTGATGTGGAGACCTTTGTGAATGTATTTGTAATGTCCTCCCAACTACTGCAATTTGTTTACATTTTATTACATTTTGTACAATCTTCTCCATTGCCTCAACTTTCCTAAATCTAGTCTTTTTTTTCTTCAGAAATTACAGTATATGTTTCGTTCAGTATTAACAACGTGAAGGTGCAAGTAACCTTATTTACTTATACGTGCATTTAAAAAAACACTTTAAATTACATTCTCAGAAAATGCACTTTGGATTTGTTGAATGTAAAAAGTATACTCTTTGTTTTTTTCGGTAAAGTCACGTAGGTAGAAAAATAAAATAAAATAAAAAATTATAAATATATATTTTTTCTACCTACGTGACTTTACCGAAAGAACCAAAGAGTATGGGTTCCTGCAATCACGAAAGCTTCAAATCAAGATTGTAAAATTTCGATTTAAAGCTTTCGTGACTGCAGGGATTCATCTTCTTTGTTCTTTCGGTAAAGTCACGTAGAAGAGAAGTAATAAAATAATAAAAATATACATGTTTTCTTTGTATTATTTTATTACTTCCCTTCTACGTGACTTTACCGAAAGAACCAAGAAGAAGATTGTAAAAGGTATCTTTTGCGTATTCTTTGTTCATAACGTGGCTTGACGTGTAAAAGGGCAGAGGTCACCCGTGCCAACATCGGCACCTTTAATCTCGCGTCCGTCCCAGAGTTTGTTGGCAGTCGGTTCAACTGCATCGGTTTGTGGTCCGTCGTGAGATGTCACTGGGCAAGCTAACGGACCTTGGAGGGAGTGCTAGGAGCGGAGGTCGCCATCGATCACCGTGGACATTGTGGGGGTGACCCCATTGGTGGTGTGGTAGTGGAGGTGATGGCAGGTGGGGAGGTGGACGTCTGTAGTCAGGGTGGTTGTTGGGGTGACCCCATTGGTGTGGTAGTGGAGGTGAAGGTAGGAGGGGAGGTGGACATCTGTAGTCACAGTGGTTGTTGTGAATCCATTGTTGGTTATTGGGGTGACCCCATTGGTGTGGTAGTGGAGGTGAAGGTTGGAGGGGAGGTGGACATCTGTAGTCACAGTGGTTGTTGTGAATCCATTGTTGGTTGTTGGGGTGACCCCATTGCTGTGGGAGTGGTGGAGGTGATGGCAGCAGGGGTGGTCGATGTCTATTGTCACGGTGGTTGTTGTGAATCCATTGTTGGTTGTTGGGGTGACCCCGTTGATGTGGGAGTGGTGGAGGTGATGGCAGCAGGGGTGGTCGATGTCTATTGTCACGGTGGTTGTTGGGGTCACCCCGTTGGTGGTGTGGTGGAGGTGAAGGTTGGAGGGGAGGTGGACATCTGTAGCCACGATTGTTGTTGTGAATCCATTGTTGGTTGTTGGGGTGACCCCATTGCTGTGGGAGTGGTGGAGGTGATGGCAGCAGGGGAGGTCGATGTCTATTGTCACAGTGGTTGTTGTGAATCCATTGTTGGTTGTTGGGGTGACCCCATTGGTACTGTGGTAGTGGTGGAGGTGATGGCAGCAGGGGAGGTTGATGTCTGTAGTCACGATTGTTGTTGTGAATCCATTGTTGGTTGTTGGGGTGACCCCATTGGTGCTGTGGTGGAGGGGAAGGTTGGAGGGGAGGTGGACATCTGTAGCCAGGGTGGTTGTTGGGGTGACCCCATTGGTGACGTGGTGGAGGTGAAGGTTGGAGGGGAGGTGGACATCTGTAGCCACGGTGGTTGCTGTGAATCCATTGTTGGTTGTTGGGGTGACCCCATTGGTGTGGTAGTGGTGGAGGTGATGGCAGCAGGGGAGGTGGACATCTATAGCCACGATTGTTGTTGTGAATCAATTGTTGGTTGTTGGGGTGATCCCGTTGGTGATGTGGTGGAGGTGATGGTAGGAGGGGTGGTCGACGTCTGTAGCCACGGTGGTTGTTGGGGTGACGAGGTCCATAGCCATGGTGATCGTTGTTGTTGTTGTTGGCGTGAATCTGTCGGTGTGGCCGACGTGGTGGATGCTGGGGTGGAGGGTGGCGCACATTATCTTGACAGGCGTCTCCACTCCCATCCATTCTCATTTTCTGAAAAAGTAAACAAAAAAACACGTGCGTCATTCAATTTTCAAGTTACGAAACACTCATTGTTTGATATATGTTGGTGTGTTTTTGGTTGTTAACGACGGTGGGAATGGCTCACAACGCTACTGGACTTACAATCCAGAGGGCCGATGGCTAGATAGGTGTTCGAATCGATCTCTGGGCGCGGCATTTCAAACAACGTGCTCCCTCGGAACACCCCTCGCTCGCCTCTATCCACCCAGGTGGCAGGCCACGTGTGTATCCCCAGTGGCGATGTTTACTACAGACCGCACCAGGTACTCGTTTGAGGCTGAGTCGACCGAGGGGGGAGGCCCAGGACCGGTTCAATTACTCGTCACTGGTATTGGCCGTGAGCGAGATTCGAATTCAGTTCGTAACGCAACGTAACTGACCGCTACACTACCGCTCCCTCCATGAGACTGTACGGGGGACCTTTGTCTTTGCTATACCCCTCTTACCTCTCTTCCACCGACACGTCTGGCCAGGGACTGTGGAGGAGTAGGCCAAAATAGCCCTCTTTACGGAGCTTTTCCCTCTCGTGGAAAGGGCCCTCTCTCTCAATCTCAACGACGGCCGTTGCCCTTTAAACTGAACAAACGACGGCACGAAGATCTTTCGGGCAGCACGTGGTCATGGGACCGTTGGCCATCAAATGAACGGATGGTGGCCGTCACCTGACGTTCCCCTGGAAATCGGCACTGTGCTTATGTAGATACACAAACCAACACTTAACCATTTCGATTTAAAGCTTTCGTGACTGCAGCGATTCATCTTCTCGGTTCTTTTGGTAAAGTCACGTAGAAGGGAAGTAATAAAATAATTGTTTTATTTTTATTATTTTATTACTTCCCTTCTACGTGACTTTACCGAAAGAACCAAGAAGATAAACCATTTCAATTTAAAGCTTTCGTGACTGCAGGGATTCATCTTCTTGGTTCTTTCGGTAAAGTCACGTAGAAGGGAAGTAATTCAATAATTATGTTTTATTTTTATTATTTTATTACTTCCCTTCTACGTGACTTTACCGAAAAAACCAAGAAGATAAAACATTTCGATTTAAAGCTTTCGTGACTGCAGGGATTCATCTTCTTGGTTCTTTCGGTAAAGTCACGTAGAATGGAAATAATAAAATAATAAAATATATTTTATCATGTTTATTTTTATTATTTTAGACAACACTAAACCAGCCCAGTAAAACACGACCCGTTGGTCTAACCTAGGTCCGTCCAGTGGTGCCAACTCACATGCCCACGTTGGCCCAACGTTGGGAGCCTCTACCGGGGAGGTGGACCGATCGCTCTCGGAAGGTTGCAAGTTAAAATCCTGGTTTGCGGGGCTTTCCCCAGCTCATCATACGTCTACAACGGTGCGGGAAAGTCACAATATACACGTGTATTTGTGTTGAACTTATTTCGCACCTATGGATAGATTCACCACTGGCACAGCAATGCGAATTTTTTTTTTTACCTACTGGCTTAGGGCTGTAGAAGGGAGATAAGCAATATTTTGACAGAGGCTATTTTAGTTACATTTATTTGCAAAAAAATAATGCGGACTCAAATATCTGCTTCATTTAAAGTCTGACGTTTTGAGAATTTGGACGATTATAATTTGCATGCAATTTGGTTGAACTTAGCACAGCACATGCAAAAAGGTCCCCCCCCCATGGGTTGGGAACTTCACCCAATGGGGTACTCTCTCCAAATTGAAAGGGAGCAAAATATTACCGTAGTCGGCAGGATTCGAACCTGCGCGGGGAGACCCCAATGGATTTCTAGTCCATCGCCTTAACCGCTCGGCCACGACTACCCACGCTGCACGTGATGTCTTCATAATACACACACTCACATAGCTGTCAACCCAGACGGGTTACCTGTATTCTTGTCATATATTTGTGTTTCTCCCTTGTAATGGGACTTTGTAGGATGAACGTTGAGATTTATAAGGGCACTGGGTGACCAATAAGTTCTAAATTGGTCTGTACTAAGGTAGGGGGCACTGACATGGGGTTGACAGGTATGCACTCACAAAAGGGCTTCTTAAACAGCACAACAGGAATCCTACTGCTGTGCATGTCATGATGGCATCACCATTTAGTGATTTCTTATTTTATTTCTATTATTATTTATATTTTTAATGAAATTTTATTATTTATTCATTTTTACCTACGTGACTTTACCGACAAAACCTAAGAGTATGAATTTAGCACATTTACAATTATGGGATTAGTCACTACTTGTGGAATGTGTAGGTGGTGGGGGGGGGATAGTCTCAAAGTCCTATTATGCTCGTGTATTATGTAGGATTATCAGTAATAAAGGGAGGAAGTAGGATTAGCAGTAATTAAGGGAGGGAAATTTTAATAGTAAGGAGCTGACTTAAATCATCAAACAGGGTGGTCCAGATGTCTTGTGACCGCCAATTAATTGACCCCACCCCCCCCACTAACATTTTTTCATTTGCTTATTAATTTCTAATCTAAAAAAATGACGTTTTCCGAGAATTAAATTAAGGGTAGGGTGGGGGTGTGGTCAGAAGACATCTGGGATCCACATTTATATGTCACACGTCGTCAAAGTGTAGCGCAGGGTCCTGGACAGCAGAGGACGGTACAGCCAAACAAAATAAAATCCACGTTCTCCACGTGCGCGGCTCTCGATCTCGCCTCCTTCACCAAGCCTCAAAGCCCCGCAACCAACAAGCGAGACGTGTGACCCGCACGGCGTGGCTTGGACGGCCCTCATCTAGCAGTGGATCGACAACGAAGCAGTTGTACAACTGGCCCAGTTGACCAGGAGATCAGCTGGCAGATCAGCTGGGCAGCGCACGTGTCGCTTTTGATGTCGGGATCGGCATAACTACTCTCAGGTTTTTTCGGTAAAATTTCGATTTAAAGCTTTCGTGACTGCAGGGATTCATCTTCTTGGTTCTTTCGGTAAAGTCACGTAGAAGGGAAGTAATACAATAATAAAAATAAAACCTAAAATAATTCTCACGACGTTTCGGCCACAACACAAGCAGCCGTCCTCAGGTGAAGACCAGGTCTGTCGAGACGACAGCGTGTAAAAAAAACGAAACGTCGTGAGAATTATTTTATTATGTTTTATTTTTATTATTTTATTACTTCCCTTCTACGTGATTTTACCGAAAGAACCAAGAAGATTTTTCGGTAAAGTCACGTAGGTAAATAATAAAATTAAAAGTTAATAAAAGTAATAATACAAAATAAAATAATAAATGACTGCATCAAGTAGTAATTAAATCCTTTATATTAAGTTCGCTTGCTTGCTTAGGACCGTGCAAATCTTTCGGTCGTTTTTTAACCCACTTCCTGTGATCCAATCGAGCTGACATTTTGCACACAGACTCGTTGTGCGTGACAATTAATGTTCGTGAAAAAAAAATCCAAAATTTTACACTGTTTAGGGAAAACAAATTAAATATTTTATTACCAATTGCTTAATGGTGGCAGACAATCATCTGACCCATAGGTGGCAGCCATCTCAAGCCAGAGGACGAGAGGACTCTAGCCGCCACGCATATAAAGGATTTATAGTGAAAAACTTTGTTTTTACGGGTTTACTTGTTTTTACTGATGACCAGTAGGGGCACGGTGGGTAAGGGGCCGTCCATAAATGACGTCACGCGATTTTGGACGAAATTTTTTATCCCCCCTCCCCCCCGTCGTCACACGGCGTCACAAAAAGTCAGACCCCCCCCCACTCAGATATGACGTCACAAAGCTCTGCCCCCCCCAAAAAATAAAACATGCTTCAAATCTCTTTAAACTATTTTCATTGTAGTGCGTATTTAATGTGGCGCTGCACTCTGATGTTGTAGGAGAAAACATTTATTAAAAAGTCTATTTAATTAAGTAGAACGTGTTGTCTATATTTATTTAAAGTTGCGCATTTTGATGTGACGTCACATTTCTCAACCCCCCCCCCCCCCCATCGTCACAAATGTCTGACCCCCCGCCCCCCCACCCCCCCACCCCCCACCCCCCCGGCCCCCCCCCCCCCTCTAGGTGCGTGACGTCATTCATAGACATCCCCAACGCGAAACTGCCGAACCCCACCGAGTGGCCGTCGCCGCTCGCCGTACCGGCGCGACTACGGGAAGTCGCTGGGGGTCAATCTCCGCGTTTGTAAAAAAAAAACTCGCGCTCCTGCACGAGAGTGAACCCCAGTGAAGTTGGTTGATGGTCTAAGTCTCTAAGACGACGGCGGTGGTTGGTGATGTTGATGTTGATGGCGTTGATGATGATGATGATGCGTATCGCTGTTCTCGTCGCCTCCTTTCACGTCGCCAGAGGCCAAGGCCACGGTGCGTTCAGGATGCGTGCACGATACATTTCAATCTGTTCGATGTCATCGATCTTGATCAGAAGCTTTCGTGGCTGCAGGTATCAATACTCTTTGTTTCTTTCGGCAAAGTCACGTAGGTAAAAATAAATAAAATGTTGTAAAATTTTGTTATTATTTTATACAATTTAATAACATTTTATTATATTTCTACAAACGTAAAATTTAATAAAATTTTATACCTACGTGACTTTACCGAAAGAACCAAAGAGTATGGATGTCATCTTCTTGGTTCTTTCGGTAAAGTCACGTAGAAGGGAAGTAATAAAACAATAAAAATAAAACATAATATTATTTTATTTTATTATGTTTTATTTTTATTGTTTCATTACTTCCCTTCTACGTGACTTTACCGAAAGAACCAAGAAGATGAATCCCTGCAGTCACGAAAGCTTTAAATCGAAGTATGGATGTCATCTCTTTCAAACCTCCAAGCCCCACCACTCCTCTTCGTCTCTCCTAATTGTACACCGACATCTCATCATCAGCTCCACTTTCACGATCTCCCATCGATCCGCATCATCTCCCGTGATTTACCACTTCCACCTCCACACCGGGCATCTCCACCCCCCTTACCGACTGCACAATCACTCCCCTCTCGTCTCCTCGAGTTTTACTTTCATTTCTTGTCATGTCTGATATCGACTTTTTCTCAGTATTTTGCATCGACTAAACATGCAGCTCTTTTATCTCCTGCATCTCCGTCAAATGCCCATCAAATGTCAACTACCTCGTCTGGTATACAAGAGGTCGTGGGTTCGATCCCAACCTGGCAGCCTGCTGTATACCAGTAAAACCTTGGATTGCGAGCACAATTCGTTCTTGAAACGTGTTTGTAATCCAAAGCACTCGTATATCAAAGCACTCGTATATCAAAGCACTCGTATATCAAAGCACTCGTATATCAGTTGTGATCACGTGACGCTCGGCAGACAAAGCGTATACAAGTACTACTCGTATTGCAAGACCTCGCTCGTTTATCAAATTAATATTTATTTAAAAAATTTGCTCGTCTTGCAAAACACTCGCAGACCAAGTTACTCGCAATCCAAGGTTTTACTGTAGTTGGAATGTGGGAATAGGTTTTACCCTTTCTGGCACTACAACAGGTGTTAAAGCTGTTAAAACACCAAACTGAAACATTTTGCAAGGGATCATGTCTGCCTTAACCACAGATACTTGGTAAAAATACAAACAAAAAACATGCTCTGACAGGATATGCATTGACTTTGAAACTGATTGGTCCACAAAGTCAATGCATATACTGTCAGAGCATGTTTTTTTGCTTGTATTTTCACCACAAATATCTGTGATTAATGCAGACATGATTCCTTGCAAAAGGTTTCAGTTTGGTGTTTTAACATCTTAACACAACTGTTTTGTTGCCAGAAAAAAGGGGAAAACCTTATATTTTGGTACTGGCAAAGGAGGTCCCATGATGTAGCTGCTCACCCCGAGCTCTCAATGCCCTAATAGTGGCATTGTCTTTGTGCTGTTCGTCTTTTGGCGTCCTCTGGTCTAACACCGTTTGAGACGAGGCTCAAAAGAAAGCTGTCTCTGGTTTGGGACCAATCCGTTTCAAAGACAATGAATCATATACGACCAGAGCATGTTTTTTTGTTGTTGCATGTTCACCACCAGTATTTGTGGTTAATGCAGTACTTGATTTCTTGCAAAAGGTTTCAGTTTGGTGTTTTAACATCTTAACACAGCTGTTTTATTGCCAGCAAGGGTAAAACCTATTCTTATATTTTGATACTTGCAAGGGTGGTCCTATGATGTATTTTTGGAGTTTGCGTGTCGATATCTCTCCCCGTGTTCACGTGAATTTTCTCCGGGTCCTCCGGTTTTCCCCCCTCCACATTTGGGAAACATGCATTTCAAGTATTTGGCTGCTATAAATTTCGGCAAGATAAGCCTTTGTCACGCATTCCATTATCATTTCCACTGTCAGGCACTCATCACTATATGTCATTGGAGCCGTAAGAATCGGTAATACCACCATTGTGATCTTGTCTCCTTGGGCTGCTAATAAGCATAGCCCGTAAAAACAAAGTTTTTCACTATAAATCCTTTATATGCGTAGGCGGCTCGAGTCCTCTCGTCCTCTGGCTTGAGATGGCTGCCACCTATGGGTCAGATGATTGCATTGCACCATTAAGCAATTGGTAATTAAATATAATATTTTTGTCCTAAAAAGTGTAAAATTTTGGAAACATTTTTTCACAAACATTAATTATCACGCACAACGAGTCTGTGTGGAAAATGTTAGCTCGATTGGATCACGGGAAGTGGGTTAAAAAACGACCGAAAGATTTGCACGGTCCTAAGCAAGCAAGCGAACTTAATATAAAGGATTTAAAAATTAGTCCACCTGCTCAGGCTGGTCAGAAGTGAAGTTGTCCTATTGTTAAGTCGTCTGGCCTCTGCCACAAGAATGTGGAATTTCCACAATTGCCCCCCCTCCCGGAGCTGTCAATAGAGTTGAGTACACTATTGCGCCATACTTCTGTGAGCCACGGGGGGCAGTCGTGAGTAACTGCGCCTATTGGCATCACTCATTGTTTGACTTGCGGATTTAAGTGTACACGTGTCAAAGTTAGTATCAATGACTTCTCCTGCCACACCTCTCCCTTTACCACAGATATAGTGCATGTACAGATCATAAGTGTTCTGGTACTTGCATTGTATTTATACTTGTGGCTGTTGTTTGACCTGCATCCCACTGGGATTTTTGCACACAGCGTTGGTGTGCGGTGCTTTTTCAGCAATATTTTGCTGTCTTTTCTTGGATTTTCTGTTTGCACTTAGTCACATATTCACTTTAAGATGTTTTCTTGTTCATGTTTTTGTTTTTTTTGTTGCGGTTGCACCCGATTCAAGAGCCGATTGGCTCACGGGGCTATACCTAATAAATTAACTTGAACTTTCGTCTTTCTATGGTCTAACACTGGTAAGACAAGGCCATTAAAAAGGATGTCTCTGGTGTAGGCAATCAGTTCAAAGACAATGCATATGTTATCAGAGATATTTGCATGTTTCGCCACAAGCATGTGCGGTTAATGCAGACTTGATGCCTTGCAAAAGGTATCTATTTGGTGTTTCAACACTCTTATCGCATGTTTTATTACTAGAAAGGGCAAAACCTATTATTTTTCATCATTTTGGATACTGGCAAAAATGTCCCATAGATATGGTGGTCCTTTTTGTGCACACATGTAAACCCAGGTTTCCCTTTAAAGTGATACCCCTGGTCGTAATGGATTCATACCTGATCATAAATAAGATAATACACTTGTCAAATCATATTCCTTGAGCTGGATTACATTTTACAACAATTTAAGATATCATCAGCCATGAGACATCTACTGATAGCTGAAGGCTACCCCGTGCCATCACCATCCCTCATGGATTCCGGATATCCTCATGGCAGATGGTGTCCCCTTGTAAACGTCGATGTGAACTGGACATTGCTGGGGGTGTTTGGTGATGACCTGGGTTGCTGTAGCTGCAGGAGGAGCTGGTGAGCTGTGGGACGAGCTGGCGCTGTGGCTGGGCTCTGAGAGGCACCTAAGCTTCTGCCTCTGCTCCGTGCTGCTCGCCACCCTGGTGCTGTGTGCCGTGGTGCGGCACGTACAGGTGCGCACTGGCGCACAGGCGCGCACACGCACACACGCGTACACACGTGCACACACGCACAGCCATTACTCTTCAGTGCCCACACTGTGGGTGGGAAGCTTTTCCCTACTGAGGGCTGAATATGTATTCTTAGGTTTTTTCGGTAAAGTCACGTAGGAAAAAAATTAAAATTAATAAAAGTAAAATAAAAATAAAATAAAAATCACGACGTTTCGGAGACAACACAAGCCTCCGTCTTCAGGTGGAACCGTCACAGCACGATAGCTGTATCAAGTAAGAGAAATTCCAAGAAAGCAGTCCCCTTGTATTACCTTGTTATCTCGGCATCTCTTGAGGAAGGCCAGCGTCTCGAGAAGCTGTGACTTCTTGTCTCATTGTCTGTTAAAAACTCTATCAGATAGGTGGAATTCAGATAGGTGGGATTCCTCCCCGTAGAGGGTAATTCTAGATTTGAAGCTTTCGTGACTGCAATGATTCATATTCTTAAGTTTTTTCGGTAAAGTCACGTAGGTAAAAAATTGAAATTGGCTGAATATGACTTTTATCTTTAGTAGACAGCCGCACGTTAGTTGACACTAAACTTTGATCACACTAGGACTGTACGCTTTGGCTGCATGCTCAGAACTGCTTGCAAGAGAATAAGTAAGTGACTGAGGTTGGTAAAATTAGAAATACAGTATCGCCAGGTTGAAAATATTCCCCCCTTAGGATCCAATTAGTGCATCTAACTAAGGTGTTCTCAGTACTCTTTGGTTCTTTCGGTAAAGTCACGTGGGTAGAAAAAAAATAGATCACGACGTTTCGATCGCAACACGCGCAATCGTCATCTGGCAAGACAACTACAGCAAGAAAACTGCTGATTAGCAGTTTTCGTCGTGACCCATTATTTTTTCCACCTACGTGACTTTACCGAAAGAACCAAAGAGTATGTACGCATTGGTTTTTCGGTAAAGTCACGTATGTAGAAATAAAATAAAATGTAACTAAATAAAATTAAAATAAATCACGACGTTTCCAACGCAATGCAAGCGATCATCATCAGGTGGAAATGGGGCAAAACACAGCAAGGGAACACACACGGGGGGACACCAAGCACACAGCCCACACAGAGAATGGTAAACTGCATGGAGGCAAACAACAAGAAGAAGATGGGAGACGAGAACTCAACAAGCAGCCAGACACTAACCTGGTTGACCACGTATTTCAAAACGTCGTGATTTAATTTAATTTAGTTACATTTATTTTATTTCTACATACGTGACTTTACCAAAAAAAAACAATGAGTGCAGTCATTTCTGCAGTCACGAAAGCTTCAATCCTATATGTTCAAAGAGTGTGTTTTCAGTCGCCTGATGCTGTTAGGTCTGAGGCAGCTGAGAGGCAGCTGGGTGCGATTTGTCTCTGCAGAGGAAGCCGCAGGACACCGGCCCTTCGCCTGAGGCCACCGTCTCACCGAAAGTGACCGCCGTGGGGAACGGCCACATCACCACGGGTGGTCCAGGTCCCCAGAGCGGGCCTGTCCACATCTACTTTGGCTCTCAAACAGGCACAGCCAAGGTACTTGGGCCAGCGCTGGGGCCAGAATCACAAGGGGAGGTGGGGGGCAGGGTTTGATGGAGCTCCGTCCGTAGCCCTGTCTCCCCTTGAGCTCGTAGCTGTGCTGGATTGGGGTGAGCTTGGGTAAAGCCGTGACCTTGTGGAAGCGGCATGCGCAGATTAAACGCGTCTGGCATGAAATGTGGCTCCTGCTTACGCTCTGTGCGTCTCGCGTTGATCGTCCCCGAAAGCTTGAGCTCCTCCTCGGAGATGGATGCAAGGCTGCGGTGGGTGGATGTGGAGACTGACTGCGTGTTCCCGTGCTGATTGTGCCTGTCACTGACGCATCGATTTACCCAGCTGGCAGGTAATTATTTGTGAGTGGAATGACCAAAGAGCGTCGGCCGCTGTAAGAGAGGAGATGAAAGACATTTTTCACTAAGTGAGGCAAACATGTTGGTGTCATAAGCCCAAAGCCAAACTTATCAATTATCCACAGCTGCAAAGTGTTAAAAAAACTTTTCTTCCCCAAAAACCTCGCTGAACCGAGACTTTCAAGAGAATCCTGCTGGGGGATGTTTTTGGCAGTTACGTGTCCAGAATTTACATGTGCGAGGAAACTGGCAATTCTGGAGAAAAACCTACACGTATATATTTTGGAGAACAACAAAAAAATGATGACATGTACGTCAGCACTCTACTTGCTGTATTGCCACCAGTGGGCACCCTGCTGTCCCAAAAGATTGGTGCCTCCGACATGAACACTATGATCCAGCTCATGTGCAACACTGGCACTGTCACTACATAACTTTGGTTGTGTCCCTTGAAAAGGCATTAAAGCTGGTGGGTTCTCACATGCTCAAAGAACACGTATTGACTGGCTGCATTGTGGCAGGTGGCAGCTGCACCGATATACAGATGGATAGGGGTGAATACAGTCAGCCAGGCAGGCAGATGAATGGAAATTACGCAGCCGTCGACTGCTCACGAAGTGTGACTCGCGGCACCAATTAGGTCCCGTATTGACAGTGTTTCGGAATGCACCCTAACTCTGGAGGAGATTAAGTATTGATGAATCCGTTACGGTGAGTCAAGGCGCATGCTCGCTGCCACGCTCGGTGTGCGTCGGACGAGGCAGTTGGTGGCACCCACCGATTACTGCCTAGAGTTGATTGGCGCCGGGAAGGTGACAGCTTCACTTCAGATTTCGTTTGAGATTGCGACCCGAGTGTGGGTACAGAGGTCTATTGAGGTGACTTCAGAAGTAGTTCTGTGATGCCAACATTCAGGGTCTGTTTATTTTGACACCGGGCTGACTTCAGAATATTATAATCAGTCGGAATAGAGTCGTAGGAGAGGCAAGGCGAATGCGGTGGTGATGCACGCCTGTAATCTAGCACTGTGCAAGCGAGGGTTGGTTGATCGCACAAACGTTGTCAAGCTCGCTTCCCATGGGCGTCGAGGAGGTGTGGGGAGTGTCCTCGTTTAAACTAAACCAGGTGAGAGCCCGGGTGACGCAAGGATGAAGGGTATCTACGTATGTTGAACTTCTTTCGCACCGTATTGTAGCCAACCGTGCTAATCAGAGGTGCGGGAAGTGGACCCAAGCAGGGGTCGGCAACCTACGGCTCCGGAGCCGCATGCGGCTCTTTACGGGCTGCTTCTTGACGATGAGTACGTATGTACAGTATGTACTCAGATGCATTGCGGCTCTTGAAATACTGAATTTTGTACCGAATTGGAAAGAAATGGCTCTTCTTGTTATTTTGGTTGCTGACCCCTGCTCTAAAGGAATCACTGCTTCTAGAAAATAAGAAAGGCTCGCGTTGTGCAGCTGTTAGCACCACAGCAATGATAGAGGTGTGTACAAATGTAGTGACACGGGAATGGTTATACAAAGTGGTACCCCGGAGATCGAACGTAATTCGTTCCAGAAGGCCATTCGAACACCGATTTGTTTGAACACCAAATTAATTTTCCCCATAAGAATTAATGTAAATGACATTCATTGGTTCCGCACACAAGAAATCTCTCATTATAAAGCACCTTTACACGAAGTTTACAGTAATAACATACATAAAATAATACAAAGAAACAAGAAACACAATAAACATTGTGTATGGATTAACACCAAAAAACACTAAAATAAAGGAAATTAACGAAAAAGTTAAGGAACGATGTTTTGCGGGTCTGCACTAGGGTGAGAGCTATGCGTTAACTGAGCCTCTCACACGGTAAAACCTTTGTCTGGGCAAGCGTCATGCACGCTGGCCATACGCATCTCAGCCGTACAGGTTCTTTCAAGTCGCGATTGCCCATTCGACCTCCGAATTTCGTTCGGTTTCCGGGGCAAAAAATGTTCGGAAATATCCTTCGAACACCGATTTGTTCGAGTTCTGGTGCGTTCGATCTCCGAGGTTCTACTGTATATACTTTTTGCAAACTAAGCTTCTCTCGATAACGACACACGAACTTAGCTACAGCCACTCTGGGTATTGTTTTAGTGGTTGGAGACATCACCACAGTCCATTGCTCACTGCTTGCTTGCGCACGCAAACCGATCCATTGACGCTCTTGGCATGGGACACTTGGCAAGCACAAATACAGGGCAGTGTGGCTGGCGATCTGTCAAAACACGCAAACGTTGGCAATGTAATGACTGCAAATAAAATATTGCTTCAAGAAAATAAATGGATCCGTGTTGAACGGCAGTGAATAACGCAAACACGTTTACTCAAAAGTGGTAATGCAAGGATGTGAACCGAGAATATATCAGGTGTTGGTTCATTATCCTGGCAAAGGTAGTTTCCCTCTGAGCCCTTTTGTCATGTAATGTGGTTAGACGTCTCCTTAGAGGTGCCGATGCTTTTACCAACTAACAGACAACGGCCTGTTTCACCACGTCAAACATTTTGGTTCATTCGCCTACTTGGCCATCTGGACCAATGCATTCGCGGACTCATTGGTTCTTTCGGTAAAATCACGTAGAAGGGAAATAATAAAATAATAAAACAAAAAAATTCTCGCGACGTTTTGATCGCAACACCTGATGACGATTGCTTGTGTTGCAATCGAAACGTCGTGAGAATTCTATTGTTTAATTGTTATCATTTTATTATTTCCCTTTTACGTGACTTTACCAAAAGAACCAAGAATATGAATCCCTGCAGTCACGAAAGCTTTAAATCGATACATGGTGGACTGTTTTTTTTACTTTCTGAGTCTCATCAGTAGATTGCATGGGTGGAAAACCCGATTTTTCCAGCGGCAGGCATCGGGTTTTTTCTTTAATACAATTACATCCAATTTCGGGGAATTAAAACCTGGTTTAATGGATACAAAACTCTGATAGGCTTAGGCTGCTTCCTCGTCAGTGCTGCTCTCGTATTCGGGGGGGGGGGGGGCGTCGGGCACGGGGTAGTCGTAGAATGCGGCGGGCAGGTTGGTCTTGATGAACACGAGCTTCTCCACAATCGTGGGCGCCAGTGAGTTCCTTAGCGTGGAATGGATGAAGCCCATCGTTGAGAAGTTGGCGAAGTGCGGTTCTGCAATTAGAACCAATTAAACCGGATTTCTCCCAATCTCAGATGATCGGGTTTAATATAAAAAGACAACTTAACCCGATTGTAAAAAACTCGACTGTGCCACCCTTGGTAGATTGTGACTTGTGTAACACATTGTTCTGGATCACTTTATGTCATCGGCAAGAGCCCTACACAAACACCGTTCTGGTTCACAGCTCTTTGCGCCGTACCTGTAGCTGACAGCAGAGGGCACACTTGGTTAGCAATTGCAGACGAAATTAATATTAAGTGTACCGGAATTGCTATGCTTGTGATGTTGCTGGCCAGGGGAATTCTTTAAACGATTTGACTGCTTCTGCATAGTACTGAGCAAAATTTTCTTCGTCACAATGTTGAATATTTTTTTTTATCAATCACTTTTACTCAATCATGCTGCATTTGCGATGTTGTGGCCATAAGTCGCTTTGAGTGTTGAACACGCGAGTCAAGGCATGACCCGTTGTTTGACCTCAGCTATTCGAGCGATCGTATTATTGATTCAATGAAGCCGTCGAACGCATATCTGCTCATGCAACACAGAAATCCGTTTTTGTCATGGCAAATACCTGTGATCCTGTAGACAATTATTGAACACAGAGACCGAGTTTGATTGCTGGCCATGGCTAACTGAGAACCAGCCCCCAGGTCTCCCTTACTTAGGTCAACTCAGCTTCAAATACATTTTTGGCATGGTGTGTAGACATCAACACCGGGGAGTAAAACGGTGGCTGGTAGTGGCACTGCCAATTTACCCCATCATGTGCCATGCCGGCCTTCATAGGCACAGGACAGTACTTGCTAACAGCAATCACTCGAAGCAGTCTGTCTGACTGCGCGGGGGATCTTTGTGTTTGTGCGCTGGGACGCCAAGTGTGAATTCCGTTTGTCATGGCAAATACCTGTGATCCTGTAGACAATTATTGAACACAGAGACCGAGTTTGATTGCTGGCCACGGCTAACTGAGAACCAGCTCCCAGGTCTCCCTTACTTAGGTCAACTCAGCTTCAAATAAGTTTTTGGCATGGTGGGTAGACATCAACACCGGGGAGTAAAACGGTGGCTGGTAGTGGCACTGCCAATTTACCCCATCATGTGCCATGCCGGCCTTATAGGCACAGGACAGTACTTGCTAACAGCAATCACTCGAAGCAGTCTGTCTTGACTGTGCGGGGGATCTTTGTGTTTGTGCGCTGGGACGCCAAGTGTGAATTCCGTTTTTGTAAATGTGTTTATTTCAGTCCCTTGCTGTTCCTTCCGGCGTCTTGTCTCATTCATCTCGTCTCTGCTGGCTGTTCTTGACATTTAATGCGACGTCTCGCCATCTCCATCCTGGCCTCTAACCCGTGTGTTTTGTTGTTTGCCGTGCGGCGTTAAACCGTGGCTCGGCACTGAACGCTCGCTAATTCACAGGCCCCAGCTGTTACGATGGGGACGCTGTCAGCTTTCGCACAACTTGGGTATGTCATACATGTGAAGTGTTGCCCGTTTGCATTTGTTGTTAATTCGTCAGGGTTGACACACAGTTGATATTATTAGGATAATATCATGAGCCTCTGAAATATGATCTTTTTTTTTAAAGTGCTGCAGACGGGGTCCTTACACTGCAGTGCACGTGTTGCCGTTCATTTGGCGTCTCATCCCGTATGTACTTTCTGGAATGCGTTTGACATATGGGGCACAATTGAGTCTCTCTTTTTTAAATGCCCATCCTTTTGCAATCTATTGACTGTTTAACTTAAAGTCGTGTTTTCATGGGTGTGTTTTCTTATTTTGATATTGTAAGTTATCATTTACGTGTTTAAATTACTTTATTGTGCAATACATCTAGGTTTAATTCGAGATTTTAAGCTTTCGTGACTGCAAGGATTCATACTCTTTGGTTTTTTCGGTAAAGTCACGTAGGTATTAAAATAAAATAAATGAAAACAACTACATTAAATCACGACGTTTCGGAGGCAACACAAGCTTCCGTCTTCAGGTGGAACCGTCACAGCCGAAATCACTGTAGTAAGTGAGTACATCTATGTTTATGATAACCTTACATAACTTGTTTGCATGTATCAGCTCTCCGTTTTTTTACTTCTATGGCCACCGTGGCCGGGTCGACCTCGTAAAAAGTAGACTCAAGTTCTTAGTTGGGAAAATTAATTCCTGAACCTCGTGATGTTATTGATTGGGGTTGTATCGTTCAGTCCACTGCCGACAGATTAGTGTCACTGCAGCAACATTTTGCTTAATATGCTTCGACATTCTAGATTTTTTTTCTTGGAAAAATAAAACCACCAATACTTCTTGGTTCTTTCGGTAAAGTCACGTAGAAGGGAAATAATAAAAAGAAAACATGATTAAATAATTTATTATGTTATAATACAATAATAAATAATAAAATAATTTAAAATAATTAAAATAAAACATGATAAATAAATTTATATGGTTTATTTTTATTATTTTATTATTTCCCTTCTACATGACTTTACCGAAAGAACCAAGAAGATGAATCCCTGCAGTCACAAAGCTTTAAATCGAAACACCAATACTTTTATAGGTTTTATTACTTATTTTCAAATTCACTTGTCCCCTATTGAGCGGTTAAATTAGAAGGGCAAAAAAAGCAGAAGGAAAGTGTGACATTGCAGTGCTGTTATTTGGACACAAAGAGTGTCCCCCTGGTATTTTAAATGCTTCAGCAACAATGCGTGAGCTGCGACTTGTGCTGGCAGTGGTGTCTGCGATGTTTACTGTGCATAGACTCAGCCTGCACTTTGAAGAAAGCACAGAGCAGCAGGGATTTACAAGAACAGCTTTCAGTCACAGGCAGCAAGATCAGTGCGCGTAGCCACGCGCGCGTGTAGGCACATGAACCCACGTTTGCATGGCCATGTGAACGCATGCGTGCGTAGCCACGTGAACCAATCGGAACTGTGGGGAAGGACAGCGAAGTAAACATTAATCTGAGAATATTCAGTGCGTACTACTGGTTCGGTTAGTAACTAATTGTCACGTTGTGTTTAAACGAGAAACCTTGCGAATTGGCCATGTGGGGTGGTGGTGGGTTAACGACACATATTTACGCGATCTAACAACGAAAAATCTACCTTTGCTGTGAACTCTAAATCCTGCTCCGCTTTTGCCGACGTCTATCAATTATCTTCTTGGTTCTTTCGGTAAAGTCACGTAGAAGGGAAATAATAAAAATAAAACATGATAAAATAATTCTCACGACGTTTCGGCCACAACGCAAGCAGCCGTCCTCAGGTGAAGAACAGGTCTGTCGGAAAGACAGCGTCTGAATGAAACACCACCAGGCTTGGCAGCGTATATTTTAGCTGGGTTGGAGGGGGAAGAGCGCCTTGACAAAATAATTTGCGTATCAAGAGGAACTTAGCATCCATCAATTAGTTGGAGGGGGTGGGGGGTGGGGGGCCGCCTTGCGTGAGCGCGCGCCCCATGGCGCGGTGCTGGACCCGCCGACCTGACGAATTGCGGTGATCTGGTGCGTTGACGGCGTCGTGATGAGCCGCGGGTCAAGTTGCTCCGAGACAATGGCGGAGCGCTCCTGCCATTAGCACATGGCACTCGTCCGTTGCGAACGTGTCTCCGTTTTGACTCGGCACGGCCGCCCTATTGCTTATTATTATTATTATCCACGTGTCAATATTCGCGTCATTTGATAAGTGTGCACCGAGCAAGCGACGTGTGGTTTTACCCAAAGCAGGTGCCCGGGGCGTACAGACCGAGGCTTCTGGGAATAGAGGGTGAAGATGCGTCTGGCAACTGTACAGCGCATTACCCGTGGGAGTCGTGGTGCAATTATAGGAAGCACTGTGCTGTGAGTTTTTGGTGCATTTACAGCGATGTAATTGGGAAAGATGGATCCGGGTGAAACTTTCCCTCAGCGAGATAACGTGACCATAGTTGTGGTTAAACTCTTTCCCAGCTCCACAATCGACACGTTCCACACGTACACTTTGGCCTCACACTCTATCGATGTTGTGCAGTTTGCATTTAGAGTATGCAAATACAATTGAATGAAAATGGAAATGTCAACTTTAACGTAATTCTGAGCATCTTTTAAAATGTTAGCAAACCAATCCAAGCAGAGAAACGTAGCCACAACCAAATCCATGGTGTACTGGGTCCCACAAGCGAGTGCAACGCAGATGCTTTGTGTCTCTACAATTAACCCTTTCCCATTCCGAGACATCTGCAAGTTGCAGCGTGGGTCCCGTTTACCACTGAATCTCGGAACACGTAAGCGGTTAGTGTAATTTTTTTTTAGAAAGGCACAACGCCACTGTTTTTAAAGACGTACTCACCGTAGAGAACTGTAGAGACACGACCGCACTCTGCTGTAGCTGGTGCCAAACTGTGCCTCACGCCCTCCCTCGTGGCCTTGTGGGAGCCTCGGTACCGATAAAGTTATTTGATTTTTTCTTCCTTTTCCGTTCCGTTGATGTTAGCGTACGTCATCAGAACGGAATCGGAAGGGTTAACAATCCCGCAGAAGCGGATGGGCTGCAAGATCTCTTTAAAGCCTCCCTTGGCAGGTGCAGCACGCATGCGACGCTTCTCGCCACGCGGTCGTGTTTACAGTTGTTTATTGACATGCCTGCTGGAGTCGTATTTTGTGATAGAATTTCCCGTGAATAGCCTTCACGGTTCAATTCGCGCGTTCCCCCCACCACCACCACCACCACCCATCCCAAGGTTTGTCACTTGTCTGTGAAATAAAGTTATTTTTCTTCGGCGAAATTGCATTGGATAATAAAGTGTTGATGGATAGCGATGACTGTGTGGTGGAGATGTGTGGAGCGTAATTGTGCTGCGTGCCGATGGTGCCTGCCACGTGCTTCTTGCTGCCATTTATTTGGCTGCCTGTCACGTGTAGGCGCCTCATCACTCCCATCTGGCAGCTAGTCTAGACGGTCGGCTGGTTAGTCACTCGGTTGACTGGCTGGCTGGCAAGGCTTGCCGGGGAAGTCATCTGTGTCTGTTGTTTGCCAATATGTGTCTGTGTCTCTGCCTGCTGCCGCCGTTACAGGTTCGCTTTTTTTCACCATTTTTACGGCAATTGCAAGGTAGCTTTAAACATTGTATTGAAACAGTTTGCAGCGGATAGTGAATAATGGTGGTAAGGAAAAGGCTGTTATGTGGGTTGACTTAATGAGTGTGGTTATAATGCCTGTGGTTTAATCGCTGTTGTTTAATAGCTGTGCCGCTTAATGACGGTGTGGTTCAATCGCGATGTGGTTTAGCAACTGTGCAGTTTGATGAATGCGCGGTATAATGACTTGCGGCTTAACGGCCTTGTGGTTTAAGGCGGTGTGGCCAAGCCTTTTTGTCACCGTTCCCCCCCCCCGTGCCCTCTTGTCTGCGCACTCAGAGGCTTGCAAGGCTGTTGGCTGAGGAGCTCGCCCGCCTGGGATTCTCGAGTTCCGTCAGCGACCTGCGGAGCTTCGACCCCGAGGACAGCCTGCTGGAAGAGGTGCCCCCCAACCTCACTCCTAATATATCTGTAGAGGTGTTACGGGAGGGCGAACAAACACACCAGGGGTGGTTATGCCCGCATGCGGAAGGATGCTTATGTAATAAACCTTCTTGAGACGGCTTCCGGAATCAGTCCTTTTTATTTTCAACTTCCACAGTTACACTTCACACACACTCCCCGTTGCTGACAGACAACGGAGAGAGGGCAGACTTCCCGCCAAGTCCCCACCGCGCACGTGGCACCCAGAGCCCCCGTACGCGCGTGGCTCCCGCTCTGCTCGTTCCCAAGTCTGCTCATGACTGCTCTCTCTCTCTCTTAATCCCTTCGTCACGTGGTACCTCCCAGCCAATCCTCCATAGACAGCGTTGACCGTTCCTGATGGTTTCCTGTCAATCCCAGGACAACGCCTCTGATCCGGCTCCCCATTAGCTGAGGCCCCGATTGGCCAGGCCAATCACCCCTGCTAACAAGCCGTGATCACGCCGAGGCCATGCTCCCTGGCTCATCCCTTATTGGCTACAAAGCAGGACCGGCAAGCCAATCCCCATGTGAACCCTCTATGGCTGTTATTACACTTACATCCACGTCCGCACCGTTTAGCCTGGGGGGCTAAACCGGCGCTGTGATCCCCCAACCTTAACCCTAATAAATCCTCCGCTCTCCATATTATCGGCAACTCCGAGTCAGAATTAATATAGTTCATAACTCAGAGTAAGAATATTGATTCATACTGGAGGAATCCGATGAGCTATGAAGCTCTTTTTCACAGGTGGTTATGAACGTTAAGACAACAAACAATACAAAAACAAAGTACAGTAAAACCTTAGATTGCGAGTAACTTGGTCTGCGAGTGTTTTGCAAGATGAGCAATTTTTTAAAATAAATATTAATTTGATAAACGAGCGAGGTCTTGCAATACGAGTAGTACGTGTATACGCTTTGTCTGCCGAGCGTCACGTGATCACAACTGATTTACGGGTGCTTTGATGTACGAGTGCTTTGGATTACAAGCACGTTTCCAGAACGAATTATGCTCGCAATCCAAGGTTTTATTGTACTGCAAAATTTCAAGAAAGGTCAACAAAATCACCCAAACACAGAAAAATGTATTCTAAACCATCCCCATTCTACCAGGCAAAGCCCACTGAGGTATTAACTTGTTTTTCAAAAGCGAACTGGCCACAAATGAAAGTGCAACAAAGTTATTTTTTTTCTTGGTTCTTTCGGTAAAGTCACGTAGAAGGGAAATAATAAAATAATAAAAATAAAACAATAAAATAATTCTCACGACGTTTCGATCGCAACACCTGATGATGATTGCTTGTGTTGCATTCGAAACGTCGTGAGAATTCTATAGTTTAATTGTTATTATTTTATTATTTCCCTTCTACGTGACTTTACCAAAAGAACCAAGAACATGAATCCCTGCAGTCACGAAAGCTTTAAATCGAAACGCAGCAAAGTTGCTTATCATTTTGACATCTATAAGCAGCAAAATCATACAAAAAACTCAATGCATTACCCCCCTCCCCCCCCCCGAAGTTTTGTCCTGATTGCTTTAACTTGTTGTCCTGATTGCCATCAAGAGACGAATGGTCTATCTGGAGCTCTTGCAGAGCAGTGCAACTTTCTGTGTTAGACCACAGCCCGCAGAAGTGTATATCGCAAACTTATCTCTTGAGATCCTTTCACGCGACCCTCTGGTCCACACAATAGGGTGGCAGCACTTCCACGCAATCATTTATTCTTGGCTGCTATAGATTTCCACGCGGTAAGCCACTTCCTTGAGCTATTTGTGGGCATGTTGCTTCTGAAAAAGAGCTATATAGCTCAGCAGGCCTTATCTGGTTAAATAAAAATAGTTTAAATAGTAACCCAGAAGTAGCACTAAATTATCATCGTTTACTCTCACTTATCTGTGGTTGAGTCACCTGGGCATGATCTGGAAGCACTAAAGTCACCCTTTTATCCACATTTAACCTGTACTGATGAAAAAGTAAATAATAAAATAACTTTATTGGTACGTCTTCAGGTCTTTAGGTCGGAAGACATACCGAGGCTCCCACAAGGCAATGCAGGAGGGCGTGTGGCACAATTTGGCACCAGCTATCGTAGAGTGTGCGGTCGTGTCGTTACAGTTCTCTGCGGTGAACGCTACGTCTTTAGAAACAATGGCGCTATGCCTCTCCAAATAAAATGAACGCCAACTGCTTGCGCATTCGTCTCAGAACGGGAAAGGGTTAGGAGTGACCATGAAGAGGTACGCTATTTTCCAGAGTGAACTGCACTGACTAAACACGCTCGTCACATCACCATGGATGACAGGGGTGTCACTGGCATTCGAATCTCAGGAAAGTCTTAAAAGAGCCAAAGGAATGTATTCTACAGGATGATGTATTGATGTATCCATATAGATAAGGACTAGCTGGAGAAACGTCCCTTACCAGTGTGCATGGCTGCCTTTGAAGTAATAACGACTTGATGAGATGGGAGTGGACGATAAGGAGAGAATGTCACTCAAAGCCACACTCGAAACTTTCCGCTTAGAAAATATAGACTGGTAGATGGAACATAAAATTCTTTTTATTCCTTTATTACGTTTTTAATGTTTTTTTGACATTTTTCCTGGACTTTTAATTGGGTTTAATAATGCGTAATGTGTTTATGAATAATTAACAACACATTGAGATAAAGTGCTTCTTTGCATCGTTAATAATGCAGCTTTAATTGCCTGATTAGTCATCACTTAATAATGAATAATCTTACTCGTGTTTGAGTCAAGTTTGTTGGAATGTTGAACTTTACAAAAAAACAATAGCGCTTGGGATAAGGCGGCGCAACTTGGCGACGTCTGCATTTCCCAAGTCATATCGATGATAACATTACTTACTATTTCTTAAACTACTACCTTTTATTTAAACAGGTAAGGCCCACTGAGCTATATATATTTTTGTCAGAAGCGATCTGGCTATCACAAATGATGGCGCAACCAAGTAGCTTATCACGTGAAAATTTAAAGCAGCCAAATACTTGAAACGCATGGTGATTCTTAATGTGGAGGGAAAAACCGGCGGTCCCGGATAAAAATCAATGCGACCACGGGGAGAACATGCAAGTTCAAAAATATACAGGCATCAGGGTCGGGATCGAACCCACAACCTCCTGTATACCAGCCGAAGTAGTTAACATCTTGGCACTGCAGTGTCCACTTCCGTGACGTTTGCTGTGCGTCCTTCACAGCACGTCAATACGAGCACTGTGCGACAGACGACAACCTAGCTGGCTAATGTGGCTTGGGCCTAGTTCATCTCTCGGTGGCGAGATGTTATCTCCCTCGCCTGGTATGCAGGAGGTCGTGGGTTCAATCCCAACCCTGACGAAAATATTTTCTGCAAAGCACTATTTTAAAAAGTAAAATAGCGATTTCATTTGAACCTCCCCCCCCACTCCCCCGCTAAGAGCTCAGTTCCCACTTTAAATTTCTATAATGAAGTAAAACAATGTTGGTGCAAGGTAGAGCGGAATGCATTATAGTTATAGACAGATCGTTTGATAGCCCATTCTATTCAGCTTCGAAAATTTGTTTAAAATGTACTTAACATTTGACTGCGTTGTAATCCGCCCTCTCCTGCACCTCCGACGATTCGACGGTGCGGGCAAGGCCACGCTACCGAACCGATTTAGATGCCATTCAGCGCGACTGCGAATGTGTAAGTGTGATTGGCGGAGATAAGGGGAGATGGTTGAGCGGTGGTGCGCGCCCCCCTGCCCGTGCGTGCAGGCCGCTGGCGTTGCCGTGTGCGTGTTCGTGGTGTCGACGTACAGCGGGGGGGCGCCCCCCGAACCCGCCGCCTGGTTCTGCAAGTGGCTCGAAGAGGCGGCGAGCGACTTCCGGTACGGCAAGACGCACCTGCGGGGAGTCCGCTACGCCGTGTTCGGCCTCGGAGACTCCGTCTACGAGGAGCACTACAACACGGTGAAAACTGCAGCACCGCCACCGCTGCTCCCCCCCCCCCCACCAACTCCTCCAACACAGCACCGCTCATGACCGCTCGTGTGCTCTTCCTGTTCACAACCGCTGATGACATTTTCAAGGTGAGATCTCCTGACTGCCCCATCGATGCACGCAAGAGAGCTGGCTCTCCCTCCGAAAAGTAATTCGCCCGTTTCTTGTCGCCGTTGACGCAAAACACGAATGCCAGAGAACCGGTACAAAAAGTACTGGCCCCCCGCGTCTTTGTGCTCCGCATGTCTCCCGCACGGCCAAGAGGTTTAATTTAAATTTACACGGAAATCTTATCGGGCGTTCTGTCATTTTTTTCTAATTATGGCATTTACCACGCTACAACACAAGCTGTCTGCAAGGAGGTGCTGCTTAGACTCGGGCTGTTTTACTAATGCAGCCCAGGTGGTTCGTGTGGCTGAGACCCCCTGTGTAAACATGGCCCTGTGCTCTTTAAATATGTTTTGGGGATTATTAAATGTTATCGGCCGCTTGTAAAAGTACATGCTGTGTGGCGAGATCAAAACGCGGTCGTTTACTGTGGGCTGATGCGGGCATTTGGAACAAAGACGACGTTGCCTGCTGCCTCTGCATGGACCGGCAAATTAATGCACTCTGTCTCTGCAGCACATATCTGGTTCAGTGAAACTGCAAGAGCCAACGGATTGAGTTTAATCAAAGCTAATCAGCCAATTGATGTCCAGCAAATTATTTGGCGATGCTGTGTTTGGCAGTTGCTGCACAAGCTTGATTAGCAAAAACTTATCACATCCATTAGTAACGCTACTTTATTCACAGAATATATTTTATGCGCCACAAAGAAGGGGCCACTGCCTGAATCGTTGCCCCGTAGATGTTTTTTTCTCTTTTAGGGCCACAGTTTTGTTGATTAATGTGTTGGAGTTTTTAATTAATATTGAAGTCTGTTTACCCATGTGCCGAGTAGGGCTTTCCTTTCTTTAATCTACTCCCCAATCACATAAGGCGGGCACATTTGCATGATTGTGCGCTAGAGGATTTCACTTCTCGCAATGTTTTTTTCTATTCTATATTTCTCCACAACTTCTTTGCCCACCACAACGCCCCCCCGCCCCAACATTTTTAATCATTGCCAGCCTCTCTTGCTGCCGAAATAGGAATTTATGATTTCGCCATGTAGCCGATGGAATCTTTCAAAGAGTAACCTGAACGCTTATTCTCAACGTACCACATTAACCGTATGATTGAAAGGCCGTCGTAGGAGGATTTCTGAGCTCCGCAAAGCAGCAGCATGGCCCCTGACACAAGGCCGAGATTGTCCCGCTTACGGGACTGACCCCTGGGCATGTAGAGGCGTATCGATTCAGCAACTGCATGCGTGTAATTGTGCGTGTGAGGATCGCGATTATTGTGCGTTTCATGCAAATTATTTGCGATGTTACGTGCAGGTGACTGAAGCGGACAAGACTGGACATCGGAGACAACGCCAAACAATAACTATACAAATCAGAAAACAAAGAATGGATTCATGAATCGTGACCCCGAATAATGACAGTTTACCAAATCGCTTTGGGAGAGTGCCACTTGTTAGATGTCTCGAAAAGAAGGTTATTTATGATACATTTATTTATATCGACGTCCATATAGTCATCATTTATTGAGATATGTCGTCGGCGCGTTTGCCGTGTCTGATAGCGGCCGCTCAACACAGATCCGCTCACTTTCGTTCATCAGTGGTTTCCTTATTGCCACTGTTTCAGTACTCGTCAGATGGCTGAGTCCCTGTCCTGATGGTGGATCGCGAGAAGCCTACCACGCCGGAGCTCTTGCGTCTCTGGTATCGCGAGGCTACCGAGCGATCGCCCCCTGTTGGGTTTCCCTTCGCGGCGTCGCTCACCGAATCCGGCGCACGGCCCTCGCAGGTCGGCAAGAACGTGGACAAGTGGCTGTGGCAGCTGGGGGCTCGGCGCGTGCTGCCCCGTGGCGACGGCGACTTCAACGTGGTGCGCAGCCGGCACGGCAGCGCCGACGCCGACTTCGAGGCGTGGAAGGGCCACCTCGTGTGCCGCCTGCGGGCCTTGGCCGAGCCGGGCACCGCCGCGGGGGCTGGGGTCGGCGGTCAGCAGCGTCGGCGCTCGGACAGCGAGGGATCCTGTCGCGACGAGGTGGGACGTTTTTTTTTTTTCTGGTTGGACTATCCGTGCCGCTCAGCCCGCTGGCTTGCCTACACTCGCCACGCCGCCCGCGGTGTGGCGGGTGTAGGCTTAAGCGGGGTTGAACCCGGTTAGGACTTGGTGACCATCAGGGCTTGCCATGCGTTATGGGTGTGGGGTTGCGGGGCCGCCGGCAGATGGCAGTGCTGAGCACTGCCCCCTTTGTAGGTGTGGGTTTTTCCCCGCGTACCTCATTCATGGGAATGGCCAAAGTTGGCAGGACCCTCCGAAATGAGTCTTGATCCTCGGTGGCACTTTCCTGGGTCAGAGTTGGCATAGGTAGGCAGGGGCGAGTCCATTCAGGAACTTGAGTGCAAATTTGAAATTTACCGGCAAATGGGGAATCTGGGAGGGGTGGTGCAGCTGGTGGTGTGAAGTCCTGCAGAGTTGAGTTTGTGGGAAGAGCACAAGAGCTCAGGATCAATGACAATCACAATGTTTCACACTTTTCCAGTGTCATGTCAGTTTAGGAGGTGCATGCTCAACCTGCAGTTTTTTGCCGAGAGTGGACATTTTGGCAATGAGGAGTGCTTCTGTTCGGTAGCTGGAGGAAGATAGAACCAATCCAAATGAGACCGCTTCCAAGGCAGGATGCGGTAGTGGGCGGCGAGGTTTGGTTCAGCGACACAGATGGTGTCTACCAACTCTCAGGGACATCCTCTCTGTCACCGAGTGTTGGTACGCAGCGACATGTAGGATGTGACAGAAGGTGGTACGTGTCGTCAGTGCAGTAACCAACTTTTAATTGATACATCAAAGAATCTCTTACTCTCTCTTTGTCTTGCCACAGGAGTAGCTTTGAATGAGATTTGACCTGCCGCTGCCACCCGTGAGGAATTTCCAAAGTGCTTTGCTTTAAAGTGGATGCCAAAGACTCAGCGGGAATCATACGTAGAAGCAGGCCACTGCCTGCCAGCGTCACTCCTACACGTCAAAACATTGTGGTCTTCTGGGGCCGTTCCCTCGCGTGAAGCGAGGCGCACCAAGTGGAGGTTTCTTTGCCACGCGGTGTGCACTGGAGCACGCAGCTGGGATAAGATTAGTGATGAAAGTCGCAAATTGTACGAGAGTGGCGATGTCGCCGGGGCTAGGGGGAGGCGAATGTCGAGGGAATGTGGTTTTGTGAGCGCCTCGCCGCGGCCCATCCAGGCCTCCGAGGAGTTTGAGACAACGAGCGAGGAGGAAGGGGGGACCGCGGACGCCGCTGACATCGTCGACGTGGAAGACCTCGGGAGAGTTGTGACGGAGGCCAGGAGGTCCCAGGTGAGGCCGGCTTTATCGTGCGTCTTGGTCAGCTGCTGCCTGCAGACAAACTTCTCTCTTCCACTCGTTTTTTTTGTACTTCCACTGGGACTCACTGCCCCGATAATGTGCATTTTTTCTCTTTGAACCGTACCAATTTAATTCGCAATATTATCCCTCTTGCGATCTCGTACTCGTCATGAAACAGGGGGCTAATCCGGGCTCTTCTGGTGAACGGGTTGAGACCATAAACTCACTGCACTTGCGCAGCCTTTTTAATCCCAGTCGGCTGCCAGGATTTGAACACAGGAACTCAGCTGTCCTGGCTCCAGTGTCTCTGACCTCCGAGCCCCACCCGGCCACCTCTTCAAAACCAGAGCACATTTATAAATTAATCTTCCTGATATAAAGTTCCTTTTGAAACATTACAGACAAACAGCAGAGAAGAAGGGACTGGCTTGTATGCACTGACCATCTTTTCGAACTCGTGCATGGCTTCCATGGGTCTGTGTGACGAGCCGCCTAGCACGCGGCGGGGAATGTTGCCACCTGCTGCACCGGCCGCCCTGTTGCACGCCGTCGTGAGAGCTGTGAGGCAGCGTGCTGCCCCACGTTAAAGTATCCAAAACTATATATATAAAATAAGTATTTTACCAGCTCTTTTTCAGAAGCCACCTGGCCACAAATGATAGCTCAACGAAGTGGCTTATCACGTGGAAATTTATAGCAGTTTAACACGTAGCAGGCTTTCGCGACCAATATTATTCATAATAAACGTTTTTGGTTTAGATCGCGTTATTTATAAATGTGTCGTAACCCTCCACCACCCGACACGGCCAATCAACAACAAAGTGTCACGTTGACAAAAGACAAATAGTTCACTACTTTAGCACACCGGTGTGTTGAAGAGTGAAACCACAACATTTACAAATTTTTTGTTGTTGTAAATGTTGTGATTTCACTCTTCAACACACCGGTGGGCTAAAGCAGTGAACTATTTGTCTTTTGTCAACGTGACACTTTTTTTACTGATTGGCCATGTCGGGTGGTGGAGGGTTACGACACATTTATAAATAACGCAATCTAACCAAAAAGCGTTTATTATGAAATTTATATCAGCCAAATATTCTAAACGCATATTGCTTTGCTTTCAGTATGTATGCGTAGTGACTCCGACGCACTTTCTTGCTTTACTACGTGCCTTTATTTTGGACACATCACTATTTCTAGGCCCAGGCTTCGGTTGTTGATGCTCCAATTTCTTCTTCTCTCCAAGCCGTCTCTTTGCCTCGTGCCCCCCCCCCCCCTTTTATATTCCTCGAGCCCCCTCTCTCGAAGGTTCGCTCACCCCCATTTCCCTCAGCCAATCCTCATCCTCCTTCCCTAACGGTTGTCAACCATTACCCCGACAGTCCACCTTCGTTTTCCCGCCCTTTTATCTGTTAATTTCTCTTCAAATCAGTTTTAATTCTCTGGTCTCCCTGCACCAATCAGGGGCCCCGGACACACTTCCTGACTGTCCGTTTGCACACGTACACCGTCAGGCACGTGGTCTATTGTTTTTGTCCTGATATGTATGTTGAGGTTTTTTCGCAGCGTACGTTGCCAACCGCGCTAATCGGAGGTGCAGGAGTGAAGGACAACAACCTAAACGCAAACAGCAGTTCCGAGAACTTAGTTTTCAATTTAAAGCGAGTTAAATTTTCAATTCACAGGCGTGCAAGCTCCCCCTTTGTCTTGGCTCCACGTCATTATTAAAAGGTGACGACGATCAATGCCGTGCGTCTTCATGACATCCTGCGACTGTAAACTTGCATTGATTAACATGGAAGTGTCGATTTGTTGGGCGTTTAAGGAATTAATATGCACCTCCAGGTGCTGCAAATTCACCTGAAACAAGTCAGTGCCATGCTGGTTATTGAGCCGGCTGGAAGACACACGACCTCACGTACATTTCGCTCGCAGGAGAAATTTAAGCACAAGCATGCGAACAGGTTTTGTTGCGAGCCAGTTAATTCTATCTCAGCCTTTGCTTAACGTCGTGATTTATTTTCTTTTATACCTACGTGACTTTACCGAAAGAACCGAAGGGTAAGCATAACGTCCTCGCACATCTATAAAATCCCTCACTTATCATTCGGACGTTAAATTTGCCCGTTAATTTATCAGCGCTTAATTAACAATGCCGCTGACATTGTGGAGTTGGCAGCGTTAAGAAAAATAATCAGCTGGCCGCGATCCGTCGCTTAAATGTTGGGATAGATATAACATTTGCATGAGAGAAACAAAAGAGAGAGAAATTTTTATTTAAAGCTTTCGTGACTGCAGGGATTCATATTCTTGGTTCTTTCGGTAAAGTCACGTAGAAGGGAAATAATAAAATAATATAAATATAAAACAAAAATTCTCACGACGTTTCGACTGCAACACAAGCAATCATCATCAGGTGTGAAATTCTCATGACGTTTCGACTGGATTTCACACCTGATGATGATTGCTTGTGTTGCAGTCGAAACGTCGTGAGAATTTTTATTGTTTAATATTTATATTATTTTATTATTTCCCTTCTACGTGACTTTACCGAAAGAACCAAGAAAAAGAGAGAGAGAGAGAGAAACGCACGGGCTGTCAAGTGTCCAGCGGGCTTTGTGAAACGCCGCACCAACCTTACCATAATAATAACAAGTATAACCCGTAAAAACAAAGTTTTTCACTATAAATCCTTATAAGCGTGGCGGCTAGAGTCCTCTCGTCCTCTGGCTTGAGATGGCTGCCACCTATGGGTCAGATGATTGCATTGCACCATTAAGCAATTGGTAATTAAATATAATATTTTGTCCTAAAAAGTGTAAAATTTTGGGAAAATTTTTTCACAAACATTAATTTTCACGCACAACGAGTCTGTGTGGAAAATGTCAGCTCGATTGGATTACGGGAAGTGGGTTAAAAAACGACCGAAAGATTTGCACGGTCGTAAGCAAGCAAGTGAACTTAATATAAAGGATTTAAAAAGGGGGCCTGTCCTGGCTCACCCCCCCTCTCATTTACTTGATACAGCAAGCGTGCTGTGACGGTTCCACCTGAAGACGGAAGCTTGTGTTGCCTCCGAAACGTCGTGATTTTTATTAAATTTTTATTTAATTTAACTTTTTTAATTTTAATTTTTTACCTACGTGACTTTACCGGAAAAAAACCTAAGAATATGAATCCTTGCAGTCACGAAAGCTTAAAATCTAGAATTTGTCAAACGTGGCCGGCCGGCGAGACTGTGTGCCTTCCCGGTATCACCACGCTCGCACGTTCGTCACCGCCGCCATTCACCGGCAGCTTCACAGCAGCCCTTGCCGGACACCTGAGACTGGCGCCTGCCCTAGAAGTCGGTCCCGGACATGAACCGGCCTGCGGCTCAGAGGTCAGGGCTCTGAGCGAGCACCTACCTCTCAGAGCCTGGGTTGGAATCCGGGTTGCCACCGATGATTCAACTGGATTCGCAAGTGCCAGTGCTGGTCTCGGCTCGGTCACGAATGATTATTTTTCACTTAACTTGGCTACATTCCAGCGGCGACAATTTAAATTGTCGGATTGAATGTCCGCACGTAGCAAGTTCTGTGCCACCCATACTCTGTAAAGGCAAAAAAAAGGCTACTTGAAGATATTTTAAATAGAAATCCTGTAAAAAAAAAAAAATCTTCCTCTACACTGGGCACATTGCTCAGTGAAGTTTCCAAATGGATTTTTCATCTCATTACATGATGCCAGTGAGAAAAATTAGTGTAAATTTGGGGCAATAAACCCCACGCTTTTAAAGCGGCTCCAAAAACAGCAATTCTATTTAATTAAGTGCTGTTACCCTGCAGCGCGCGAGCTGAACGAGCGACTCACAAGATTGAATTTAGGGAAACTGACAATTTTGCCCTTCGCGAGTAAAGTGTGATTGGCAGTGACCGCCGTGTGCACGAGAATCAGCGTGTGGCCGTTTGCCTAGTTTTTAAAATGAATTTTGGTGCTGGGGTCGTGGGGACGCTCCCAGCTGGGCTTACATCGGATAGAATCCACTCGCTCTGCTTTGTCGAAATCTCTTAAGTGGTGGTCTTTCATATAATCAGGACGAAACGTAATGAATGCCGGCCACACTGAAGGGTGTAGATATTAAAATAAACCTCTCGCCACTCTCATCATTCACACAAAACATTAATGCGGCAACATCAAAATATTCCAGGTTCATTAAAAAAATCAACTTTCCACGTGCATCATGAGCACTACCATAAACATAATTTTTTTTATAAGGCAGGGCTAATGATGTTTGCGGTTTTAATTATAATCTGTACTTGAGCACCAAGGCCCATGTAGTCCTCTTTATAGGTTATTTTATTTGCTGCAGTCGGGTGATGTATACATGTTGAACTTCTTTCGCACCGTACGTAGCCAATCACACTAATCGGAGGTGCGGGAGAGTTTGGGTCGTGATCCTTCTGCCAAGCGCATGTAACACCACTGCCAAAGCAGTTTCTTCTCTTTTCATATCTGTCTTCAGCTGTCATTTCAGGCCAGTTTCAGTCACAGTATGATTTCTAACAGTTGAGTTACATCGCATTGACGATCAGGCAGCTCGGCGTTTGAGTGAGCGGCTCGCAATCGGAGGGTTGCGAGTTCAACTCCTGGTTGGGGGCTGACTCAGCCCATCATCCCTCCGGGGGTTGATAAAAAATAAGTTGGGAAGTCAACACTGTTTTTCTTATTTACCCCTGCCATAGGAATATGGAATTTTCTCCACTGGCCCAGGACTGTACACCAGAAGTGATCACCACCTCAGTGCTCATTTTAACAGGAAGTCACTTTTTATACCTACCGGTGCTGTTGTGCATTTGAAACAACTAAATAATTAAGCTTTCTCAGTGTGTCTCTCCTCGCTTATGCAAGAAACAAAGCGAGAAACTTTTGACCGAGTTCGTCTTTGCTTGTTTCAAATTCAGTAATGTTCTTGTTCATTAACAGTCTATTTCAGTGCCGTGGGTGCGACCATTGATTTTTCAATTTAAACAGTCGAACCATTACAATTTACACTCGTCAGTGGAGATCGTTACCACATTTGCATCCCTTCCTGGCTGCGGCGACGCTCCAGTTTGTCGCAGCTGACAGAGGACGAGCTCATTTACTTGCCCCGCGTCATTCCAACGCGGGGCAAAAACACTGGCGATTCGGTAACGCTCGCTGGACGATGAATCGAGATTGGTGTGGGAGCCGGAGCGTCGTTGCAGCGAGCATCGTCTGGTCGGCCTCCAAAGTGTGAAGCTTGCCGATTTGATGGGGTTACTGTAGGCTAGTTTTTTTTTTGTGCTTATTCGTCGACTTAAACGTTTTATGAAAAAATCTAATCGGCCAAAAATGTTATCGTGAGTCCAGAAAAACACATCTTTCATAAAAACCAGAGTAAAATCGGAAACATGCCCCTCATATATATGTACATATATTTTTAAATAAATGTGTTTAGGTCACAGTGAACGAGAAGGAAGGATGAATGAGCTACATGTGACAAATTCTGTATTGTAACAGGGTCCTCGAATTAAAGTTGTGGATTTGAAAAGTGCGCATCAATCGCAAGACATCACGGCCGATGGGCTGGCTGTTAAGGAGAAACGATTGCATTTTTTAAAACTGTAAAGCCGGTCGTCTTGTTTGAACAAAAAAAAACCACTGTCATTATTGGAATAAGCTGAGCTATTTCTCTGACGTGTTTTTGGAAACGCGTTGTGCGTTACCAACTTGGACAGCGCGTGAATTATGGCCGCTTGCTGCGGCGATTGCAGCATCGTGTAGCTGAGCCACAGGGAAGTGACATTGTGCAAGGTGCAGCCGGGTGCGATTTGTAGCCACCGCACCATAACACATTACACTAAGATGCGTCTTGTGATTTCCTGTCAGCTAACATTTGCCACTCCACGTGGCCTCGAATAAGCATCTCTGAGATGGTAGTGGTCTTTGTAGAATTTCTACATTGCAGTGGCCTTACAGAAAAAAAAATATTGGCAGAGGCCTTACAAATAAATCCCGTATATTATTATTATTTATAGTTGCTTCATATAACAAATCACTTTTGCCGGTATAGGGTCACAGCTGTGAGAGACAACTCCTGATCATGCTGCTGAAATAGAGGAGGAGGAAAGCAGGATGGAGTACTTTGGAAAAAGAGCCAACATTTCTCACGAAGAGCAAATTACAGTGCGTCTTAACAGGAGAGGGGGCTTTTTCATGCATTTATATTTATACCTCTAGTAGCACGACGATTGGAAACGTGGTGGCCGACGATGAGAAAAGTTTACGAGGACCGAAAACACAAATCCTGAGTGAGCGAGGACTCGCACGTGAAATGACAAGAAGCGTGGGCCATTGTGAACAAGGAGGGAGAAATCCGAGACGTGTCATGACCGCTGTTCATAGAAATAAATGGGCATGTGCAGGGTGCGTCTCCTCGGAGAGATGACAACCTATGAACAAAATTACAGTGTCGGAATAACCCGTTGTCGGGTGCACAGCTGACAAAATGTTTTCTGAGGAGCTTAAGGACGAGTGCGTTTTTTCACAATTTATTTTCGGGCAGCGTGTGATTGTTATCTTCACCCCCCGTATGATTGCGTTTTCTCTGGGCGGTCTGGTTTCTGTCCACACGCGGAAATTCCTCGGGACACGGGAATTCAAATGTGTCATAAAGTAGGGCCAATTCTAGAAATGATTCTTTCATTTTCCTCTTTCTCCTTTGAACCCCCCTCCCACACCCCCTCTCCATCCACTCCCCTCCCCCCGTGTAACGTTTCCTGCTCGGTATAGCTCCTCCGCTTGATGGACGACGCGGTCGGAGATCCGTGCCAGGCTGTGTCCTAGGCTGTCCGAGGTGGGGGTTTTAATCTACACGAATAAGGACAAATATTCTAAAAATGACAGTCAACGCATGCCATCGCGGTGCTCCAGCAACATCGCATTGTCGTTGTGTTGGTCACAGCGAACGAGAAGGATGGATGAATGAGCTGCATGTGACAAATTCTGTGTTGTAACAGGGCCCTCGAATTAAAGTTTGTGGATATGAAAAGTGCGCATTAATCGCGAGACATCACGGCCGATGGGCTGGCCCATGAACGAAATTTCCAAACTCAAAGTCGGGCAGGCCAAACACACACTGCGTAGGTGCGTCTTCTTGAGTTGTGTCTTCCTGAATCTCACCTTAGCCCATCGCATTCCCCCTTCCCGTTCATCACCCTTCCCCCGATGGCCATCTCCTCTCTCATTGAGTCGTCACGCGCCGTTAGACGCTTTACGGCTGAATCGGGGCTTTGACCACCTGGCGAGCTCCGGCGCTTCTTTAATTCTTTCATCTTCATTAACTTCGTTTAATGTCCCGAAATGTAAGTTCACTTTCTTCTCGTTTCTTTTCCCATTTTATCAAATTACTTTTATTGTGGTGTGTCTTTTGACGGTCGGGTTCAGCGTTTCACGGAATAAAGTCAGCGCTCACCGATTCAATACATACACTCGCTGACTGGGGGTAAAATAACTCTCGCTACTGCCACGGTTACTGTTCCCGTGAACTTCACTCATTGAACCCTCCAGACCATGTTGTTTCATCCATACACCACTGTGTTCAACCACCACCCTCTTGCATGTCAAGCACTGCTGATAGACAATCTCTCTTGTTGATAAACAATCTATTTTGCTGATAGACAATCTCCCTTGCTGATAGACAATCTCCCTTGCTGATAGACAATCTATTTTGCTGATAGACAGTCTCTCTTGCTGATAGACAATCTCCCTTGCTGATAGACAATCTATTTTGCTGATAGACAGTCTCTCTTGCTGATAGACAATCTCCTTTGCTGATAGACAATCTATTTTGCTGATAGACAATCTATTTTGCTGATAGACAATAATAATAATTCAAAAGTATCGTGTGCGCATTCCATACTCTTTGGTTCTTTCGGTGAAGTCACGTAGGTGTAAAAATAAAATAAAATAAATCACGACGTTTCGGGCGCAACACAAGCGTCCGTCATTAGGTGGGAAAGCATGGTCTGCTGCTGATCCCAATGCGCAATGCATGAAAAGCAGGAAACAGAACCAGGGCAACCGACCAAACTCAAGAGGCAAGGCCACTTTAAAGAGATTGCTGATAGACTATCCAACATGGCGATAACAAAAAAATCCTTGTTGCTGATAATTAAAAAAAAATCCATCGTGCTGATAGACAATCCCGCTTGTCGTTAGACAAAATCTGATCACTCCCTCTTGCTTATACAACCCCCACCACCACCTTTGCTGATAGGCGGCAGATTAGATGTGCAGATGGCACGTTTCCCCTGTCGAGGAGGAAACGGGTTAAGCCGCATTAAAGGGAGCCTTTTGAAACGGCGCATTGAGTTGTGCGGTCCATCGAGGGGTTCGTAATAAAAATTTAAATCCATTCTCTCGGCAATTTGGACTTTTTTTTTAAATCACAGACCTGTGTAATTTAATCAGAGGCAGAGACATTCACGTTTTTTTTGTATCCTTTGTGCTGAGAGTAATTTCTGATATTTTAAGACCTATCAGAAGAGCCACGTGATGAGGACGATGTCAAGTTAGGTCACCTTAAAGCCGGTATGAATAGTTTGTTTTCTTGGCTTCGAAGTAAATAAGCGAAACGTCTCAACCGATTGAGTTAAAAAACTAAATATATGTGGTTTGGTGTACGGTCTCCCTTTGTTACATCCCCTTAATCAGAATGAGAACATTTAATTATGCTGGAGGAATCCGATGCACTTTTGTACAGATGTCCAGTTCCAGCAGGGGCGGATCGGAAAGTTACAACAACAAACAGTGCAATAACACGATATGAGTGCATAGTATAGGAAAGGTAAGCAAATCACACAAACAATTATAAACGTGAAGTATTATTTTTATTTGCCAGGTTTACCTGGTAAATATTCTTAGGTTTTTTCGGTAAAGTCACGTAGGTAAAAAATAAAATTAATGAAAGTAAAATAAAAATAAAATAAAAATCATGACGTTTCGGAGGCAACACAGGCTTCCGTCTTCAGTGCTGTGACGGTTCCACCTGAAGACGGAAGCTTGTGTTGCCTCCGAAACGTCGTGATTTTTATTTTATTTTTATTTTACTTTTATTAATTTTATTTTTGTACTTACGTGACTTTACCGAAACAACCTAAGAATATGAATCCTTGCAGTCACAAAAGCTTCAAATCTAGAATTACCTGGTAAAGCCCACTGGGCTATTAGAATTTTTTTCTGAAGCAACCTGCTCACAAATGATAGCTCAACGAAGGGAATGTCACCCGCCATCCCAAACAGGACTCTCTTGAGGATGGGTTCTCGGCAGAGGTCGCAACCGGGTACCCGATACCCGTACCCTACCCGATGCCCGGCTACCCGTATCCGGCCGGGTACGGGTACGGGTACCCGTTTGCGACCCTGGTGCGGCCGGGTACGGGTACGGGTAGACCGTGAGTCACTGGTGAGTAACCGTTTGTCACTCATTTCCCAACGTCTTGTCTCTTCTCACAATTCAAGTTCCTAGAATCAACCCACCCGCGCCTGCAACATGGCTTCATCCCAGAGGTCGCAATCAGGTACCCGATACCCGTACCCTACCCGTACCCGGCCGGGTACGGGTAGGGTACGGGTACGGCCGGGTACGGGTATGGGTACCCGTTTGCGACCCTGGTGCGGCCGGGTACGGGTACGAGTAAGGAATCAAAACCCGTTTGCGACCTCTGGTTCTCGGAGACTTTGTTGAAGATTTCATTATCTTTGGGCCACCAGTGCGAATATTTATATATCCGCTCCGATCGCTGCTCCCCTTTGACCTCATCGCTTGACCTGCGGCTGCTGCAGGCAGGTGGAGCGGGCAGCGTCGGGGTCGTCGCGAGCACGAGGAGGAGGAGGGCGGCCGCGGGCAAGGGAAGGGCGACTTCCACGGAGGAGCCGCGAGAGATGATCACCCCCGCACTGCGGGAAGCTCTCACCAAGCAAGGTGAGGTCACGTGCGGCCACTCGCTCACTCGCTCACTCACCCGCATCAAATACATACTGATCATCATCGTCATCAGTTGAAGCATCATCAGCAGCAGCATCAGCAGCAATAGTATCATCATCCACACCAGCGTCATCAGCAGCGGCATCACACCAGCTGGGCAAACGCACGTGGGACACGTTCTGCGGTCGTCTGGAACGCTCTTCCTACCAGTATTAGGAAGCCACTTGAACGATGCACTGTTAAATCTAGATTGAAAACTCTCCCGAACTGTTAAGTCAAAAATCTCTAGAACTGCTGTTTAGTTTGTTGTCCTTCCCCCGCACCTACAATTTGCACGGTTGGCTGCGTACGCTGCGAAAGAAGAACCAGCATACGGTACGTGCTTGAGATTGCCAGCTCCTGCAAAGCGCAAGGGTGTGAAGGGGGCTCGCTTCATGGGGGGGGACTGCCAGGAGAGAGACTCCCTTCGTCGAACGCTCACGCCGCTCGACGCGATCACCGTCGCCGTGCACACGGATCGGAGGGGAAGGCGCTGCCACCGGAGCACGCCAGCACCCCGCCATTATTTGTCTGAAACGAAGGATTTGCGTCGAGCTGCGTCGGCGGCTGGGCGTCAGCTCTGACGGTGCCATTTGCGTTGCTAATGCCCCCGCGCGGTTTACTTCGGTGAGAGGGGGAGGGGGGGCGATGGGCACTCGTCCCAGGACTCATCACCGTGCGCGACGGGTCCCGTTTAGTCGCTCGGCGGAATAGTTGGGGAGTGCGCAAGACGGCAGAATCGGTGCGGCGGCAGGCAGACGGGCAAATAATTTTGCCCGTATAATGGTGCCAGTTTGGATTTGGGGAGAATGCAATTTGATTTGAAACGCGGACAATGAATGTTTTTTTGGCGGCGCTACGGCAGTTTGGCGAATGAATGGGAGGGTGGCTGATAAAACACGAAATGTATTCTTCGCTTTGTATGCGGCAGTCAGCATTGTTGCGCACGTTCAGTGTTTTTGTCGTGCCCCTCCGTGTCTGCATTTGCAGCATACCATTTGCATGTTCCTGCCGTAGCTCCTGCTTCAGACTGTATAATTTTGGAAAAAAACAAATCTTTTACTCACTTGGCAAGAAATGTAAGTCATTGCTAATGGCAACACAAGCAGAAACAAGTTAATATTATCAAGCAGTGAGGTTTGCAGTTTTGCTGTAACGATACGCCTACATCCAGATTAGATCAGTTGTCATGATTAGCTTATTTTGGTTCAAGAGGCTATTTTTTTTTCAACACTGGTGTATCATAGCACTTGTAGTAGCTGCAGGGATCACGTGAACTCATTCCACACAACGTATGAGAACTGAAAATAATTCATTCTCGCGCAAATGCCCGTTTGATGCATGTCCTGCGAGCGAATAAATTGAGGTTTTATTCAGTTAACATGGTTGCAAAAGTCTGGAATGTTTTGAGAAATAGTTTCCTCTCAAGAACAGTGATAACCCAAATTACAAGCAGGACCCTCGTGAATAATTTCAGTTTTCAGTTTATTTGGTGTAGCCCTGTGAGCCATTCATTCGCTTCTTGAATCGGGTGCAACCGCAACAAAACACAAAAACATGAACAAGAAAACATTAAAGTGACTATGCACAAACAGAAAAATCCAGGAAAAAACTGCAAAGTCTTCCAGAAAAAGCACCGTAAACCAACGCTGTGTGCAAAAATCCCAGTGGGATGCAAGTCAAACAACAACAACTACAAGACAACTTAGATTAAAGCCATCAGTCTAACTCTGTACTACAACAAACAAACATGGCCAAACCAAAGCACTTTTCGAAATCACCAAAAATAAAGCCATAAAAGCAATGTAACAGTGATCATAGGAACCGTGACCGAATTTTCACAATAAACGACTTTAACAACATGTACCACCAAACCATGCAGCCATAGCTGGCTGCACGAGTCACTCCACAACAGCAGGAGCATCAGTAGGAGTATCAACATTTTTCAATGCAATAATGTGTGCAGTATTGTAGATAGATTACAACAATAATTATATTGTAATCAAGACGTGCACCAGCCTGAAGGCCATCATCAAGAGCATGTTCCCACGTGTCCACTTTAAGGCTTTTCCATCATCATCATTATTATCATTGCTGTGCTTGTTGACCCAGGGAAGTCTCGTTGAGCTCCGAGGCTCTTTTCAAGAGGATCCTGCCACGTGTTCGCAGTGGGTGGTGATGTTGCCGCTACGTGTAATCCCAATTAGCATTGGCACGCTTGGCTAATCCAAGTTACATTGTTTGTTTTTCGATTTAAAGCTTTTGTGACTGCAGGGATTCATGTTCTTGGTTCTTTCGGTAAAGTCACGTAGAAGGGAAGTAATAAAATAATAAAAATAAAACATAATAAAATAATTCTCACGACGTTTCGGCCACAACACAAGCAGCCGTCCTCAGGTGAAGACCAGGTCTGTCGAGGCGACAGACCTGGTCTTCACCTGAGGACGTCGTGAGAATTATTTTATTGTTTTATTTTTATTATTTTATTATTTCCCTTCTACGTGACTTTACCGAAAGAACCAAGAAGATACATTGTTTGTGTTTTGAACTGTGTGGAGGAAACGCATGCAGAACAGGGGTAGAGCATGCGAATTCCACACAGAAAGGCACCCGAGTATGAACATCTGTGAAAAATTACTTTATAGCTCATCGGATTCCTCCAGTACAAATATTCTGATTCTGAAACCCAGGCCCTCTTTGCTGTGAGGTACAAGTTTTACCGCTGCGCCACCCTGCCGTCTGGAACGCCTCTTCCTTCCGATATTAGGAAGCCACTTGACCTACGCCATTTAAAAAAAAAATCCAGATTGAAAACGAATTTCTTTCAAACCGCTTTTTGTGTTCAGTTTTGTTTTCCTTCCCCCGCACCTACGATTAGCGCGGTTGGCTCCGTACGGTGCGCGAGAAACTCAACATACACGCACACTCGAATGGCGCTGACGTGTGGAGGAGCGGTCGATGAAACCCTTGCTCGGTGTTTGCAGGATACCGCCTCATCGGGACACATTCGGGCGTCAAGCTCTGTCGCTGGACCAAGGTATGATCGCTGTTGCTGTTTGTGCGAAACTACCAATCAAAGCCGGGAGTCGTTTGACCTTTGCCGCATTGTGCTTGCTGCTGTTTCATAGCACTTTTCACGCACGTGTCTCTTTACTCAAAATATGTACTTGTGTTGAACTTTTTTCACACCGTACGTAGCCAACCGTGCTAAATCGGAGGTGGGAGAATAAGTCCTGAGCCAGCGCCATCGAGATGCTGGATTCCAACCCAGGTAGTTCTAAAGTGTGGAACTTTATTTTACTGACTGTGCAGTAAAGTGTCTCATTACAAATGTGTGAACGAATGTTTTTTTATTTGGCTGTGAGGCGTTGATTCATCTCAATAGCGGGGTTCTTGGGAGATGTTGTAACACCTTCAACAGGCTGTTCTCTTGATGCACTGCTTTGTGAGGGTTCGAAGTGAACATTTCTTTATTCAGTGCCTTGACATGAAAAGGATGATTGGAGTAAAATTGAGGGGGGAAAAAACCCCCGTGAAAAGAAGTATTCATTCATTCATTCACTCATGTGAACAATGAGGGTCAGAGCACTGTGACCCAGGTTCCATAACTTGAATTGCACAGGGCTTTGTGTGGCTTGAGTCGATACGCGGATTCACGCACCGCCCCTCTGCGCGCAGCCCTGTCTCGCTCCTATCTGCCATGCGGGCGTCGTATCCCACACGCTGTGCCACGGAATGGCCTTGGGAATTTTAACAATGAAACCTTAAATCTCGGTGTGGATTCGGTTCAGCTCGCGGCCCAGCAGGTCCGCACCGCGTGCTATTGGCACCCCAAAGCACGGCCGCGTGTGTCCCCGCCGCTTGGTATGGGTCCAGCGCTGCCGATCGGCGTCCCCATAATTACGTTGAAGGAACAATGTTGCGTTCCGAGACAACCTTAGTTGATTTTGCCACGTGTTAAAAATGCCGTTGGCCGGGACGCACTAAACGGACGCCGCATCGCCGCGCTCGCTTTTTTGGACTCCCCGTGTCACATTAAGCTGGCCTGCTAATGCGACGCGGGCCGGACTTTCTGCTGCATTACGGCCGACGTCACGTTAAGGTGCCAGCTTCGGGGCTGGCACCGTGATGAGTTTGACCGCCGCCCACGTTTGCGAGCATAGCGGTTCCGCTCGAAGCACGCATCTCGAACGGAGCGACGAGAGACGCGGCTCGCAAGCGATTAGGGTGGACGGGTGGCTATCCCGTTGCGTGTTTTTTTTAAATTCCTTTCGAGTTTGACGTGGGAAGTCACAGGCGGGGCGGCCTTGACGATAACGTATTTGCGAGTAATTTTAAAACGTGAGTTATAGCAATGCCACCTTATGAATCATGTCCCAGAGCTTGTTACATCCACTTTACACCTGACAATTCGCTTTGATAGCCACTTCAAACATTACCATATATATGACAGATGTTCAAGGTAAATCGGCTGTTTTATAACTTGCTAATTTAGCAATTCTAAACGCTGCTTTATGAAGCTGCCCGAATTTGTCTTAGAATTCTAGATTTGAAGCTTTCGTGACTGCAAGGATTCATACTCTTAGGTCTTTTCGGTAAAGTCACGTAGGTAAAACATAAATAATAAAAATAAATAATAAAAATAATATAAGAAATTATAGAAATAATTATTTTATCTCTATTATTTCTTATATTATTTTTATTATTTGTCTTTGAATGTCTCTCATGAGCACTGTGCTCCGACAATATCTGCCCGTGGTGGAAATTCCCCATTCCTATAGCGGGGGGGGGAGTGAGTTTATCCATAGGAGAACTCTGTCTTGGTTGGATGACCTTCATCAGTGGTCTCCAAAAATGGTGCCTTCTGTCTGTGAAGGCTACTCAACCGTTTCTCTACATCCACACCAGCAAGCCCGCTCCCTTGCAGCCGGAACATTGGTGATTTGAGTGTAGGCTCCGGTTCAGTGGCATTTCGCGTCGTTATCTGTGATGGGTGTGCAGACCCAACATGTGCTTCTCATGAGAGCCCATTAACACGAACGAGGTCGTGGTAATTTAAGTCGCGCACGTTCACTCGGACCTCGCCATGCCGGCCTTGTACTCGAACGTCGGCATCATCCGTCAGAGCCGCCGCCTGGCCCCCATTATATCTGCAGCGATGGCGGGGAATATCAAATCATCAATATTGATAGGCGCCCCTTAATTATTCCGCGGACACGCATGAACCCTCCCCGCTGTCGCCTCGTGACCCCCCCCCCCCCCCCCCCCGTTTGGCAACGTGTTTACGACAAAATTAATCTCGGCGCTGCCGTGAGGTCGCGGCGACCTTGCCGGGACATAATGGCGATGGTGGTGGGGGGGGGGGTGGGTTGATATTTAAGTGGCCGTAGGGAAAGACCCCCACTTTCATACACAATTGCGCCGGGTCAGTCGGTCGGGCAATTTTCCCTCTGCATCCCGGCGTTAGGAGTTAACGTTATTTATTGCTTGGGAGGCTAATTTGTCCGCGACTCTTGAGACGCAGTAAAGTCCCCGAGCCTTATCGATATTGTCGGCCCGATTTATGTCATATTCTTGCAGCCACATTGTTTTAGATTGTACGTTTTTACGAGGCTGGGGCATTTTCCCGGCACCTGTTCCCTTTACGCGCATGTTGTTTGTTTTTGTGCTTTAGCTTTAATTTACGGAGCAGGATTTTACAGTTTGCTTCCCTATCAGATAATTGTCTTTTATTTAACGACATCGCAACTCTGTTCGAGTATTTGATCGGCGGGGCAGCTGGTAGCTCAGGATGGTTTACAGTGAATCAGAACACATTCCTGCGGAGGGAGCTGGTAGGAACGTTGGGTTGCTCGGTCAATGGCCAGGGTCAACGGCGGCGTGGTGTATTCCGCAAATATGTCCGACTGTGAGGGCGGGCACAAGCCGGCGTGAGTAGGTTAAACGTTGAGTTTTATAAGGGCACCACGGGGTGACCAGCCCCTCCCCACCCAGCCCCACCCAGCCCCACTCCTCACACCCCCCACCCAGCCCCACCCTCCCCACTCAGCCCCTCCCCACCCTCCTCACCCAGCCCCTCCCCACCCTCCCCACCTAGCCCCTCCTCACCCTCCCCTCCTCACCCAGCCCCACCCTCTCCACCCAGCCCCTCCCCCACCCTCACCTCCCCACCCAGCCCCGCCCTCCCCACCCAACCCCTCCCTCCACGACGGACACAATAATCCCCTGTGGGCTGGTGTAACCAGGAGGTTCCTACCAGTATAATTTATTTAGACTGGAGGAATCCGATGAGTTGCCAAGCTCTCTTTTCACAGATGTCCAGTTGGCGGTGTCAGAATGTAATGACAGCAAAACAATACAAGAATGCGATCGGAGTGCAAAGTATCTTCTTCTTTAGTGCTGCCTAACGGCATGTGCGACTTCACGATGATATTGGTCCCGGTCTAGCACGGCGTGTAGAGTTTGTGCTGTTGTTAATTGTAGCCATGTTTTGATGTTACTGAGCCATGTCGTTTTTGGCCGTCCTGGTCGTTTTTTCCCTTCGATTTTTCCTTCCAGGATTTGCTTTAATAGCTGGTATTTGTGGTCGTTTCGGGCAATGTGGCCTAGGTAGTAACACTTCCTGCTAATGATGGTCTTCAGCAGTTGCCTGTCAGTGCCCATATCTTGCAGAACTTGTGTATTGGTGGTTTTGGCTGTCCATGGGGTTTTCAGCATTCTTCGGTACAGCCACATCTCGAAAGCTTCGAGCCTTTTTGTTGCTGTTGTTGTCAGTGTCCACGTCTCTACTCCGTACAGCATTTCAGTGTGCGCAGTTTCAGTGATGTACTCAAGTTGCGGTCTGCAAGGAGTGTTTTCCATTTAATAAATGCTTGCTTTGCTTGTTCAATTCTGCTCTTGATGAGATTAAAAGGACTGGCAAAGAGGAGGGAAAAGAGTTAGACAACAGAATGCCATTCCTTATTTTTGTTTTCCCTTTCAGAGCAATTCCAGGGGAATTGTTCGCATTTGGCAAGTTAAGGAGTGAATAGGGCATGGTTAAAGATGATGGCGATGATCATGGTTAATAAGGCACAGTGAGTCATGTGAGACAAGAAAACCACTTCAGCACCACTCGAAACTGGCGAGCTATTTAAAACACCCTGGACACATTCGGAAACGCGCTCACGTCCCATTCACAGGGCTGTCCAACTCCGCGTTCGAGTCACGTGTGTGCGTACGTGTGTGTGTGTACGCGGCAGTTTAACCCAGAAAGACGCGGCTATTGAGCTTATTTTATCTGGAGCACGAGGATTAACTTATATCTGGGAGATCGCTCGGGGTCTTTAATATCCACGGTGTAGACAGGACCTCGGTTTTAACATCTTGTAGGTGACCCCTGCAGCTGAGCATTAACGGGATTCTTCAGTTCACGTGGGGAGCCAGGCAGAGGTCGTTCTAAGCCCCTGAGCTGGCTCTGTGTTCACAGGGAATCCTGTGGAGAGACTGATTGGGTCATCCAATACATAAACAAAGAAACAACCGCTCCAGTCGAAGGCCGCAATGGCTGGCAATTACTCTAGTCAAGTAGGTGCACTCCTCCCTCCATACACTTGACTTTTATGCCGGATGAGTCGATAAAAAGAATGAAAATTCCCAGCGGGTCTCTAAAGCGCCTGGGCGGGGCCGTTAAGGTGAAATGAAATTGGTGATGTTAATTGACGTGCGAGCGTGGTATGCGCGGCCTCTTATCACCGATTCAGCGCGTCGGAGCGAAACAATAAAAATTGGCGCGATTTTCCTTTTTCCATTGTGTTCCTTCCACCAAATCTTTACGTTGGCATTGCAGAGGGTCCCCTCGAGGGCACCGCCTGGGGCTGCAGACAGACAGACAGGGCGATGGGAAGTTGTGCGCTCAGAGGCCCCCAGGTGCAGACTTGCGTAGGTAATTGCTTCAAAATGAAAACACCATAGATTTTTTTTCTCATTCCAATTTTGGGAGGCCAAAAAAAAAGCTGGGCTTTCTGATTATAACGATATATATTTCACTATAATCGTGCTAAATAGAACCTCTCTACCCATTCTTGGACGTTATTATACTTTGTGACAGTCGCTAATTCAGTCGCTCGCTCACGATCATGGTTGTGCATTAAAAACAACTTGGCAGCAGCAGCAGCATTTAAACTGCTTGAACTCACACTCAGAGCTTCTTCTGCTGCACTACCACCTACCTCTGTCCAGGGTTGCTCCGGTGTATTTAAATGGTTACTTGGATAAAAAAAAAACATTTGTTGGCAATTTAATTACCGATGTGAATTCCCCTGCTGGGATTTAAACAAGTGAAATGACCCCCCACTCTGCAAATGAGGCACCGAGCTAGCCATGTGTGCACCAGCATGCAGGTCCAATCCAATAAATGTTTATCTCTGTGGCACGATTAGGAGGTGGGGGGGGGGGGGGCTCGAGTAATCGCATCACAGCCTCTGAGCAATGTATGCAGATACAAAAATAATGATGTGAATAGGTACACGGATTGTGCGAATCACCTAATAAGGGGGCAAACAATGACACGGGAGTTGAAAGTGAAATAGCCGGCCAGAGACGTGGAGCGAGAGAAATGCGGTTGAGATGAGACAAGGATGAAAGGGAGATTAAAGTGCATTTTATCCAGTAAAGCCTCACTGAGTATACAACAACTCTTTTAACTCGGTCCTGCATTAGGATGTTTGTCCATTTTCAGTCGTGAGTGTTTTCGGAAGGAAATAAAGAGTACCCGGAGAAAATCCATGCATACAGAGGGATGGCACTCTTGAGATCTGCCCGGACGAGTGACAACCCTCGCTGTACTGTAAACTCGTGGCTTCTCTGGTGTTTTGGGAGTCGAACATGTAATGACCCTGACTAAGACGCACTGGATTAGAGTTTTGTTCTTCAGCAAGGTAAAGTGGCAGAACGGAAAGATGACACAGAGAAAGAGACGGTGCAGACATTGTGATCGAAGAGGGACTGAAGGTCGGTAGGTAGAGTGAGTGAGTTAAAATTGAGAACGCGAGAAAGAGGGAGGTAGAATGGGAGAGCAATCGCAAGGTGTGCCTTGCGATGCGGGAGAGCCGCCCTGTCCCGCACGTACGCCGCCGTGCGCGTCGTATCGACGCGGTGCGTTGTGCGCGCGCGTCGATCTCCCGACCCCCAGGTTACGGAGGGAGCTCGTACGGCTCCGTCTTCGTGGCGCTCTAGGGCACCACGCCGTGGCTGACGGGGCCGTGCTGCCCGTCTTCACTGAGTGTCACAGTGTTTTGGCTTTTGTACGGAGGAGCCCAGATGACCGTTCACTCGGGCTCGATGTTTCGGTGACATTGACGCAACAGAGAATATTACTTTCTACGCTCGCTCTTCATCTCTGCCCGCCCCAGTGGTTGCTTGCGCACATTCTGTTAGGCGCGATGGTGGGTGGGTTGCCAGTAGAGGGGCGCAACAAAGGTGGAGCCTCTGGACTCGATGCTGTTCTCTCGCTAGGGTTGAGTAGCTGCTGCCGGCGGGGCTAAGCGGCGGGGGGGGGGGGGGGGTGGCAGGGTTTCTGTTGGCAGAAGCATGGAGACAGTGCAGGCAATACATTTGCTTTACCTTTGCAAAATATCTGCTTGTAGAGGGCCTCTTCTTGGGATGGATTGTCAATTCCAAAGTAGGTTTTTCTGTATGGGCTGGCGCACGCGTGTGATCCGCGCCAACGTGGAGGCGGGGTAGGTGGATCGTGCAGAGATCGCGTCCATCGATTGTCGGGCTATGACTTGTGCAGCATCAAGATCTACTGTCGTGTGTTTTTGGTGATGCTGTGTTTGAAAACGGTGCTTTGTTCACTTGGTGCACACTCTTGTCTATCCAGGCATCTTAGGGGCCGTGTGCACGCATCATCGCGCTATGACTCATGGGGCACAGCTACGATTCGAGCTGCTCCTGCCAATGCTGCTGCTGTTGTTCTGCCGCTGCCGTTCCGCCGATGCTGTGCCACCGCCGCTGTGCCGCCACCGCTCCTGCTGTGCCACCGTCCTCACGGTTCTGCCACCCTTGTTCCACCCCCACCTTTGTTCCATCGCCGTCGCTGTACCACCTCCGCCGCTGTACCACCACCACCGCTGTACCACCACCGCCGCTGTACCACCACCGCTATACCACCACCACCGCTGTACCACCACCGCCGCTGTGCCGCCGCTATGCTGCCACTAGCAGCTTAGAGGAACTCGAGGGATCTCCTATTTTCACAGGGCCCAACATAATTTTTTCTAAGCGTGGCTTAGCACGGCTCAGCAAAAATAATATTGGGCCTCGTGAATTACTTTTGCTAAGCGTGGCTTAGCAAAAAAAATATGTTTACGCTCAGAGGCAGAATGCTAATAAAACATCAATTATCGTTGTCGAAAAGGAGTAATTTAAATGCTACTTTTTACCGATTTCTCATTGTTTTCACACTAAGCTGTCGTGTGAATAATGTATAACGCTTATCCAAATGTTTAGTGAATTTTAAGGGTGCAATTTAGTTTCATTTTCTTACGTGCTATATTTTGACAGTGGTGATAACTAATGACTTTGATTTGGAGAGAATATTCCCATTTGTTTTTATTTCTTTTTTTATCTAAAATGTTTTATTTATTAAAATGCAGGATCCTCACTAACAGATCAGTGCTTTGTTCATTTTCACAAATATCATCTTAGTTTAATTATACTGCGACTAAGGGTAAATTAGCTTCTCATTAACGAGACCTGCTTACTATCAAAACAATTCTTTGGATTTAGAATATTTAACAATTGGTATCTACGTTAAAACCCAATTGCTTGTGTTTTAATGTGGTTCATTTAACTAAAAATGGTAGCCTCTAAGAATACATTCGCAATAAAATACTGCATTAACTTTATCGTACCATATTTAGTTGTTTTTATCATGATACGTAGCTTATTGTGATGTTTCTACTTACTGCATTTAAATCCTTTATATTAAGTTCGCTTGCGTGCTTGCGTGCTTGCTTGCTTGCTTACGACCGTGAAAATCTTTCGGTCGTTTTTTAACCCACTTCCCGTGATCCAATCGAGCTGACATTTTGCACACAGACTCGTTGTGCGAGACAATTAATGTTCGTGAAAATTTTTTTCCAAAATTTTACACTGTTTAGGGAAAACAAATTAAATATTTAATTACCAATTGCTTAATGCTGCCAGACAATCATCTGACCCATAGGTGGCAGCCATCTCAAGCCAGAGGACGAGAGGACTCTAGCCGCCACGCATATAAAGGATTTAGAGTGAAAAACTTTGTTTTTACGGGTTATACTTATAATTTGTCATGATCTGGATTGCCATGACAACGGTCACTATGATCACATGACACGGCAATGCAACGGCCGTTGAGGCAGTCAGGGAGCCACTGGGCCCTTGACGTCATGATGGCCCACGTGAGAGCACACTTGCAAATAACCTAAATATTACTTGCAAAGCAACGAACATGAAAATGTGGCTTGTGGAGATACATTGTACCAAATTGTTAAATATTGGCGATTGCTCTCCAACACACCGGCGTTCTGAAGCAGTAATTAATTGACACGTTTGTTCATCACGTGACAACTTTATTAATTGGCTGTGTCGGGTGGAGGAGGCTGTACGACACATTTTACTCACGCGGTCTGACCCAAATAATGTTGATTTTTGTTTATATTGCTCACGAAAGCGTGCTCCACGTTAAACGTAGACAGATTTTGCTTTGCATTTGTTCGTGCGGTGTGGGGAGCGGTAGTGTAGCACCACTTGTTCGATTCCCGCCCACCGCCAACACCAGTGACGATTATCTGAACCGGTCCAAGGCCTCCTCTAGGTCAACTCGGCCTCAAATGAGTATCTAGTGCGGTGTGTAAACTTCCACGCCAGGAAGACAAAGGCGACCGGGCTTGGTGCTAGCCACTCCGCCCCCTCGTGTGCCGTGCCGGCCTTCATGGGTACTACTCGCTAACGTCACTTTCCCCAACAGTCTGTGAAAGGCTACACGGGGGATCTTTGCCTTTTGTCTGAACATGCAGTCCATGCTGCGGGGCCGTGGTGGCTGCTACAAGCACGCCTTCTACGGCATCGAGAGCCACCGGTGCATGGAAGCCACGCCAAGCCTGGCCTGCGCCAACAAGTGCATCTTCTGCTGGCGGTGAGCACACGGTGGCACGTTTGCTCCCTCGCTCCCTCCTTGTTCGCTCGCCTCTCTCTCTCCCTCCTCTCCCTTCCCTCCCTCCTTGCTCCCTCCCTTCCCTCCCTCCACAACAAGGCCCATTGGGTGGCCGAGCGGCTCAGAATCACCACAGAGCCAGTACCACACTGGGCATCCTGCAACATGTCGTCTGCTGGAAATCTTGTTTGCATCAGGCAGGTGCATTAGAAGTTCCCCTGCAGGCCTGCAAACATGGATTTATCAATCAGAAGCGATTGTTATGCTCGCCAAAGTTGAAATGAATAGTGTGTTTAAGATGTGTTTGCAGTTTTTGGACATTTTATACAAATGTTATTCTAATGAAACAAGCTAGAAGACAAAAGACAGATGTTACCAGACCGTCCAAAGGAGGCAAAAGAATAATAATATTTCTTGAATTGAATAACGACCATTCATCAAATCACCTGGGATGGGGGATGCGGAGGGAGTGCTTGCCCAGTAGTGGAGGATCCAGAGGCCAGTGTGTGTGTATAACGTGTGTGTATGTGTGTACTGTGTGTGTTATGGGGAGCGGTAGTGTAGCGGTTAGCATGCTGCGTTATGAACCTGGCGACACGGGTTCGATTCCCGCTTATCTGAACCGGTCCTGGGCCTCCCCTAGGTCGACTCAGCCTTAAATGAGTACCTGGTGTGGTGTGTAAACATCGCCACTGGGGAGACAAAGGCGGTCGGGCGTGGTGCTGGCCACCCACCCCTTCGTGTACCGTCCTGGCCTTCATAGGTGCTCGCTAACAGCACTTGCCCCTACAGCCTGTCAAGGCTATACGGGGGATTTGTGTGTGCTATGTGTTGCACAGTTGGCACATTCGGGGGTACAGCTGGTGAATCTACCAGTCACCTCAGTCAGCCAACCTATGGCACATGGGTCTGTCCCGAGGCCTGTCAGCGAGCCTTTGACACTTCACGTGGCCTCAAAGTGCACCTTGGCCTGGCACAGGCTCCACGGCGCCTGTGCCAGGCCACTAAGGGACGTCACTTAGTGGTGAATGGCGAGTATTGGTATGGTGTTGCTATGTGTAACTGTGTGTGTGTGTGTGCCATGTGTTAGTGTGTGTAACCGTGTGTGTATGTGCGATACTGCCTGCAGGCACCACACGAACCCCGTAGGGACGGAGTGGCGCTGGAAGATGGATCCGCCCGAGCTCATTCTGCAGGAGGCGCTGGAGAACCACATGGCCATGATCCGCCAGTTCAAAGGTCCCACTCGGGCAGGGGTCGGCAGGCCAAAATGAACAAGAATAGATATTTTTTTAGAATTCGGTGAAAGAAAACCCCTCAATATTTCAAGAGCCACAATGCAATGTGAATGCGAGGCGGTGCTCCTTAATAAATAACGTCACCAAGCAATCCTTAAAGAGCCGGATGAACCGGACTCCCATGGTTAAACTGGTTTTCAGTGGTAAACCGGACTCCCATAGTGAGCTGGAGTCCCATGGTAAACTGGACTCCCGTGGTGAACTGGACTCCCATGGTAAACTGGACTCCCATGGTAAACTGGACTTCCATGGTAAACTGGACTTCCATGGTAAACTGGACTCCCATGGTAAACTGGTTTCCCGTGGTAAACTGGACTCCCATGGTAAACTGGACTCCCATGGTAAACTGGACTCCCATGGTAAACTGGACTTCCATGGTAAACTGGACTTCCATGGTAAACTGGACTCCCATGGTAAACTGGTTTCCCGTGGTGAACTGGACTCCCATGGTAAACCGGACTCCCGTGGTAAACTGGACTTCCATGGTAAACTGGACTTCCATGGTAAACTGGACTTCCATGGTAAACCGGACTCCCGTGGTAAACTGGACTTCCATGGTAAACTGGACTTCCATGGTAAACTGGACTTCCATGGTAAACTGGACTCCCATGGTAAACTGGTTTCCCGTGGTAAAATGGACTCCCATAGTGAGCTGGAGTCCCATGGTAAACTGGACTCCCATAGTGAGCTGGAGTCCCATGGTAAACTTCACTCCCGTGGTAAACTGGACTCCCATGGTGAACTTGACTCCCGTGGTAAACCGGACTCCCATGGTCAGGGTCAGCAACCAAAATAAATAAGAAGCGACATTTTTTTGCGAATTCGGTCAAAAAAAAAAAAACTCAACATTTCAAGCGTCGCAATGCAACGTGAATACGAGGCGGTGGCCCTGAATTATCAACGTCAAGAAGCAGGTCCTTATAGAGCCGCATGCGGCTCCGGAGCTGCAGGCGGCCGTCCCCTGCACTAGGGCACTCCTGTTTCAACGTCCTGCTGCGGGGCAGCACGAGTATCGTGTGAATGTATGTTAGTTGAACTTCTTTCGCACCGTACGTAGCCAACCGTGCTAATCGGAGGTGCAAGTCGGAGTGTCAGTGCCAGTTTAAAGATCCTGATTAAATGATGTATGAGGTTAGTGACACTTTCAATAGCGAGGTCGAAACTAAATAATGCAAACAGTGCTCGAAGAAGTCCTCCTCTTCCTACATTTAGGATATCGCCGCTGATTCCATCTTCACCTGGACTTCTGCCATTATGCAATGTGTCTCCTGCTGAAGTTGTTTTGCTCGTTAATATGTTTGGTAATCTCTCTTCTTTCACGATAATTTTGTTATTTTGACCGGGTAGCTGAAGAGAAAATAAGTTTGCGTAAAATTCAGTCAGCATTTAGAATTTCCTGTCGGTTAAAGTTATCTTTCCATTTTTGTTCTTCAGCTGTTGTATCCAGCTCCTTCCTTCGGGAGGGGGGGATTTAAGAACCCGCCATTTATCTTAGAAGTTCTTAGCCACTTTCGGTTGTTCTTCGCCACTTTCAATTTACATTTGAGTCCTTTTCCTTACATCTGTGCGCGTGCGTGTTTGTGTGCGCGCGTGTATGCGTGTGAGCATGCGTGTTTGTCCGTGTGCGCGTCTACGTGTTTGTCCGTGTGCATGTTTGTGTGTGCATGTTTGTGTGCGCGCGTGTGCGGTTTGCCGCCGCGTTCAGGCGTGCCGGGCGTGAGGCCGGAGCGCTTTCAGGAGGGGCTGGCGGCGCAGCACTGTGCCCTCTCTCTCGTGGGCGAGCCCATCATGTACCCCGAGATCAACCGCTTTCCTGCGGCTGCTGCACCGCCGCGGACTCTCCTCCTTCGTCGTCACCAACGCGCAGTTCCCCGACGAGATCCGGTGAGTTCTCCCCCATCCGCGCTCGCTCACTCGCTCGTTCCGGCTTCCCCCCTACGGAGCTGCGATGCGTCAGGCGTCGCTACGTGCCGCTGCCTTGGCCCGCGTTGGCCCGCGTTGGCCCGCGTTATCCCGATTGGTTCGTCAACATCCTACCGCTTGGCCAACCCACCCCGGAGAACAGGCTCGTGGGAGGAAGCGAGCAACTGAGCGAAGTGTTTGTAGTTCAGTTTCGTGCGTGCATTGTGTGAACAGTGCGTTTAGTTTTTTTGCAACGTGTGCATGCGTGCAGAGCGGGGGGGAGCGTTGGAGTAGTGGATCGTACGGTGATGCGGTCACTGTGAGCTTGCTCTTGCAATTGCGTTGGCCATTTTTAGTTTTTTTAGTTTAATGCTTTATGATGCGTAACAAATATATGACACAACCCCTGTAATAAAAGTGTTACATTAGTTATTGCTGTTCACAATCCTGATGTTTTATGGCATAATGTGTTAAAAAAAACACTTTTTTGTTCAAAGCGCCTCTGAAAATGCTTAGCATAAAACATATCTTAGTTGCTACTGCCGTAGTGTAAATTTACATCTTGCTAGAATTTAGGATTTAAAACCTCAAATATGACATAGCCGGTGTATTTTGTGGACGTAATTTATGGAAGGTGGATTTTGTTGGAGCTTAACGCATTCAACCCTTAAACTTAAGTCAGTGGACGGTGGGGAGGGCGGCTGCCTTACGCATCCTTCATCATTTTATTGGCTTGGTGTGTCTTGATGTTTTAAGCTCGTTATAAAATAATGCTCAAGTCGGTGCTTGCCTTCCCCTGAAAATGCAATGGCAGTGGAATGTTTTGTATGTGCAGCATATCACCTTGTCACTCGCAAAGTCGTTGCGTAAGCAAAGGAAATTGTGATGTAGTTTCAGCGCTTGCTTGTGTCGGTGCTGCGGTGTGCATACCAACGTCCGAATGAAAAAATGTGCCCCGTGAGAGAAGTAGCAGGATCGCCCAGGGAACTAATGCCGTGCGAGAACCGCTGACATCCTGGTTCTCCATCCATTCAGCCGCCCCATGATTAAGCCTCGGTTTTCAAGTGTAGCGAGTTGCTGGTCTCAGGTTGAGCACCAATGACTACGCGCAGAAATTAACCTGTTAAATTTTTATTTGTGTTGACGCTTCATTTTGTTAATCCTACTCTGTCAATTAAATCATTCGTATTAATTGCCGTGTGACGAACACTCTGCAGGAAATAAAAAAAAAGCATGTCCCGAGCGTGCACCTTTGAAACAGGGTATCGTGCACTGTGACTACAGGGATTCATATTCTTAGGATCTTTACGGTAAAGTCACGTAGAAGGGAAATAATAACATAATAAAAATAAAACATAATAAAAATTCTCACGACGTTTCGGCCACGACACAAGCAGCCGTCCTCAGGTGAAGAACAGAGTTGTCGGAAGCTGCCTGCAAGGTCTACATTAGGGACGCTGTCTTTCCGACAGCTCTGTTATTCACCTGAGGACTGGCTGCTTGTGTTGTGGCCGAAACGTCGTGAGAATTTTATCATGTTTATTTGTATTATTTTATTATTTCCCTTCTACGTGACTTTACCCGAAAGATCCAAGAATATAGTGCACTGCTTACTGCGCGAGTTTGAAATGGATATCGATGCTTGCACACCGATGGGGCGTTCGCTTGCTTCCGAGATCCCTTTGAACGACAGGGCCCAGCACGAACTGCAGGCCGACCTGCGACTCTCACCTTGAAGTGTGTGAACATGCGTCGTGTACGCACGAGGCTTCGTGACCACTGATGTGGTGGTGCGTCGTCCGTTCACCAAGCTGTGCAAGTGGGAGAAAAAAAAAATTAACCCGTAAAAACAAAGTTTTTCACTATAAATCCTTTATATGCGTGGCATCGGGGCGGCTAGAGTCCTCTCGTCCTCTGGCTTGAGATGGCTGCCACCTATGGGTCAGATGATTGTCTGGCAGCATTAAACAATTGGTAATTAAATATTTAAAACATTTTCCCTAAACAGTGTAAAATTTAGGAATTTTCTTTCTCACGAAAATGCATTGTCACGCACAACGAGTCTGTGTGCAAAATGTCAGCTCGATTGGATCACGGGAAGTGGGTTAAAAAACGACCGAAAGATTTGCACGGTCCTAAGCAAGCAAGCGAACTTAATATAAAGGATTTAATAAGAATGCTTGCGCTTGGAAGACACGCCGACGCTTGTGCCGTTGCGGCACCAACCGTGCCGCCCCCGTTCCACTGCCCAGGACACTGGAGCCGGTGACACAGTTGTACGTGAGCGTGGACGCTAGCACGCGCGAGAGCCTGCGCAGGATCGATCGCCCGCTCTTCAAGGACTTTTGGGCACGCTTCCTGGACAGCTTGAGGGCCCTGTCCGAAAAGGTACCCTTGGCTGTGGCCTCGTTGTTAACTGTGCCGCTATGTTTATGAACTCACGGAACTTGGGCGGGTTTGTGTTTGCTGTGTGAGTGTGTGTGTGTGAGCTGTGTTGTTAGTCCTTGTGGGCCGCTTGTTGTTTGTAAACCTCACTTTACTGCCACGTAACGTGAAGAGAATTCGATTGGGAGCCGGATTGGCTTGTATACATGTATACGTCCTCTGCTGGTTTTGGGCTTGTAATGTGGGTATTTCCCATAATGCAGTGTGGTCTTAATACATTTTTATATTTAAGGTCAAAGTTGAATGGTCACAGCCATTATCATTGATGCTATTACATTTTACTGTCACGTCCTTGTGCCAGCGTATTGCAGTGAACTCATGGCCTGCAAGGTCTACAGTACGGCAGTACTGTCATGGCCATGAGATATTGCAGTAAGCCCACAGCTGACGATCCCTGGCCACTCGTATGCTGTCACTGAGCATTGGTTATTCCCTGCACAGACAAAAAGCTCCGGATAAGAGCATCTATATACCGTAACAACTAATTGCATGTTGGCTTTTAATATATTTTCTGACAATTTTACTCCCAATTGTGCTGTCATGTCATGATACGGAGTAACCATTCCGATCTCACCCAGAACGTTGCATCACCCGATGTAGGAGACATCGCAGAACTGTTTGCAAAATCCCTTCAACAGACCTCGACTGAGAAATATTTGCCGCAAGACGGTCAAACCAATATTTTTAATTCTCACAGCCGGAAATTATCCAAATTAAGTGAAAACAACAACATTTTTTGTTATATTTGTGTTGTTATTTATTTTTGTGGTTATTTGGTGGCTGGGCTGAGAGCGTCAACTCTAACTGTACTGGACAAGCTGGTTTAATCATGGTTGGCTCAAAAACCTTCCCTGTGAAACCAAGGTCTCAGCCGTGCTGACTCATTGCTCTGACCCTTCAGCAAGTTGCAGGGTGGGGTCCCGTTCGCCGCCGAATCTCGGAACGGGTGAGCGGCCCAGCGTGAATTTTAATTTGTAGAGGCATAGCACCGCTGTTTTTAAAGACATTGTACTCACCGCAGAGAACTGTAGCGACACACAACCGCACCCTACGATAGCTGGCGCCAAACTGCGCCACACGCCCTCCCGCATTGCCTTGTGGGAGCCTTGGTACCGAAAAAGTTTCTTTCACACGTACATCATCGTAACGAGTTTCCCTTGTTAAGATAACAAAAAAAATTATTTTTTCAATGCGCACGATTTTATTTTCACTTTAAAAGTAGAAAATGAATTATTTCGAGCCCAGAATTAATGAAATTTGATGTGCTGCATACAGGTACGTGTGGGATTTTTCGCGTCGTTTTCTTTTTCTCTCTCGTTGGAGGCGAAACTAAAATATCACCCCTGCGCTCAGTGCGACTGCACACAGGGGTGATATTTTTGTTTCACCTGCCGAGCGTCGTTGCCGCCCCGTGCCCGCTCCGTGCAGTCAACACCGCGGCGCGTCACGTTCCGCACATGGCCATCTCTTAGGCCTAAACGGCCTCAATTCCAGAACATTTGTCAGTGTCCCCGTGGGCAGCCCCTTGCCATACGTCAGAGGGCGGCTGACTTCGCGCGCACGTGCATGGCCGGCCGCCACTACGATGATCATTAGTCCTGCATACGTTGACGGGTTGGGGACGAGGATAGATTATTTTTCTTTCTGCCAGCGCTTATGAGCCCGTGTCTTGCGCTTGAATCAGTCAATAGTGCTTTGTAGCCCTTGGTCTTGATGGCTTTGGGGCTGGGGTGCGTGGCCGGAATGCCGTCAATTTTTTTTTCTGTTACTTTCCCGTCTGTTTGTAACCGCATCGAGCAGCCCGTCACTTTACCGCCTTCAGCGTTTGGTTTCATCGCTGAGAACACTTTCCCAAACACACTGCATGTGGCTACATGGGAGATCTTTGCCTCTGTGTGTGTGGTATTCGAAGCGGTGCGTGCAGCGTTCAGTTTGTGTAACAGCTCACTGCGTGTAACAGCGTCAAATTAAAACTTTGTTAAATACTGCATAAAGGAACGCACAGTTAAATATTAATATTGTAAAACGGTCAGAGTTTAAATTGACAAGTTTTCTCGCGAGGATTGATGTAAACGCCGCGTGTAAAATATTGATTGTTAGATTTTCAATTTGAGTTTGTGGCGTTGGCAAAATGCATTTGGAGTGTTTGGCTGATATAAATTTTCACGTGATAAGCCGCTTCGTCAAGCTATCATTTGTGGCCAGGTCGCTTGTGATAAAAGCTACATAGCTCAGTGGACCTTACCTGGTTAAATAAAAAAAATGTTTATAGTTTAGTTTACTCGGCGACCTGCCTTATCCTCGACATCACAGGCATTTTGCCACATGCTCTGCAGTTCGTGGCACGGTTTGGTCACTTAAGAATTGGCGCAATGATTCGTCCAATAAAATCAATTCTCATGCCTACGATCAATATATGCATAGATCTGCGCGTAAAATGTTATCATAATTTACAATGATACAAACACGATGCACGCCCAGGTTACACTTAGGCTAATGGAACAACTGCGTTGTGGAAATACGACAGAACAAGCAAAGAAACCAACGGATCTTGATGGTTTCATCGATCGCTTGGGAGTGAATTGTGGCGTTTGTAGTAATTGCCCACGAGATGATGTTCTGGTCATAAACGCAATAGATGCACTGTGAATTTCGTAGATTTAAGACCGTGGACAACACTGCAAAAGTCTGACTCGACTGCACGAGCGGGTCGTTAAACGTGCCGCTCGCCACCGTTAAAATGAATCATTGTAAAATAGCGTGTTTTCTTGGATTTGGTATTCAGCGCTGCAAAGAGCACTGGTGTTGTGCAACTGTTCTATTGCTCGAATTTGAATGAATGAGGCACTTTTTTTTTGAAAGGTAGATCGGAAGACATGATGGAGCGCTGCTGTGAGACTGGCAGGTGTTTTGTCAAGGACGCTCGGATTAACTCCTTGGCCCGTTGCTCTGTACAGCGCCGTTTCATCGGTGTCCTGGCCAAGCCCTGTTTTGTCCAGTGAGACGCAATGACATCACGTGTGGCAAGGCGGTGTGGCCAGTGATACCAAAACAAGCATTTTATTATTGGGCTCCTTTCCTGAAGAGAATGTCCGTTAGACAGCAGCCCATCTGCCCGCAACGTTTTAACACCACGCCGAGGTGTGGCTCAATGTGCCAGATGAATCACCTGCCCGTGTATTGCATTATCACCGCGGTCACCACTCCAGTCAACTATCCACCGCCCGTCAACTTTACTCAATTGTCAAGCACTCACCCTGCAAGATGGATTATTTACACTCGCCGTACTGGGGCGCAAGCTGTCCTCATGAACGATGCAACATTTAATATTCCTCCTTCTGCTTGACCTTGAAACTCCCTCCCATCATCTTGTTTTCTCAGCAAATACGTTCGTTCTTAAGTGCTATATTATTATTATTTGTAGTATTGTCCGTTGCTGGTCACTTTGCTTTATGCGGCTTTAGTCCTTGGCTCAGGAACTAATAATTTTTTTTTTTATTGAGGCTTATCATACCAGTCAACCCATGCGGTTTACCCATATTCATGTGCAGGGAAATTGAGCAAAAATTTTTTGTGTCTATTTGTTTGTATTTATATTCTTAGGTTTTTTCGGTAAAGTCACGTAATTTACTTTTATTAATTTTAATGTTTTACCTACGTGACTTTACCGAAAAAACCTAAGAATATGAATCCTTGCAGTCACGAAAGCTTCAAATCTAGAATTGTTTGTATTTCTCCCTTGTGATGGGACTTTGTAGGATGAACATTGAGATTTAAAAGGGCACGGGGTTACCAATAAGGTCTGAATTGGTCTGTAATAAGGTAGGTACCGATAAGGGGTTGACAGGTATGGCATATGCAGCTGAACGGAGCTACCGATTGTAACGATAGCGCATCAACACAGTGTGCGGGATTCTGTACTTAGGATGTCCGGTAGCCGCTTTGCAGCCTTATTAAGCATGTGGGTTAAACTAGATAGATGTTTCGGCACGATGAATTGCAACAGATCTAAATGTTAGGATAGTCAATAAGTACAAGGAATTGACGAACCATTGAGTTAGCGATGTGGCGTAACGATAAAATGCTTTAAATCATTAATAAACGCGTCCGTGAATGAATATACATCAATGGGTGGCACGGTGCCGCATAATCGATGAGCAACTTATATTGTCAAGCTTGTAACTTTTTAAAACCCCTTCACATCCTTTTTTGTATCTATGTACGTTGAACTTCTTTCGCACCGTTCGTAGCCAGCCGTGCTAATCGGAGCCCCTGGCTCGCCGCTCTCCGCTAGGGTGGCGCTGGCGGGCGAGCGATCAAAGTTCGTGCCGTGGGCATGCGCCATGGGGACGCATCGGCAATGTTCCCCAGGGGGACTCCCCTTCCGTGGGGCGTTGTGCGCTTTCTAATTTCGACTGGCCTAATTGAGGCACAAAAACATGTAAATAATCTAGATTTGAAGCTTTCGTGACTGCAAGTATTCATATTCTTAGGTTTTTTCGGTAAAGTCATGTAGGTAAAAAATCTAAATGAATAATAAATACTTTTATTAATTTAGATTTTTTTACCTACGTGACTTTACCGAAAAAACCTAAGAATATGTAAATAATCATCGCGCTGCAAGGGTTAATCTGCGTGGCAGACACTTTCCAGTCGTGGTAAATGTGGCTAAAACTCCATCTGCAGCTCGCTCCGAGATGCACAGCAAACAGTGAGGCTCATGGGAAGTCGGCAGGGGAAGTAGAGTGGCAGGGCAGGACACTATGGTGAACACAGTGCCTCCACCAACAGCTGTCTCTGCATCACATTCCGTGAGCCTCACGGAAATTGCTAAACATTAAGCTTAACTCTGGGACTGGTGGGTGGCGGCATGGACGCAAAAAAACAAGTTTATTTTTTTACCAATGTACAAAACCTTATGCATTGAATCTATGTTTTCAGAG